ATTCCAATATATTTCGACGGGATATTTATATATCCATGCACATATATGTTATGTGTTTATGGATTAGGTATTTCCAACAGTCTTAAAATTGTTGGAGATATCTTTATAATAGCTCAGAATTATTTGATGTCCAGAATCTACACTACAAACTAAAGAAACGAAGGTTGATTTTCTAAATTTTGGGAACTAATAATTTTAAATACCAGCTTAAAATGATGACTTCTTTTCATAAACAAGGTAGAACTCGAGTATGAAACTAGAGGAAGCTACTATATTCATCGAGTTTGAATTTTACAATAATATAATCTTAAAAAAATAAATCTTTCACAATTTGACCCAAAGAATCAAAAATATGAATATGTACTTTATAAGTACGTAATTTAATATTTTTTCATGAATCACTTGGAATAGACTGTCATAATTATTTTGTAATTACTCTGTAATAAATGTTACCTTATATGAGTGACGCGATTGTAAATAACACCATGCTCTTTTGTTTCGTCTACCTAAATACTTGTAGTTTATTAAGATTATTATTGTAATATATATTCAATGGTACTTTCTTTTAGAAATGATTATAGAAAAACAACTTTAACTGTTATATTTATATATGATATAAAGATAAATATATCAGACTATTTCATCTCATTAACTATGATTTCTCTACTCTCAAGCTCAACTTCCAAAAGTAGAGGATGTTTAAGAAAATTTTTCAATTTTTCACCACTGCTAATTTTATTTTCCGGGTAAATATGATATATCATATCAACAGATTATAAAAAAATTTAAACGACAAGCTCATTACACAAGAATAAAGTATATAAATTCAAATTTTAGCAAGTTGGAACAATCCAGTTTTCCTTCCAAAGGATAATTCAACGAATGAAATAGGAAATTCATTCAATTCAATTAATTAAATCATCCATAAAAGTAATGCTGAATATTTTTATTTAATCATTTGCAGCTGTTGAGACATTTCTGAGTTTTATGTTTTTTTTGCAAACAATCGTTTGAAAGAGAAAAAATCCAACATATATATAATTGAAAAATTTTGTAAATGCGTTAGGTGCGTTTTTCATGCCAAGTGGTAACACGTTGAATTCATATAAGCCTACCGGTGTCGTGAATGCGGTATACAAACAGTGAAGTTTTAAGTTCTACTTAACTAGTGTGCTTAAATTCATCTGTACAAAAATTTAGAAAGATTATCATTAACTAGTTTTTCAACTTTTTATTAAGTTTTACAAATTAGTATTGGTGAACGCTTTCAAGGGGATATATTAAATTCATTCACAAAAATTTGAAATTTGTGCTTATGAATTGAGTATTTCTAGCAATTTTTTTCAAATTTGTTAGAGGTATTTTCGAGAAAGGCTCAGAAGAAGCTGAAGGACAAATGAAATCAAACCAATATAGACAGTTCATTTAAAACCACTCACTACAGGGGAACGAAAATGAAGCGACATATTTGATCGTGCAACTTATAATTTTAAATTGGTCAAATAAATCCAAAATAAAGAGTTCATTTTTACATTTGATATTTTGTTGAGCTTATCATAATACTCTACGGTTCTTTACAAACGATCAAGCTTTCGCAAAAATTGAAATTCATAAATATTTGTTGCAAAAATCCTGATATTGTTGTAGAGATAATAAAGACGTAATAAACCTTACACAAAATCTATAAATAGCTGATTGTGCCTTTTTTTAATCAACATAAAAGTAAATATATTCTAATATACACTACACTACTACTATATATATGATACCTGAAGGTCATGTAAGCATATGATGACACAAGCTAATTCGAATGATACTGGGAATGTGCAAACATTAGAACGATATGTAGCTGTTAAGACAAAGAACTAAAATTTATTTTGTAATAACTCAAAAAAGAATTTTTTTTTCGATCTTTTGATATTGTTGGAAAATTGTTATTTTGGTTTTCTATAAATTTTTGTTTTTCTATATTTTTATTTCGGGAAATCGTTGATATTTTCTATTTCCATTTTTTTCACTGATTACGCTTGCGTTTAAAGTTTTGAGATGAATGGGTTTTGATTTTCCATAGATATTGCTGGATTCAGACGATTATTAGCTTATAAAGTCACAACGGTTAAGAAAAATTGAAAATATGTATGGACTGTTAGTAGCCCCAAATGGTAGAGTTTGACATTGATAGATATTCCCAAAGATTGTTGATGTTTAATGATTTTGTTATCCTTTGGAATTCCTTAATGTAGCCTAGACTATATTGAGAATCTAATTCTACGTTTTTGAAGGGATCATTAATTATTTTTGTAACTTTTCATGAAGTTAATAAAATTGATTTTGATATATTTCGACGGGGTATTTATATATCCATGCACATATATGTTATGTGTTTATGGATTAGGTATTTCCAACAGTCTAAGAATTGTTGGTGATATCTTTATAATAGCTCAGCAATATTTGATGTCCAAATTTATTTTGAATCTATACTTTAAACTAAAGAAACGAAGGTTGAATTTTTGAACTTTGGGAACTAATGATTTTAAATACCACCTTAAAATGATGACTTCTTTTCATAAACAAGGTAGAACTCGAGTATGAAACTAGAGGAAGCTACTATATTCATCGAGTTTGAATTTTACAATAATATAATCTTAAAAAAATTAATTTTTCAGAAATTTGAATTAAAGAATCAAAAATATGAGAATGTACTTTACAAGTACGTAGTTTAATATTCTCTCATAAATCAATTGGAATAGATTATCGTAATTATTCTCTAATTACTCTGTAATAAATGTTACCTTATATTAGTGACGCAACCGTAAATAAGACTATGCTCTTTTATATTATCTACCTAAAACTTCGTGTTTTATCACGATTATAAAAAAAATTTAAATAAGAAGGTCATTGCACAAAAAGAAAATATATATATAAACACCATCCAGTTATTCAAATTTATCAAGTTTTCCCTCCAAAAGATAATTCAACAAATGAAATAGGAAACTCATTTAGTCTAATTGATAAACTCATCCATGAAAGTAATGCTGAATATTTTTATGTTATCATTTGCAGCTGTTGAGATATTTCTGAATTTTAAGTTTTTTTTGTAAACAATCGTTTGAAAGAAAAAAAATTCAGAATATATAATTAATCAGTTTCTGAAGATTTCCGGGCGCATTTTTTAATCCGAAAGGCAGTACTTTCCATTCATGAAGTCCAAAGGGTGTGTTGAATGCCGTTATTCGAACAGAGAAGTTTTAAGTTACATTTAAATATTGTACTTAAACTTTCATCTGTATTAAATTTTAGAAAGATTATCATTAACTAGTTTCTCAACTTTTTGTTAAGTTTTACAAATTAGTAGTGGTGAAAGCTTTTAAGGGGATATTTCAAATTCATTCACAAAATATTGAATTTGTGCTTATGAATTGAGTATTTCTAGCAATTTTTGCTAGTGATACTTAGACAAATATCTCGTAAAGACCTAAGTACGAAATGCGGGGTATTAATAACTTTCAGAACAATATTTTCATTATGGATTGAGAAGTTGTAAGAGCTCTATATGTAGCCTCAGAGGTAAAAATCATCATCAAAGAATTGCAAATAAGAACATGATAATCAAAAGTGCAACTTTGTATATCGAAACGAAGCTAGAGGATTAATTCTAGGAGGCAAAAAATTAAATTTGACCTGTCAAATTAGTAGCTCTAACTAGCTTTTGATCAAGCCAATAGTTTCCTGTTTCTATGATTACGTCGAATTTGTAAAGACATAACAAAACTTTGTCGTTTGTACAATTTAATTCAAGTAGTTTATAACACACTCTAATAGTACTGTTTTATATAGTGAGCATAAATTACACAAAATATGAACAGTAAAGTTTGAATGCTAAAAACACGTTGATTTATAAATTTATATATAATTTAAATTCTGTTAGTTATTTACTGAGAATTATATATCTGCTAGTTTTTGTAAAGATCCCTACTTCGTTTTCTTGGGTTGTATTTTTTAAATACTCTATGATTCGGTTGTAACTTTTAGATGCATAGCTTGATTGGCTTAAAACATTCATCACTAAAATCAAAGATTTAACTAAAGAAAGAAATTTAGATGGATTAAATTTAAGTCGATTCGAAATCAATAATTATTATATAACAAATACAAAATATTCTACACAAAATTGAGGAATTTTTTTGTTAGATACAAATAATTTATAACATACTTAACAATATTAAAATTGTCATGTATTTTCCAAAAATCTTTGGTTTGTCCGTCAAACCCAATGACATTTCTTTGTGATTGAGTCTAAGTAGATTTAATCCCCAAGGCTAAATAGTATGGCGTGAAGCTAAATATTGTTGGAGTTGAATTGTATATAATTAATTGCATTCTAACTATTGAAGATATCATTGACTTAATTTTCAACTTTGAAATAAGTTATTAAATTAACACATGATGATTCTCCTAGGGATATTTAATATTCATTAACATATTAAATATGTTCAATGGATCAAGTATTTCTAATAATTATAAAAATTGTTAGTGGTATTTGAAAAGATCCCCTTGTAAATGTGAACAGAATGGGGAGAAATGAAAGTAAATTTTACAAGAAGGTTGTTAGAGTTAATTAAATAATCATTGAAGCTAGTTGATGTTAATTTGTTCCTCAAAACAACAGAATATTCAGGACAGGACATCAAACCTTGTTCAAAAATGAAAGGTTGATTAATAAAGTAAGGTTGTCTACTATTTTATGACCCATACATATTATTATATAATATACAATAAATATATTAATATATATAATAGTACTACCTAAATAATAATTTCCCTTAATTAATTCTTTATCTTATCTATTAAAGTAGTGTGTACTGTATATAGAGTATTGCCCCTACTTTAATTAATTATTATATGAGTAAAAAAGAGGGTACTAAAATATATTTATAATAATTATATTATGTATGATATTAAATTATACAACTTATATATGATACATTAAACAGTTAATTATGTCAAATTCAACGACATCTTCATCAAATAATTCAATTATATCAAATTCAAATAATAATAATAATAATAAGAAAAAAAAATCAAAATTAAAAAAACATTTAAAACTCCAGAATTCTTCCACAACCACCACCAAAAATCAAGATTCAAATTTACAACCACAATCAATTGATATTGTTAATACTACCAATGGTAATAACAACACATTTGAAGACGAAGAAGATAATAATCCATTTCTGCATCATGAAGGTTTAACAAGTTTTATAAATAATGATGATTCTAATTTAAATGATGTTGATGAATCAATGTTATTATATAAAAGTAATAATAATAGTAATAATACCAATGGTAATAAATCAAATGAAAATCAAAATAATGGTCAACAAACAAAACCACCAATGAATAAAAATGAATCATTTAATACAGTTACAATGAATTTTGAAAGTAGAGTTACAAAATTATTACAACCAAAAGTTAAAGTTAAAATTTTAATTACAGAAGCAGGAAATTCAAATGAAGGTATGAATAATTCACTGAAAAAATATATTGTTTATACTATAAAATTAATTAATTTAGATATAAAAAATGATGAAATTTTAACAAGAAGAAGATATAGTGATTTTGAAAGTTTAAGAGATATATTAACTAAAATATTTCCTTTAATAATTATACCACCAATACCTCCAAAGAACTATTTTGATTTTTCTGTATTTAATGGTTTAACTGGTAATAACGGATTTGGGTCAATTCATGTAAACAATTCAGATAATGGATCATCACCACCATCAGCTGCAATAACTATTCCAAATAATTCATCAAATTCATCTTCATCATCTACATCATCCAATAAAAAACAACTAATAGAACATAGAAAAAGATTATTAACCAATTTTTTAAATAATTGTCTTGAGATAAAACAAATACGAAGTTTAGAATTTTTTGCAAAATTTTTAGATCCAAATGCAAATTGGTCAGATGAAATTTCATTAATACAAAATCAATTACCAAAATCTATTTATTTACTGAATCCTGAAAATGGGTTAAAAACTGATACTATTTATTCAAATTTACCAAATCCATCAACTAAAAAAACAATGAGTTTTTTCAAAGATAATAAAAAAAGAATAACTAAAAAGACAAATCAATTAATAAGTAATCCCGAACCATCTCAATCTGATACACTAAAACAAAAACAAAATGAAAAAATAATAGACACATCAGGGCTAGATGAAGTAAATAAGAAAATAATGACAAATTTTATTGGATTATCGAATGATTATGCAGAATTAGGAAGTGTTTTTAATTCATTTTCATTAATGTTTTCAGAAACGCTAATGCTGAGAAGTGACGATAACAAATTAAAATCAAGTGAAAATGATGATGAATTGAATTATTTATTTGATAAAATTGGTCAATGTTTTGATAGATCATATATTACAATAAATTCATTAATTGGAGATTTAGAAACTAAAGTATCTGAACCTTTGGGAGAAGCTGTACAATATACTCAAATGTTACATTATGTTACAAAATATCAATCGAAAAAATTGAAACAAAAGAATATGCTAGATAATGATATAAAGTCCAAAAGAAAAGAATTAGATGAATTATTAAAAATAGAGGAAGAAGCAGGGAAAGTAGAAAATGCAATAAAAACACAACATAATGGTAAATCCAAATCATATAACCTTAAGAAAGAATCTCAAACTCCACAAAATCAACCCAATATATCACCACCATCATCATCATCATCGAGTAAATTTAAATTACCAAGTTTTAAAAAAATAACTCAATACGTTACAGAAATAATGGATCAAAATCCTCAACAAACTAGAAAACAAAAAATTCAAGATTTAATTTCTAAGATATCAATTTTTGAGAAATGTCAAGATATAATGTTGGCTGATTTATCTTTTATATTTGATGAAATAAATAAAAATCTAAAAAATTTCCATTTAAAACAATTGAAATTAATACTTGAAATTTTATTGTATTATAACAAATTTATGATTATTTGGGCCAAAAAAAATGTCGATTTATGGGAATCAATAAAAGAAGAGATAAGTAGTCAATAACCAAGAAAATTTCAATAATAAATAATGCATAATATAAATTATATAATTTATAAATATTTTTTAATCTTCTTCTAAATATTGAATAATTGAAGGACCCCATTCACTTGCTCTTTTATAACGAGCAATATCTTCTGGAAATCCTCTTATACCACCAATTAATCTTTCTCTAACTTCTTTACCTTCAGCTTTTACTTGATTTAATGGAATTAAATAAGTTCTAATAGTAAATACAATAGCTTCAGTTTTAGGTAATTTAGTTAATACTTGACGTTCAGATCTATAATAATATTCTTCAAATTTCATTTCCTTGTAAGGTATAGCCTTTTGTATATAATCATCAGGTAAATTATGACCTTTATTATTATCATCAACGTAAAATTTACTATGTGGTTGAATTGACCAATTTGATCTTGTTACAAATTGATTTGGATTTATACGATTGAAAAATTTATTCATTGATAATTTTAATTTTGTTTCATAACCTGGTATTCTTTCATGAATAAAAGTTAATGGCATATTAAATCTATCATTTGGATCAAATCCTGCTGCAAATGCAAATACTCCAGCTTTGAAAAAATATTCTTCACCGTTTTTTTCATGAATTTTTTTGGGATCTTTTAATAAAATTATAAAATCTTCTTCTATATTTTCAGTGAGATATTCTTGTAATTTAATCCCATCTATACCACTACCATACCTTGGATATGATTTGTTAGTAATTAAATTTTCAATTTTTTGGTCATTATCAATTAATTTAAAACAAGTTGGATATTTAGTCAACATATAATTCATAACAATTTCATAAAAATCAACAACGGCATCATTAGCTTCATCAGTTATAAATAATGTAGAATCTCTTGTATTCTTATCCTTTGGATGATCAGGATGACAATTGTTTAAAATCTGTTTCTTATTCTCCAATCTTGATAAATAAGTTGGTTCAATTAAAAGCCAATCTTGATAATTTAAATTTTTTATACCCATTGTTAATTTATACACTGCATTTTTAAAAGGGTACAGTTTTAAAGGATCTATTTCATCCCATTTGAAATTAGTCTGTGGTATTAATTCAAGTGATGTAGGTACATTATCATAAAAAGTTTTAGGTTTTTGAGTTGTTTCGCTTATTGTAGTTGGAAATTTCTTATCAGCGGTAAAATATTTTTTGAATAGATAAAATGTTAGGATAAATGAAACTGTTAATGTAATTGTTTTGATGTCTGTTGGGATATTTAAGACATTGTAATCAGTTAACGTTGAATTCATGAAATTTTGTATAAATCTTGAAAAAAAAAGGTAATTTATAGATTGTTGCAAAAATTTGGAAGTATTTGTATATTTAAATTAATGTATATTCTCGCTATGACTATAAAAATTTAAGCGGAATATTTTATTTCATTATCAGCGGAATTTATTGTCAACTCGTATTTCGAAACTTTTAGTGGTAGCGATGATCATCTAACGAAATTTCAAATTTCTGCTTTTATGCTGTACTATTGTTAAAGTAGACCCCACATTTCACTAAATTTATAGATGTCTACTACATCTTTGATTGGCAATTATATCAGTCATGATCAAAAAATAGAAATTATTAAAAAATTAGCCAAGCAATTAAATGAAAGTAATGAAAACGTTGATGTCTTAGTGGAGTTTTTGCATAATGTACAACCTGATTCAGATACTTTCAAATTAATTGAATCTTATTGTCAAGACCATTTGTTGGACGAGGAATATAATGAGCAAATTTATAAATTACTAAGTGCATTACCAGAATTGGAATCAAAAGCTATTGAGAAAATCACTTCTTTAACTCAAAATTACATCGATAATCACAGGGTACAATTTGAAAATGATTATTATCAGTTATTTCATTTAAATGCCCAGAAATCGGATCAAGAAGTATCGGATGAAGATATCAGCTCGTTGTTTTCTTTGCTAGATATTATTTTCAAAAATGGTAAACAGGAAGTGATAATACATATGGATAAATTGATTTTACTATTACTTGGATCGGATGAAGATGTAGTGTCAAAAGCTGCATCAAATTTATTAAGATGGAGAATAAATCTACTACTGAACGATGCCGATGCATTTGATTTGTGTTGGGATGTCATTTTCTTTTTAGTTGACTCAAAAGATTCATTAAAACAATATCATGGATATGTATTGTGGCTAAGATATATAAACTCTAGTGAAAACCTAAAAGAGAATCAAAAGTTTCAAACAATTTTGGACCAAAATATATATTGGGGCAAAATCCAATCAATATTAGGTGATAAATGTCATGAATTAAGAAAATATGGAATGTTCATACTACAAATGTCAATAAAATCTATAAACTCAAACGTACAAAATGATTTTATAAAATGGGATACCACTAAGTCACAAGACTACATCAACGAATGGGAAAGATATGTAACACTATATGAGGTTTTAGCAATAGATACGTCACTACATCAAGCAAAAGCAGGGATGAATGATATTACAAATTTAATTTCACCACAATCATTAATTTTACCATCATGGGGTTGGTGTTTATTATCAACTGGGTTTCAAGCTCCGAATGATTCAGTTAGGAAATTTACAATGAGTATGTTACTTTCAATTCCACTGATAAATTTGTATCTCGTTAAAGATGCATTACAAGTTTTAGAAAAAACCCTTTTGCCTAATTTGATTAATGCTCCTAATTTTGACGTTAAGACTTTAAATGGGATTGTTGAGTGTCCGTATGCATACAAATTAAAAGATACAATTAAAAACATGGTCATTAATTTGGACGACCAGGAAGATCTTCAAAATATCTCATCAACTATCCTTGGCTATTTAGCATCTCATGGTCATAATTTTGGTCCATCAAGAATATTGGTATTACATGGTGTACTTGAAGGTTTGAATGGTAGAAAAGTTTTACAATATGGAGTTCATGATCAATATTTGTCATCAATTTTCGAATCTAGCTGTGAAGGAGGAGTATTGGAGACTTATTTCCAAACCGTAAGCTTAAGACTTATACTTAATTTTGAACCAGAATTGAAAAATTCATTGGCATTACTTGATAAATTTTGTAAGTTTAATGGACTTAAAGTACTCAAAGACAACATTACTTTATTCGAAGAAGTTACTAAAGCTGAACCTGTTGATGAAGTTATGAAACAGGACGGAAACGTCGATCAAAAGATACTTCTACTTGGTATAACCACTCAAATTATGTATTTGCCTGAGACTGATTCTTTATTAATAGCCAAATTATTAGAGTCAGGGTTCAGAAAAGCTACTTTGAAAGCGAATGAAGATAGATTGAGGATGTTAGTGAATTCAAATGATCCAGAAGTCATTGAGACTCTTTCAAATGTCGATTACGAAAAATTCACATTTGCTGTTCCTAGTAATGATGCTATTTCTAAGTTATGGTCAGAAATTGAGGTAGATCTACAATCAGGGAATATTGAAATTTTAGAAAGATCATACTATAAATACAGATTGTTTAACAAATTGTATAAACATTCATCATTTGAGTTCATAAACCCTAAACACGTAATTGATTTTCATTCAAAGTTATTAGCGAATACCGAAGATATAACAAAGCAAGACAGATTTTTTTATAAATTGAAAAGTAAGATAGATGGTGAATATTACAACTCACTAAGAATTCAATTCGAAAAACATCCAACGGATTTTGATGATGAATTTAAGATTTTAAATCCAAATACTTCAAGTTATGAAGCTAATCTTGCCATGGTTGCATTAATCAATAATTACTTAAGTTCAGAGAAATTCGTTCCAAATAATGTTTCTCAAATTGTATTATTGTTATCGGAAATGTGGTCTAATGTTGTCGAGAGCAGATTGCTTTTGAATCAACAAGACCTACATTTACTGACAATTAAAACTATGTTAAACTCCAATATAATTTTCAATTTGGACTCTGACCACGAGATAAAAAAGTTTTGTCAATCTGTTATAGAAAATTCTGCAACAAGAAGATGTTTCTTGCCTACTTTAATTTCAAGTCTAGTGAAAGCTCAATTGAACGACCAGGAAAAATTCGAACAATTAAACTGGTTACCGGAAGTACTTACAAATGCTTCACTTGTTCGTTCTTCATTAGGTTCATATTTCTTATTAATTGGTATCATGTCTCAAATATTTGATGATGAAGTTGCATTAGATAAGAATACAAACATATATAAAGAAGTTTATGGTGATGAAGAAATAAGTGCAAGAATTAACTTATCAGCAATAGTTAACTCAATTCAACTGCCGGTTTTTTCACAAAGAATATACAATTACATCATAGATAATCAAGCACAATATAGATTTTTCCAACCATTAAAATGGAATGATCATAATGAAGAATGGGATAGATTACAATTATACACTATACTTACATCCATCATTGATAAAGTAGATATAGATTTTAATTTGATTAAAGAAAGATTAAATAAAGAACAAAGTCCTTTAGTAAGAATGTACATTGAATGGATGATTTCTTATAATATGTTTAAGAGTCAAAAATATATGGATGCATTAATAGAAGACTTGAAGGTGAATCTGAACTCACTAAAACCAGCAGTTGTTACGTCATATATCAGAGCTTTATTCTTAGCGGTTGTTCAGTTGGATAAAGATTTAAAAGTTAAATATTTACTCGAGCTTATCAATTTTGTCATAACAGGTTGCTCTTCGCTGAGAAAAATGATTAGACATTTTTCATTATCATTAATTATATCCATCAGGAATGAAATAAAGAAAAAAAATTCAGACGTTGACTCAAATGTTCAAGGTATCGTTGAAAACATGTACGAAAGTGCCATCAACTCAGATAATTTTAAACATTTTAGAAGTGGTGATGCACTCTTGTGGGATATTATAAAAGACTTGAATCTAGTTTCATTAAATGGTGGTATTGTTTTAAGATTAACAGATCGAGAAGATATAGATTTCATCAACGAAGAACAATTCAAACAATACTTATCAGACGAGCAAATTAAATTATTAAGACATCCAATAGGTAATGATGAAACAGACATATGGATCAAAGAAAAACTAAATGAGAAAAAAGTAATAATGACTCAAGCTGATCCAGTTAATCAAATTCCATTACAAACTAAAAGTGGAGCATTAACAACAGTAGATAATGATCTAGACATTATAAGTTCCAAGAAGGAAGTAAACAGAAGTGATCTAATTGTTGTTTCTTCCTTAGTTGATAAACCACCAAATCTTGGAGGTATATGTCGTTTATGTGATGTCTTAGGTGCTGGTTTATTAACGCTCCATGATTTGGAAGTGAAAAATGAACAACCATTTAAATCAGTAGCTGTTACTGCTGATCAATGGATGCCAATGATTGAAGTTAAACCTGAAGATATTAAAAATTATTTACAAGAAAAGAAAAAAGAAGGGTATACTTTGATTGGATTGGAGCAAACTGATAAATCAATTGTTTTAAACAGTGAATTGAAATTCCCAAAAAAATCGTTGATGTTGTTGGGTAAAGAAAGAGAAGGTATTCCAGGCGAATTGTTAGCAGAGTTAGATTTTTGTGTTGAGATAAAACAAGTTGGAATTGTTAGATCCATGAATATTCAAACTGCGACTGCTGTTTTAGTTCATGCTTATTCTTCACAGCATTGTTAAAGTTGTAACATTAATCATTATTTATTATTCTAGATACTCATAGAATTATATACCTGTGATAAATTTCTAGAACACTGATCTTTCTGCGTCGTCTTCTTGCTCTATTAACGTATCCAATGCTTTTATAATTGATGGACAAAATTTATTACATAATGCAATAGATTTAATTAAAAGATTTTTATTTAAACCTTTGAAATTCGAATTATTTGAATTTATAGCAAAATTAGTATTATTTATAGGTGTGATGACTTTCCCATCATAAAAACTAACAATTAATCCATTCTCCAATACTTGTTCTTCTTCAACTGATGGATCAAATATTAAATTATTCCCCACTACTCCAATAATTATAAATATTGGTGGTTGGAAAAATTTATCACTTGAGTTTTGAGAATCCAATATTTCTTGTAAAGTTCGAGCATTATCCCAATCATCTGAAAATGTAGGTAATTCAGCAACTTCCGTATCGTCATTATTACTGATTAATAAAGGTAATTTTAAAGTTTTCAAAGCTAAATAAGTCCCCAAACTTATTAAACCTAATGGATATGAAGTATGACTTATAATAACACAATCAATAAATAACTTAAATGCATATCTTGAAGTTAATTTCAATAAATCAACGGGAAAATTTTGTTGTAAAAGATTCAATAATTGAAATTTCAAATTTGTAATATAATTTGAATCATCTCTATATCCAATAATATCAATATCGAAATCAATTAAATTCGGAGTGGTGTTCTGATCATACGTTATGACTTTTGATTTAATACTTATTATACATTCACTACCATCCAGTAGTCTTATCCTGGCTGAACCATTTGAACCTGGTAAAAATGATGTAGTTGCTTCTAATGGTCTATGTTGTTGATTTGATCTTGAATCTGGTCTTATTATTTGTGATTGACTCAATGAATCATAAAGATATTGCTTTTCAGCTGGTGATAATAGCATTATTTTTGAAGTTTTCTATGCTATGTTGTACTTTTATATTTCGTCTAATGTGATGAAGAGCTTCTTGATTTTTTAAAGTTACAAAACTGCATTGATTTTTAGCTGCAAAATTTTGATATGTATATAACATTTAATCGAATTAAACAAAATCTTAGACCTGCAACAGCATCTTTTGAACATACTCTTTATCAAAATCACTTCAAAGAGAATAAAACTTGCTTCTCAATGAGTCGTTTAGCTCGTGGTTATATGCTTCTTCAAACAGTATCATAAAACACTGACATTGCTACCAAATTTTTCACCATACAAAATTTCTTAAGTACTATTTCTTTCCATCTTTTCTTTTTGTTTACAATATCAAAATTCAAATTCATCAAGTTAGACGAATATTTAAATATCAATTAATATCATTGAGAATTAATAGCCCTTGTCGGAGTAAAAGGAGCGGAATAAAACTATAACCAAAAATGTCAACATTATTCAATCGTCAACCCCAAACACAATTTCTCACTGGAAACAATAATCAATTCAGCTCACAACAACAGCAACAACAGCAACCAACTTCATCAATAACTTCAAATAATCAACCACAATTTTTACAACCTCGTCAACAGCAACAACAACAACCCGCATGGCTTCAGTCTCAACACAACCAAAAGAAAAGAGTAATACCCAATCATTTAGTACCACATAAGAAATCAAACTTTCAGATAAATGCTCCGAACTTATCAAAATTAAACAAAAATTCATCAAACTCTTCACTGTCGTCAATGTTGGTTTCTAATGACCAATTTAATATAGTTTCATTTGGTAATAATCGTAAACACACAGTCGGTAATGGAGCTTTGATAGATAGAAATAATACAAGTTTAAGTGCATTATTTGATTCAGTTGGTGGTGATCTTAGTCGATTTGATGAAACCATGAATGAAAGTTTCCAGCAAGATGATAGCATAATAAAAAGTAACGAAGCATTAGCAGATGCTCCACCTTTAAGATCAATGTATGATTTGAATGGAGATTCTTTTGAAGTTAGTAAACCAAGTAGGAAACAATCAAATTCAATAAATAAAGATCCTAAAAGTTACAAGAATTTATTCACAAGATTTGAGTCAAGTGATGATAAATTAGATAAAGAAAGTAGAGGAGATGATAAAAAGAATTCAAATAAAATTGACTTAGATTCAAATGCAATAATAGTATTTGGATATCCAGAAAATACATCTATTCAAATTATACAATTTTTCAAACAATTTGGTACAATTCTTGAACAATTCACTGATTTATCAAATACAAATGAAGGTGCAACATTATTAAGTACACTCGAAAAACAACAAACAAATGCAAACATATTCACTGGTTCCAACTGGATTAAGTTCACTTATGATAATCAAAATTCTGCATTAAATGCATTACAAGAAAATGGTTCAATTTTTAATGGAAATTTATTGGGTGTTGTTCCTTTCCACAAGAGTGTAATTGAAAAATTGGAGAAAAAGAAAATATTCACTAATGAAAGTATTAACGATTTATCAACTCCGTTAAATTTCGATAAGACCACCACTAAAAACGAGAGTATAATCACACCACCATCCTCATCTACTTCAACATCCGGTGCAAATAAGTCAACGTATATAAATAGATTAGATATAAAAGAAGGTACTAGTTTCTTTATAAACCCTGATGAAAAGAAAGATGAGAATAATAAAACCGAAAATAATAAACAACCAAAATTAAGCTTGTTATCGACATTATCCAAATATATATTTGGTTTCCATGATTTATAGAGTATATATTAATAGAAAAATGAAATGCATGAATGACTTCTAATAAAATGTTTTAATCATTAATAAATTACTCGAATATATTGTTTTTATTTCCAACCTGGTTTAGGTCTATTGTAATCTGAATCTCGTCTTGGTGAAGGACTTCTATAAAATACAGGAGTTCGTTGGGGTGATGGTGATCTATATAATTGCGGTGTTCGAGTAATTGGTGAATGATGAGACAGAGTTATGCCCTCTTTTTTAGGATAATCTAAATTAGGTTTTTTTGGTGACAATCTTTGTGGACTTAGTCTCATAGTTATATTCGATCTGTGTGTAGGACTTGGCGATCTATTATAACTGACGTTATTTGAATAAGTTGGAGTTCTTGTAAATCTTGCGGATCCAGGACTTTGCATACGGCCTATTGGAAGTTGGTTTTGATATGGTGTAGATGAATAATAACTATTGTTGTAATCATTCTGATAATTTATTGGTGGTGCAATATAATGTTGAGCTTGTGGATATTCATACACGCTGCCTCTACGACTTGCAGCTCGACTTGGCACTCTACTTGGTTGTTGGCTTCTTGGAAAATATAAATTATCAGTTTCACCATTCTCTGGTTCTTCTGCTATTGTTGAATCAATATATTCTGTAGTTGGCTTACCTTTTGAATCATGTGTAGTAAAAGCTTTCAGTCTTGTGAACGTGTATGGTTTATCGTTCACTAAAACAGATGAATATAAAGGCCCCATTGTTGCATCCACCACCGCATCTTTCTTTAATATGTTTGTCTTTGGTAGTACAAATTTATTATTGAACTCACTAAAAGTCTCTTGGAATAATATCTTTTTATCCTGTAATAAATTCAAAAATCCTTCTATCAACTTGTAGTTTAATGCAGTCACTAACATTATTAGTATAATCATACTCAAGGATGAAATTTCTGAAGTATAATAATGAATAATATAGTTATTAACTGGATTCAAAGCAATATAAACATATAATGAAAATTTAGAAGGTTCCCAAACTCTTAATTGCCAAGATTCACCTTCTCCTATATCTTCAGTATTATCATGAAAATTTTCACTTCCGTCTTCTCCATCTTCCTCATCTTTTGAGAAGAAATTAACAATGAAATAAAGAGCCATGTAAAAAATTGATTCTTGACTAGCTGGATGAACTGCTGATTTATAATGAGGTTTGTTTTTGCAATATAATAATTGGTAATTTCTCCTACCGGTATATATTAGCACAACATTTACGAGTGACAATATGGCAATCAAGCTTTGTAATCCATTTAGACTCCACATAATAGTATTAGTAGTTGAGGTATTAATTTCATAATCATGTATTTGCTTCTTAGAATTTATTGAATTTTTTAAATTTTCATATTGATAGTAATTAGAATTAAACAATGAGTTTTTAGATCTTTTATTTATAGAATTATAATAAGTCAATATGGATTGAATAACAACTGATAATGAGCAAATTGATATACCTAAAGGTAACCCTAGCGAAACTGCGTATTCATCCCAATCAATTGATAATCGTATTTCATTTAAATAAAGATATGTGTCAAATGGGAATGATTGAACTTTTGATATTAGCGATTGTTTTCTGACTAGTCTCTTTGATGACATTATAAATCATAAAACTTCATACGATAGCTTGAATCAATTATAATTATAGACTTATGATGGTAGATCTAAGAAAGAAACCTCAGTACAGATTTAATATTTTAATGCGGATCAAAAAGTAAACAAACAATTTACACGTCTTTTTTATTTTGATCTATTAAGTTTATTAATAAAACCAATTAATATCATATTACCTTTATAATAAACAGATAATAATTAATATAAATAAAAATTTCGTGGATCCAATGCTATGACTTTACTCACAAGCCCTTCAGAAGAAGACGATCCCAAGAATTTGAGAGTTAAAAATCCAGGATTATATGCGAAATTACAAAAATTTAGACAACAACAACAACAACAAAATTTTGTTAGTACGAGTCATAAAAATCAAGCATCTGATCAACTTCACATAAATGATAACGACAAAGTTACTAATATTAGTCAAAATTCATCAATGAGTAATCAATCGAAGATTAACAGAGTCAAGTTTGCTCCAAATTTAAAAACCCCGGTCCCAACTTCTTCGTCACCACACATCAACACTAGCATTTTAAGTCAATCATCAGAAATTACTGAAAAAGAATGGAAGTATAAAACGGAAATAGAAAATTTGGAAAGAAATAACAAAGAATTAATGAATGCAATACAAAAATTTCGTGAAGAAAAAGCAGAAATGATTGAAGAATTTCAAGAGAAGGAAGAACAAACATATCATGATCATGCAATGAAAATCCAACGTCTAAACAAAGATCATGACTATCAGTTAAAGAAATTGAAACAAAAACTTGAAGAAGTTGAAGCAAGACCAAAATCAAGTGATTTTCAACGCGTTCTTGATGACTTAGATCTACTTAAAAAGGAATTGAGAAGAAAGAATAGCGATTTAGATTTCGTCAGAAAAGAGCTCAATTACACCAAGAATGAACTTGATGCATCAAATGCAGACAAGAGATCTTTGGCGAATGACTTATATTCTAAAAATAAAGAATTGAATGAAGTGAAACAATCGCTGAACACTAATAAAGATGTTGACACTGAAGACGTATCTAGTAAAACACAATTTGAAGAGAAAACATCTAGTAGTTTAGATATCAGTCAATATTGTGAAAATTTGATTAAAGAAACTGAAAAGGAAAAATTGAATTACGACAATGATTTTAAATTTCTAGAAGAACGTAAAAAGCTTTTGACCGAGAGTATGGGAGATGGGTTAAATGATAATGAAGAGAATTGATGATAACAAACGTATAATGACCTAATGATAACGATTATGATGAACAAATGCATGGCTATTTTTAATAGTATATATTCTTATAGATTAAAATACTAAAATTACAGATTATTCTTATTTGTAATAACCATAACAATTACAGCTAATCAAACTTGTTGGTATGTTGCCTTATATTGTAAAGAAGACCTTTAGTTTAATATATCAATTACCTCTTAATTTTGACCCAAATTTGGTAGCAAGAATTATTCAAAAAAATGCAGACGATTAAATTTTAACATTGTAAAACAATCATCAATTAATTTGCAATAATAGCATTCCCACAAGATATTGTTGAACTGTTGAAGATTTCATTATGGATGAAGCTTTGGTGAAGTATGACGATGAAGTGAGTGTTGAAACTCAATTCGCGAAAGCGTTGGAAGATTATCAATTATCCTTGAATACAGTTAACAATAACAATAATAATAATAATAATAACAATAACACAACCAGTTTAAGTGATGATCAAATGGATCAGGATAATGTACAGCAAGCTATACCTCAAGATTTTATAAGAGTTTTTAGCGATATCACAGCAAAAAGAGCATTGGATATCAAAACTGAAAATATTAATGATGAAGAAGATACATACGTAGAAGAGGAATTTGAACATTGGGATTTAGAGACAAAATTATGGAGATTAGTTGAAAATTTGTATTATTCAAGAGTATATCAGAGAGAATCATTTGCAAGTAAAAATGAAATGCACAAATCAGATTTATTAGTAATTTTAGATTGGATACAATTTAACTCAACTATAGAACCAATTCCAAATGGAGATGATGAAGAATCATTAAAACTTCGAAACAAATGGGCAAACACTAGAATATCACTCAGTACATCAGCATATAGCTCGCTAGCTGGACACGATAGTAAAGCAAATTTAGTAGAAAAGTTAGATGTTGATGCACCTTTAAGAAGTAACAAAGAAATAGATCCAAAAGATCATGAAATTGATTCCAAGAATTTTGAAATTATATATAAATTGTTACTAATTGGTGAGGTGAAAAGTGCAATAGATTATGCAAAAGATACAGAAAATTTCTCAATGGCTTTGATATTAGCTGGTGAACTAAACATACGTAATCAAGAGGAAGAAGAAGGTGATAAAGCAAACTATAACAAAGCTGTTTGGATAAAATTGGTGTATAATTTGTCAAAAAATCCAAACATCGGATACTATGAAAAATTGATTTACAATTATTTAAGTGGTGGTGAAATAAGTGAAAATCTAAAATTAGCATCATATTCATATGAAGAATATTTGAATGTTTTAATAAGTCAGTTGTTGAATCACGACATTTTAAAAGATCATAAAACTTCAGAATTAAACGATATAGTGGTGCCTAATCCACAAGTAAATTCTTTAAAGGGAATATTAAATATTATATCAGATGCAACTGGAACACAAGCGAGTGAAGAAAGTCGTCATCCTATAAGAATTATTACAGCATCAGTCATGATAGAAGAAGTTCTGTCAATTATTGAAAGTTTGAATGAAGAAACAAGTGATGATATTTTGAGAATTGTTACACATCTTGCTATATTTTTAGCTCTCATTGAACCATTAGAAAATCCAGATCAATTAAATGCAATTATCACATTATACGTTTCCAGACTAGCTGAAAATAATCAAAATGATCTAATACCAATATATTTATCATTCATACCTGATGAAAAAGATGCAAGAGAAATATATTCAATAATACTTTCATCAATTACTGACAAACTGGAAAGAGCTAAACAATTACAAATTGCTAAAAGAATTACTAAAACAATGGGAAATCAAGATGAATTGGTGGAAATAGATAAAGACCAAGACGATAAACTTACCAATGCTTTAAAGAGAACAGTAGAAAGAGTGATTGAAGAAACAGCTCCAAATTATGAGCAATCTGGACCTATTTTAGTACATGATGATGATGATTCCGAAATTGATGAAACAGATTTGAGATTATATTCAGCAGTTGAATGGTTTTACGAAAATAAAATGTACGAAGATGCGATAAAAGCAACAATAATAGTCATACGTCGTTTTTTATTAATGGGTAAATTATCAAGTTTGAAAAAATTTGCAGATGATAAAAATTTCAAAAATTTAATATCAGATTATAATTTACAATGTTTGAGTAATGAAGATGATATAGAATCTATAACAGAAGATATGAAAATTGAATTAATAAATTATTCAAATTTTGTTGAAGGGTTAAAATTAATGAGTCAATGGAGAAAATTTGCAGCTGAAAAGAATTCATTTAATGTATCAAATCTTGAATTATCTTTAAATAAGACTAATCAATTATTGACTGACTTATTGAATGACTGGCTTACAGATTTGTCAGATCCAATGTTGAAAGAATTCAGAATACTTTATATTCCATACATAATATTGGAATTGATTACAATATATCAGAATGCAAGATCTAAAGATTGGAAATATATAAAGTTAGCATTTGAATTAATAAACAAAGTTGCTGATGATTCACAAAATGACTTTTTACAATGTTTCAAATCAAGTGATAGACTAAAAGAATTTCTATCAAAGATTGGTGAATTATCTATAATTGCAAGTGAAGGAGGATTAGATACTTTATATTGTCTATAAAAATACATAATAATAGTAACTTTTTTAATTTAATGAGCTTGCTTTTTCATATAATAAATCTACAACACCAGATAAATTCTTTATTAAATCTAATGAAGCATTATAAGCAGCATCCTTTTTAGGTTCATCATAAATTATAAGCCATCCATTACCTTGATCCAATACACCATAAAATATTTTATCTAAAATCATTTGACTCAATTTTCCTTCAACTTGTTTTACATTTAATCCAATAACTTTTGCAATATGATCTAATTCAACACATTCATAAGATTTTATAATTTTTAATAAATTGACTTGTAATAATTGATCATATAATGAATTAAAATGATTTTTAATAATTTCATCTGATTTTAATTCTGTTGAATATTGAATTAAACTATTTTCAAATTCTTTTAATGATCTATTTGAATATGCTACTGCAATTGATTTCATTGCATCTATATCCTTTGATTGATATTGTATGACATTCTTGTTTTTGAGTATATTATTTACATCATCTATTAAATTTAACATGATTTTGGATAATAACATATATTTTAAAACTTTGACTGAAGTTTTGCTATTTTCTTCCGATTGTTGTGAATTAAAGCCTTCAAAACTTTCATAAAAATACGAAAAAGCAGTCTTATAATCTTTATCTTCCATATTTAATATGCCACTTTGACAATCTAATTCTGCTTGTAAAATAGTTGGACAATATATTGAATTTGCCGAAGTTCTTGCACTAGTTAATGCTGCTTTCGATTTAGGTATATTTCTTAATGCGTGATATATTTTACTTTCTAATAATTGAACTTCAACTAATGAAGATTTATCATCCAATTTTTTATATTCTCTTAATAATTCATTTATAATTTTAATGGCTTCATGATATTGATGTTTTTGATATAATAAATCACTAAGTTTCACTTGTAAACTTTGTCTTAAAAATGATAATTTGGAATCAATTGACCAATCAATTGATTGTTTTGTTGCTTCAATTTGTATATCTAATGCATTTGTTAAATTATCGAAATATTCAATTAATGTTTTAACTATTTTGGCAGTTTTGGATTTAGCAAAGTTACCTAATAATTGTCTTGAACTTTTAATTAAATCTGATAATTGTTGTGGTTTATCTGTGATTTTATATATTTTACCCAATTCTAAAATTGCAGATTCTTGTAATTGTAGTTTTTTGGTGGAGTTGGTTGTTTCAGTATCTTGTTTTGATTCTTCTAGAATTTGATGATATTTTTGTTCTGCAACGTCATATTGTTTATTCGTTACAGCATCTCTTGCCTCTGTAAGTAGTGTTTGTTCAGACATATTGTAGTGGTAATTGAATGTAAATGTTGAATTTGAATTTGACTACTTGGTTGTAAATGTTTCAAATTTGATTTTATTTTGCCATTCAGAGTTGAAAAAAACCTGGTGGTAGTGCTACCAAACAACATCAAATATTTTTTCACTTTATAGGTATTATCAAAGAACCAAATCAATTCTACGTTCATAAACCAACCTTTCGCAAATTGATAATGATGTTACGAATCCAAAGAAATCCGTCACTACTACTACGTCGTAATAACTTTGTACCCAGATCCATAGTCTCATCAACTCGACATTTCGCATCAAATCCATTCCCAATTAATCAAAAACAACCAAATAAAGATGATAAAAAAGACCAACCAAAATCAAAATTCGGAAGATTAGTCAAATATACTCAATCAAAATATTTCCAAGATAAAACGATGCCCAAAATATATATAAGTGCATTAGTAGTTTCATTAGTTCCATTATATTTTTATATGAGAGATCGTTTCCATGAAGATAAACAATTAAAATATATAAATGATAAATATGCAAAAGATCCTTCATCGTTATCTGAATATGAATATTTAGCTTTGAAATCATTAAGTACATCAGATAAATTAAGACCCTTGGAAGCAAAGAAATATAAGATTTACCAACTAATGAGAAAAGAATTTAGAAGAAAGAATTTATTTAATGGAGAAATGTTTAATCCATCACCTCAAGAATTAGAAGAATGGTATCTGAAACAAGTTAGAGTTGGGAAGGGCAAAACAGTTAAAAAGGCACCAGTATTAACAGATGTAGATGAAGATTATAAAATCAATAAAGAAAATTCATCAATTGTTTCACCAGAAGATACAACTGAGTTTTATGACACCAAGGCAAAAGAATATGATGATGCAGTGAAATGGGAAGAAAGAGGTATATTTATGGGTTTGAAAAGAAGATGGTTGATGTCGAATATTAAAGGGGACGTGTTGGAAATTTCTTGTGGAACAGGTAGAAACATTCCTTATTTAACATCATTCATTGACAAAGTAAAATCAATTACATTTTTAGATTCTTCACAAAATATGATTGAAATCACTAAAGAAAAATTTAATGATAAATTTCCAAATTTTAAAAATGTTGCTTTTACAAAAGGTAAAGCAGAAGATTTATTAGAAATGGTTGGAGAAAATAATAATTTGAAATATGATACAATAATTGAAGCATTTGGATTATGTTGTCATGAAAATCCAGTAAAAGTTTTAAAAAATATGAGTAAATTATTAAAACCAGGTGGTAGAATTATTTTATTAGAACATGGTAGATCAAAATGGGATTTTATAAATAATCATTTAGATTTTAGATCTGAAAAAAGAATGAAAACTTGGAAATGTAGATGGAATTTAGATATAGGAGAATTAGTTGATGAAGCTAATTTAGATATTACTTTGGAAAAAAGAGCTCATTTGAGTACTACTTGGATGTTGGTACTAAAAAGACCTGAAGATCCTATTACTACTGATGAAAAACCATTTTTGGATAAATTATTTGGTAGGGAAGTTAAAACTATTAGTAAATAATTTTGTATATAGTTGAGTTAGTTTTGATTTCTTGAATATTATGATTTGTCTTCAATTTTTTCATTTTGGGTGTTTTGTTCGTCCACTTCTTTTTCTTCTTGTTTATTTAGTCTATCAATATCTTCCATTAGTTTCTTTTCTTCTTTCTCTTTATTTGTCTCATTTAGTATACCACGCTCAACTAATTCTCTATTCATATTCTCAACTCTACCAACTTGCTCTATTAGACTTAATTTATTTTCATCTATTATGCCGTTGTATAATTCTGAATCTTCGTTACTTATATTTTTGTTTGTCAATTCTTTTTTTAGTTCATTATTCGTTTCAATTAACTTTAGTATAAATTTGATTTGTTGTTCCTTTTTCTGTATTAATTCTTGTTCTGATATATCTTTTATGGCTGTCTGAAATTGATATGATGATAAATTAGGATATTCCGACATTATTTGATTTAAAATATATTATGTTGCAAATAATTGAATTTGGTTGCCTTTCTCTACACATGTTTAACGAATTTATTTATTTGCAACGTCGTGAATCATATGTTGAGACAAGTATGAAATTAATTCACGACAAAAACTCATACTATAAAATTTATCAGATATCAGAAACTACAATTACAACTACAAATCAGTTATTTATATTCACACATATCAATGATACGACGTACTAGAATCCTACTACCAAAATTCAAAAGATTTTACTCAATAAATTCTACATCCTCGACATCATCAAATCTAGACTTACCAAAACTACATCCATTATTAATTCAAAGAGCAAAATTTTTAACAAATGAACATGAAGAACTTTCTGAAAAATTAGAAACTTATGATCCAGATTTACAAATAAAATTTGATAGATTAACTAATATAATAAACATATATTCAAACTTCAACAATCTTAATAATGAAATACTAGAACTTAATGCCATAAAAGATCCAGAATTAATTAATGAAGCACAAGATGAAATTAAAACTTTATTACCACAACTTCAAACCTTAACAAAAGATTTACAAACTAAATTATTACCACCATTAAAATATTCAGAATCCAAAACTCTAATAGAATTAAGACCAGGTGTTGGAGGAAATGAAGCGTCGTTATTTACAGAAGATCTTTTACAAATGTATATAAATTTTTCAATAAATCAAAATTGGAAATATAAACTAATATCAAGTGGTAAAAATTCAAATGGGTTTATGAATGAAGCTATATTATCAATAGATGAATATGGATCATATGACATATTAAGACATGAAAGTGGAGTCCATAGAGTTCAAAGAATTCCAGAAACTGAATCAAAAGGCCGTATACATACATCAACATCTGCAGTTATAGTATTACCAAAATTATCAGAAGGTAATGAACAAAGTCTTAAATCAGATGAAATGCAATTTAAACCTGGTGAAGTTAGAATAGATACAATGAGAGCAAGTGGTAAAGGTGGTCAACATGTTAATACTACAGATTCTGCAGTTAGATTAGTTCATTTACCAACTGGGATAATAGTTACTCAACAAGATGAAAGATCACAACCACAAAATAAAGCTAAAGCATTTGCAATTTTAAGAAGTAGATTAGCTGAATTGGAAAGAATTGAAGAATTGAAAAAACAAAAACAATTAAGAACTTCTCAAGTCACAACAACTGATAGATCAGATAAAGTTAGAACTTATAATTATCCACAAAATAGAGTTACTGATCATAGATGTGGGTTTAGTTTACATGATTTAAATGGATGTTTAAAAGGAGAAAAATTGATTGAAATTATTGATAAAGTTAAAGAAATTGAATATAGTGAAAGATTAGAAGAAATGGTAAGTAATGAATCAAGTATTTTAAATAATAATGAAACTTAAGTATTTTAAATAATAATGAAACTTAATGATTAATGGATTTGTTAAATAGATAGATTTTATGGAATTGTACATAAAAAATCATTCGCATACATATATGTTTTGCATTTTCGTATTTGAGTTACACAACTTACATGATGATATTGTTTCAAATCTCGAACGGAATTATAAATTTAATTCTACAAAGAAACCTTATGTATGATACAATAAAAATTAACAGATATTAAACCTCTCCAACTCATGATTAACTTTAATTTGATTAAATCAAAAAGAATTAGAAAAAGTCTTGCAAACTTAACAAGATTGATTATAATTGAAAACGTTAGTATGAAAACAAGAAAGAATAAATTTCAACTGTTATAATAGATACTATTATTAATTATAAGAATTTTGTTGTTGTACAATAACTTAATAAAAATTGTGTATTACTACTCAAAAGAGTATCTATAGAAAATAATTGGATATTCTTTCATATTTACATTTGTTATAATCCCATCATTCAACATCATCTCAAGATGCTTGTCATTTCTTTTGACATCATTATATGGACTTTTAGGTCTACCTTTATGTTTAGCAGCACGCTTATCACTTGATTCTCTTTTAAAATTTAAACTTATCAGATCTATGACCACCTTTTGCTTTAACATATAAATGCTTACCATTATGTGATTTCTTTCTATAATATTTACCATTACCACTATTTCCTTGATATGATGGTTTACTAACACGATATGGTGGTTTGTCATTTCTTCTAGGGCCACAATGGGAAAGAACCACATTAGGATTATCATTTAATACATCATTTAATATTTTTAAGGGGTCAGCTGTCAAATTCTTTTGGTAGAATTTATTGACAGTGTTAGCTATTTTGAAGAGGAGATGCTCATTTGAGTCACTCTCCTGAGGTAGTTTAGATAATACCAATGGAATGTATTTATTTTTCAAAATTAACTTCAAGTAGTTACTAATTTCTCCTTCAAGTTTGGGGCCATTTTTCAAAAATTCCAAGAATTCGGATAATTTTTGCTCTCGTGTATACTCGTATATAAACATCCGAAATGCGGCCACAATATCCTTCGTATGATCTGGTGCAAGTGATTTATAATAATGATATAATTCATGACAATTTTCAAATTTATTTTTGAATGGATTGTCGTTAAGACACACAAATTTAGTAAACCACACATCAAGTACAGTTTCATAAAATTTTTTCAAATCATTTGGTTCTGTTAACCTTTTGGAATAAAATTCAAAACCAGTGGAAACTTTTCCAGAATCAATGTATTCAGTTAATTGCCTATTAGTTGCGAATAAATTTAAAAATTTATTTTTCCATTGAACTTCATTGGTTTTATTTGGAATTTTAGATCCCATTAATAAATTAACGTATCTTGTTGCACATTTAAATTCAAATTCAGCCTTTTGGAGTTCTACAAGAAAATTTAGGACGTCACTACCATTAGTGGTTCCAAAGCCAATAACCTCTTCAACAGGTTCTTCATTAACTTCACCATTTAATTCAGTGTTTGATTGGCTAGATTCATTTTCCTGATTATCTGCAGTTGTACTAACCTCATCAGGTCTTGTTGTTAGAACTCTTGGTGTCGAGTCATTTGAAGCTCCTTTACTTCTAGTACTTCCTGCTGTTGCCATGTTTGGAAATGATCCAATTTAACTTGTAATCTTATAAGAATTTTGTTGTTGTATAATAACTTAATAAAAGTATTTATATAAAATAATAGGCAACTCTCTCATATTTATATTTGATAAAATCCCTTCATTCAACATCATCTCAAGATGCTCTTACGATTCTAATATAATTGAATCATAATTTTAGTTAATGCTAAATTATTGTCTTATATGAAATCAGTTCATTTGACAAGAATGCAATTACACAAATTTTGTGTCACCTAAATTCTCGTAAATTAGTACTGTAGTTCAAAGTTATTTTCAAGTAATATAATGTATTATAAAATGGCGATTAATCAAGCTGTCTCTTCTTTTTGACGATAAGTTAGGTTGTAGAGAGAGTAAACTACACTTGAATTGTAATGTTGTAAAATTAATTATTACTTATTAATGACAATGATATAAAATTATTTGTAAGAACTACGTTATATTTTTCCTTTTTAAATAACATTTGAAAAAAACCAATTGCACTAATCCACATATGAAAATAGTTAAACATAAAAAAACACTAATAAAATTATATCCACTAAAAATTTCTTCATTAACATCTCTTAATTTAAATTCTTGATTTAATAAATCTTGTAATATTAAATCACTTTCAATTAATTTATCAACCATTGAATTTAATTCTAATGATATTGAATTCATTTTAGAATCAAATATTTCTTCATTTATTTGTATTTTATTATAATCTTGTTCTTGTGATGATGAACCTTCCTCAGTGTTTGTATTTATATTAGAAAAAAAATTTTTATAAATCTTATAATTAGTTAATTTTATATCATTTTTAATATTTATATCCATTTCAATTTCAAAATCTTGTGGTTGAAAACTCCAACTTAAATCATTATAAAGATTATCAAAACAAACATGAATGAAATTTCTTAATTTTGGTTGATTTTCAATTTTAGTATTTGATCGTATATCTAATTCATTATCTGATTCTGAAGTTACTTCATTATTATTTGAATTTATTATAAATTCCAATACTTTATTAAATTTTGATAAATTTGGTTGATTTCTTAAAATATTTCCCTGGGAATCCATAATTTTTAAATTAATTTCTTGACTTGGTAAATTTTCAATAGGATTTATACTTAAAAATAATATATCATTTGATTCAACTTCATAAGATAAACAATTTTGTAAATTTTTTAATGATGATAATTTTTTTTGATTTGATTTTATATTTTTAATTGGTGATATAGTTAATCCAATAGCTGATGTTATTGAAGGTATTAGAAATAATAATATAAACAATGTGATTGTCTTTGATTGTGATAGTAGTCTTATTGATGAACTATTATTATAAGATCGACAACTATTGTTGTTGCTGTAAAAATGCATGATTTGATGGTGATGAAAAGATTGATTATAAAATTAATGTATTGTATATATGATCTGAATATTTCACGAATGACGAAAATGAAATTGAAAATGAAATTGAAAATGAAAATGAAATTGACGAAAAAGGTCTATGATGTTTAGTAAGGATGATAGTATAAAATTATTTCAATCAAAAATATTGGCTGACTACGGGTGTTGTTAAAAAAAAAAACTTTTTCTTATTAGCGAAAGGATATAAGTTTATAATAATATAATAAAACCGAAAATAATGATTATTTGATATAAATGATTAATAATGAATAGTAGTAATTATATTGATCTAATCCTTATATTATAAGATGATTTGAAACTTTGGTTGTCAAAAAAATTATGTAGTAAAAAAATACGTTGATAATAATTTATTATTTTGAAAATCAAATGTAAAAAATAAAAATAAATAAAATAAAAAAATTTTTGATATATTTTTAACTTTTAATTTTCTTTATTTATTATTTATTTGTATTGTTTTAGTTTAATATAAATTTTTGGACCAAGATTTTAATTTTAATACTTGAACAATTAACTAATTAACAATACTATAATTGAGTCTTTGGTTAATATAGAATTCCTAATATTATAAACGTATATATTCTAATCATATAAGATATTGATTATAGCAGTCAGTAACGGTGAAGTAATTCAAATATATTTTGTATTTTTTTAAATGATCAAAATAAATTTCATGCATAATATAAGTTTATTTAATTGTTCTTTTTTCTAGAAATAAATAAAAACAATTATAAAAACAATATTTTGATAACACTACATGTCAGTAGTAGGTATAACTTCTACACAGATTTATATCAAGTAGATACCAAATTTACTTCAGTAAAGTATAGCAATTCTATAAATTATTTTACAACAGATACTTTATAGTAGTAGTAATATCAAGAGCAAATAATAAAATGTACTTACTTCAAAAGAAAAAAAAAAAAATGAATCTGTGATCGATAAAAAAAAGCTGCATAAATTGTTATAATATATAAATAAATATAAATAATGTTTTGTAAATTATATTTTGTACCTACTCCAAATTAATTTCAAATTATTGATTTGTAATTTAAATCAATTTTGTTTATTTGTTCTGTAAATTAAGAATTAAAGAATATGGATTCAGTTTAAAAAAGTTTACCACGTTTTATACTTTCAATAAATATTGAATTAAAGTTTTTTAATTGAGTTTTGAAAAGGTTATGTTTTATCATTTAAATAAAGAGAAAAAATAAAACATTTTTGAAATTTGTTATACAGTAGAATATATTTTTGATGTACCTTTTGATAATTTATTTAAAGAAGTATAACATTTTAAGCAAGCAATCTTTATGTTTTACGTAAAATTACGATAAATTATGTATTAGTATTATTGTAATTATTGTGATTTATGATCTAAATTCTATAACCATTTCTTTTTGTTACTAAACTTATATAAATGCAGCTTATTGTTTTTAGTATTGAATTTTTAGTTTTTCAATTAGACGCGTAAATTATTGAATTGAATCTACTACTTTTATTTAATAAACTAGCTTTATCAAGTCTTATCAATTTAAAGAATTTAGACCTCACTGTACTATCGATTGATTATGTAGTTCAGAGATCGACCAATTGTTCTCAGTGAAAGTGCGAATTTCTTTGTTTTTTCTACCAAATACTTGATGAGACGACACAGAGTAATTTAGTGAAGAAAGTTCTAGATGATTTAATTGTTTATTCCAAGAAATTTTGATTGTTAAATGTTTTTGTATAAACAATAAACAAGTAGAAGTCTTGTGTACTTTCTCATTAGTGTGAGTGAAAGAGTCTAAATTTTTGCAACACCCTTCTAATTGACCTAACTTAGAGCATAAGTTGCGGCCAAGATGATGATTTACAAAGAACGATCTACAGGGTATATAGGTATATCATTAGGTTTACTATATCAGATACATCTAGATACTATGCAATCGAGTAAAAATTTATTTCTACGTGTAATTAATTGAACAATAGAGTTTTTTAACACATTGTGCTTAAACAATCTAGAGCCAAGAGAAGTAAATTATCAGACGACCTTTAACTTCATTTAGTACGGCCCAAAAATTGAATTACACGACAAATCTGATCTAAAACTATATACTACAAAATATCACTCTACCTATAATAATTTTTTAGACGCAAATGATATATAGTGCTAGAACGATGCTTCAAATTTAAATTTTGATGTAAAAACTCTATATATGTCAATATCTATTACCAATCTCTTTAATTTGCATTACCTCTCATTTCTTCATTATTTAAAACTTCTCTACATAATTGTTCCATTGAATCTCTATCAATTAAATTACCAGAATTTAAATATGATAAACTTGCTTCATAAGCCATTATAATTCTTTGTTCAGTTATTCCAATTTCTCCATAAGCTAGAGCTTTTATTGAATTATAATATCTTGATATATTATTTCTTGTAATTGAATCGATAGGTTCATTTTTATCACTATATATTTCCCATGAACTTTCTTCTTCTAATCTTGTTATTGATATTGAACCTTGACCTGGTGAATAATCTTTATTTGCTTGTTGTAATTTTGATTCATTTGAATTGTTGATTGATGATGATGATGAACTAGAATTTGTTTTGGGTTTTGTTTTATATAACCATATATATCCATTTATACCTAATATGACTGATACATTACCTGGTAAATCATAACTATGATTTTTTGATTTTATTATAAGTGAATTTGGAATTTTTAAAAATATTCCATTTCTTAATTTTCCATATTTTAATGATCTTGTATGTAATGAAGCAATTCCATTATTAAAAATAGTTTGTACTTCACAATTTAATAAATCACCTTCTTTTAAAAAAGATCTCATTTGTAATTCATCATTTTCTGATTTTCTTCTTAATATACCACCTGGTAAATTAACTGATCCTAACATTAATATTGCATCTTGTTTGGTTCCAATATCTACTTTCCATCTTTTGTTTGCAACTTCTGTAATTCTACCAACTACATGATCACCAGTTTCTGGTAAATATTTACCTCTTATAGGGTTAACACTTAATAATCTATTAACTCTTGATATTTGTCCAACAACTGATGAATAAGTTTTATCACCTATAAAATAAGTTCCATGACCTTTCATCCATATTGGGTCTTCTGTTATTAGTTCACCTGGTGTTACTATTGAATTTGTACGTAGTTCATTTGCTCGTGATTGTTTTGTAGTATGTTCTTGATCATCATCATTTACATCATTATCTAGTTTCTCTTCTAAGTCCATATCTACGTCTGATACCTCTTCATCTTCTTCGTATTCAGCTCTTGGAATTGGTTTCGTTATACTTATTACTTCTGTGGAATCCATTGTAAATGTATATTTATTTAACTTTGATCTGTGGATGAGATGATTAAAAATGTGTGTTGCCATATTTGATTATTTTTTTTTGCGTACATTTTATTTTTCAAAATGATTACCTCATTGAATCATATATGAATTAAATGAATGAACTTAAAATTACTATCTAAATTATCCAAAACTCAAAAACAACACTACATAATGTCAAAATATAAACCACCAGTTAACAGATCAATGGTTAAAGACCTAGATCGTAGTTTTTTCCAAAAAGAAATACCATTAACTGCTGCATGGTTCCCACAACCTAAATTTTTAACAAATTTCATAAAGGCATGTCAATCTGATATTTTTTACGTTAGAAATATAAAACATATAATAGAGTTGGAGAATTCAAAAGCTGTACTACTAAGAGAAGATGTTACAAAAGTGGAAGATTTAGAACCAATAACTCAAGAAAAAATCAAAGAATATAATATTACCTTAAAACCATATCTACTAAAATTAGATTATTCATTTTGGAAAAGTGATGAAATTTTACAACTGATATTACCTGAACATTTAATTGATGAAATTCCTAGTGGATATAGTCAAGCTGGTCATTTAGCACATTTAAATTTAAGAGATGAATTTAAACCATATGGTAAATTAATAGGTACTGTAATAATGGATAAAAATCCTTCCATAAAAACAGTAGTTGATAAAAAAAATACAATAGCGAATCAGTTCAGAACTTTTCCATTAGAATTATTAGCAGGTGAAGATAATTATATAGTTGAACAAAATGAAAGTGGTTGTAAATTTAAATTTGATTTTAGTAAAGTTTATTGGAATTCAAGGTTAAGTACAGAACATGAGAGATTAATTACAAAATTTCAAAAGGGAGAAGTTGTAGGTGATGTAATGGCAGGTGTTGGACCATTTGCTATACCTGGTGGTAAAAATGAAACAATTTTTTTAGCAAATGATTTAAATCCTGAAAGTTATAAATATTTAAAAGAAAATATAACATTAAATAAAGTTGATCCATTTGTTAAACCATATAATTTAGATGGGAGAGAATTTATTGAAAATGCTGCTGAAATATTACAAAATTTTGCAAATAAGGGACCAATTGAAAAAAAAATCGTGAAAAGATTAAAAGGTGAAAAGAAAATAGAAATTGAACGTATTGAAGTACCCAAATTTTATAATCATTTTGTAATGAATTTACCAGATTCAGCATTAACATTTTTAGACGCATACATTGGATTATATTCAAAATATCCAGAAATTAAAAATGAACCAAATTTTAAATTACCATGGATTCATGTATATTGTTTTGAAAAATTTGAAAATGGTGAAGATCCAACTAATGAGGAATTAAGTATAAGAATTTGGGAAAAAATATGTAATTTAATTGATTATAAATTAGATAGTTCAATGGAATTTCATCAAGTTAGAATGGTAAGTCCTACAAAACCTATGTTTTGTGTTTCATTTCAGTTACCTGAAGAAGTTGCATTTAGACAAAAATAAATAGCCTTGTAATGTATAATTAGACATGTTTATCATAGAGGTAAAAGTCAATTTATAAAAATTAAAAGTTTTTAGGTCTAGATCTCTTTGTATAAATTTACGATGCAAGAACGGCTAAATACGAAATATGATCTTATCTTTAATTTCTATTCCAAAGATAATATTATTATTTTGCAATCACCAAATCATAATTATAATATGTCAAGTTCAAATCCATTACAAATAGTAGATATAACAAATCCAATAGATCAAACATCACGAAAATTGTTGAATGCTCTAACTACTCAAGGTTTCGTATTTATTGAAGGTCATGATTTTAGTCAATTAGAAGTTGATCAACTTTTTAACTTATCAAAAGAATTTTTCAATTTACCCTTGAAATATAAGGAACAATTTTTAAAGCCAAATAATTCAAATACTGGTTATATACATTTTGATAGAGAAAATTTAGATCCATCAAATAAAAAAGATTTTAAAGAAGGTTTAAATTTAAGTGAAATTAATTTTGAAACTGGGATACCATCAGGTTCAATACCAGATTGGATTACTAATGACAAAACAAGATCAGAAATAATAACTAAAACAATTCTTAAATTAAATGATTTAGCATTGGAATTATTAAGAATTTTAGCAATAGGTTTAAAAATTCAAGATACTGAAGTATCAGGAAAAGAATGGTTTACATCTCGTTATAAATCAACTTCAAAATCAGGTTCAACTTTAAGATTCTTACATTACCCTCAACAAACCAACACTCAAGATCCAATAAGAGCAGGTGCTCATACAGATTATGGAAGTTCTACATTATTATTCCAAAGAAAAAATCAAGAAGGATTAGAAATATATACAAAGAATCAAAAATGGGAAAAAGTTCCTTTTATTGAAAGTTCAAAATCGGGAAAAGCACCACCAATTATAGTCAATATAGGAGATCTTCTAAGTTATTGGACTAGTGGATTATTAAAATCAACAATACATCGAGTTAAATTTGATAATGATTCATTAAAAGAAGATCGTTATTCTATAGTATTTTTCAGTCATCCAAGTGATGAAACTTTACTTGAACCAGTTCCTAGTGGATTGATACTGAGTAGAAAAGGTAGAGGTGTTAGTAAAGATACCGAATATATTACTGCTTTACAACATTTGCAGAAAAAACTCGCAAATACTTATAGTTGAAAGGTGGAGTTTTTAAAATATAGTGATTGATATACGTAATTTCTATTTGAGATAACTTCATACTCGAATTTGGGCTCCTACTTAGCATAATTGAGAATCAATTAACGACGATTTTCAATTTATGTTTACATTGATATGAGTATAAAAGAATCTAGAGGAAGCCAACTGAGATTTAATTCAATAATATTACAACATGTCGAGTCAACTCGAATAAAAGAGTTTAATGTAGCTGAGCTGTTCACCAGTTTTTGAGCTTTACGCTTGAAATAAGTATACAAGTTTGGCTTGGATTCTGTTATATAGAAATTTTTTAAATTTAATACATTATATTACCAAATTCATACTTAGAAAAGGTCTTTTTGATACCAAAGTACTAAATTCCAATGTAACTTCATTTTATAGGGTTTTATTAAATATTAATAATGTAACTTAAATTTGTCGTAGCTGCAAAAAATATTAAATAACTCCAAAAACTTTTAAACTTTTAGCACATTTCTTTTCATGATCATCAATATTTTTTTATTGATGACAATCAATTAATATACATTAGAACTAAAGCGTATATAGATTTAGAAAACTATCACCGAATTTCATCAGAATGTTTTAAAACAAGAACAGTTCCAAAAAATAGTTCAATTGAAAGTCCAATTTGGTGAATTGTTATCTCTTTCTGTTTTATTTTGTGTAACAAATAAACGTTATATCTCGATCTTCATAATTTTCTTATCTAATCAATTTATTCTATTATATTATATCTCTATTTGCTAGATACAATAAGTTTTTTAATAATGTATAAATTTTTGATATTCAAATGATAATTACGTATCAATTTATTTATACATGTATTATTCCTAAAAAGATTTAAAGATGCCCATCAATAATTCATCATCATTATCAATTGATCAAAATAATAGTTATAATAGTAATAATAATAATAATCAGCAGCCGCTAAAATCACCAAGATCAATTCATCAACATCATTTAAATAATTTAACACCAACAATTACAACAGATCCAAATGAAATTATACAAATTATATCAAATCAAGAAAAAAAAAATTATAGACTAGGAATAATTTTATTAATTATATCTATAGGATCATGGATAAGTGGTTTGGAATTAGTTAATGTAGTATTAAAAAGTGATGAATATAAAAAACCAGTTTTATTTGCAATTATTACGGGGTCTTGTTTTATGTTGAATTTTTTACCTGATTTATTATTAATTTTCAAAAGGAGGAAGAAGAAGACAGCTACTCAACAACAACCACTGAATAATAAGAAGAAAGTAAAAGAAACTCAACCATTACTAATAAATCCTCATGAAAATTTGGAGAAATTAATGGATGAAATTGAACCAATGTCATGGAAAGAAATTATAATACTAGCTTTTCAAATTGCTATAATTTATTTTTTATATAATTTATTCGCAATGGAAGCTTTACAATTTACATCAGCTTCAAATCAAACAGTTATTGGATCAACAACTTCTGTATTTACTTTAATTATTGGAATATTTTTAAAAACTGAAAAATTTTCTATAAAGAAAGCCATTTGTGTTGTTGTGAGTTGTTTAGGTGTTAGTTTAGTTAATTTAAGTTCATCATCATCAAAAAGTAATAATGGATATAAATATGAACCTAAAAATCCCAAACTTGGTAATTTATTAGCATTATTTGGTGCTTTATTATATGCATTCTATTTATTGATAATGAGAATAAAATGTGGGTCCGGTAATAAAACTACTAATGAAAGAAGATTATTCGGATATGTTGGTATCATAACATTTATAATGGGTATACCTTTATTATATGTTTTAAATTATTTTAATATTGAAAAATTTGATTTCCCTCCACCTAATAATACTATATTGGCTAGTATTTTGATTAATGGAACTTTTTCAGTTATATCTGATTTTACTTCGATATTAGCAATGTTATTGACTAGTCCCCTTGTTGTTTCATTGACATTAACAAGTTCTATCCCAATAACAATATTCATTGATTATATGGTATTAATATATAATCATGAACCAATCCATACAAATTTTATATACATTTTGGGGATATTATGCATAGTTGTTGCAGTATTATTAGTAAATATAAATATAACAACAGAAAATGAATTAATAGAAGAAGTTATAGAAGATGCATTGGAGAATGCAATAAATAATGATGAAATAATGTCACCAATATTAACACCATATTTAATGTCAAATAATTTAAATGGTAATAGTAATGGTTTAAATCCAGTAAGAACAAATCCACAACTGATAAAATCACCAATATCTATATTATTCACACCAACACCAAAATTAAATTCAACAAATTTATACAAATCAACATCTAATTTAAAAATTCCTATGAAAGTTACTGATTTTAATTTAAATGAAAATGATGAAAGTCCTCCAACTCATAATTCAAATCATCATCCTTCACTTTATAAAATTACTAATGATGAAGATACTTCAAGTTCAAGAAATAATAGTCAAAGAGATTTAACTAAGAAAAATTTGGTGATTTCTGGGGGTCAGCATCATAAATATTTTATACATCATGAAGAATAGTGCCTGTTATTTGTAACATTACACCAGCCTTTGATATAGCTTAATAGACTAAAAATTAAAACTACCAAAATATTGCATACTATACTTATTTATTTGTACACTTTTGAAAACTAATAGAAAATTTAGACAACCAAAATTTAAAAAAAATAATAAATAAATTGAATCTATTAATAACCAAATATAATCTATTAATCTCTATTAAGATTTGAATGTAATTTATGTTCTCTCATAAATAAAGAACTAACAACTCCCAAGGTAACAGTAGCAAAAGCAAAATAAAAAGCACCTCTACAACCACTTTCATAAGATGATCTAATTGCTTTTTGTACAGCTTTTGGAACAGTATTAATAAAATTCGTACTTTCCAAAGCTTCATTTATAATATCTTGTGCTTGTTTTGGATCTTTTACAATAGCATATATCTTTTTAGTTAATTGTTGAGCTAAAATATTTTGAAAAATTGCAGACGCAGCAGATACACCTAAAGTCGAACCAGTTGATCTAAAAGTATATTGTATGGAAGTAGTACATGCTTGATATTTGAAAGGAGTTGCTGCGATTAATGCTAATAATGTAATTGTTAAAATACATGAATAACCTAAACCTGAAGGAATCAATAATAAAAATTGTTGCCATGTTGGAATATCGGGAGTTATTGTTGTGATTTTATAAACTCCTAATATAGCTAATATTCCAGCAAATACGGTTAATTTATAATATTTTCCAGTATGTTTCATATAAAGTCCAGCTCCAACTGATCCCATAGATATACTGAATAAATTAGGTACTAATCTTAATCCATTTTCACTTGCTGACATATCCAAAACCGATGTATAATAAACAGGAACATAAAACATAGTAGCAAAAATACCCATAGTATAAAACCAATTAGTTAATGATGAAGCTAATACCGTTCTATTACCCAATAAATGAATAGGAATAATAGGTTCCTCACTAATGTAAGCTTCCACATAGATAAACCCACCCAAAAATATAGCACTTAATCCACATAAAAATAAAAATAATTTAGAAGTATATGCTATATCTCTTCCACCTAATGAAGCAGCAGTTAAAATAATCATTAATGCACTAATTAAACAAAAACTACCCAAAAAATCAACTCTTTTCAATTTTTGCCAAATATCTTGTCCATGTGCCCCCAAACCTGGTGAACCTTCAGGTAAATTTAAATTAAATTGAATAACAACTCCAACAATAATAGCCAATGGAATTTGTAATATAAATACATATTTCCAACCTAATGTATCAGCAATAATTCCACCTATAAATCCACCAGATGCTGATCCTAACCCAAAACAAATATTAGCTAATCCTTGGTATAAGCCTCTATCTCTAAGCGGAATTAAATCAGACATTGTCATTGTCCCCACAGAAGTTAATCCTGATCCACCCCAACCAGTAATAAATCTTCCAATAACTAACCATACTAAGGAATCAGTAACACATATAAAACAACCAATACCAAATAAAAAAGTACAACCCATTAATATAAATTTTCTACCAAAAATATCTGATAATTTTCCAAATATAGGTTGAAAAGCAGAACTACTTAATAAATAAGAAGTAGCAATCCATGAAATGTTTTTAATTTCTTTTAAATCACTTGCAATTAATGTTAATAATGTAGTAACAACAGTAGCATCTAATGCAGATAAATATGAAGCCATAAATAATGAAGAAACAACAGTATATAATTGAGCTTTTGGTAATGCATAACCACCATTTGGATCATCAATTTCATAATTTTCTGTTGTTGTAGGTGTTTCAGATTCTATTGATCCATAAGTATGAGATTTAAAAGAATCTTGAGAAATTAAAGTACCATCTTCAGCTGCTAATTCTGATGCTATTATACCTGAAGTTTCTGATGAAGGATCATGAATTATATTTGGATGTAAATGATGATGATTATTTGTTTTATTATCCTTTGTCATTCTTTATAAGTTTAAATGAATATATATATATGAACGATAGAACTATTAAATTGTTTGCAATAACATATAGACAAACAAGTAAATTTTTCAATATTTTTCAATATTGTAATATTTGTAATAATAATAATAAATTATTATTTATTTTGTGGCTTTTATTTAATTAAAGTTTAATACTTTATACATTTTGATTGATTTAAAATTATTCCGCTTTTCTTAATTTTAATGATAAGAAGAAAGTTTAGAATTAATACCGAAAGAGATTTAGGCGCTTTTTTATACTAGGTTAATAACTATTTCTAAGACCAAAATATATTACGTTAGATTATGAGGGACATTCGACTTAAACTAAGTGCTCGTTTTTTTTCCCTCTTAAACAGCAAAAATCTTGAATCTTTTATATTTGATCATTAATCTAGTAAGTCTAATTGTAAGAATTGTAAGAATACGTTGAACCGCGCGTGATACTTTATTTGGAAATTTTATACTTTTTGATTTAATTATCAAACCGATCAACGGGTTAAAAGTAATATGATCTTCTCAAGTATACTAAAAACAATTTAGAATTTACTCGATATGAGTAGTCAGTGACTGGATTCTAAAGAAAGTGTTCATCATCGATAAATTTAATTGATCTATTCAAATGGTTCAAATAGTTGGGGATAAAATTTAAATATGAAATCAATTTAAAAAAAAATTAAAAAAAGTAAACGCGTCTAATATCAAATCTTCTTCAAATAACAATCAATTAAACAATACTATCATACAATGTCATCGTCAATTAATATAACTAATGAAGAACTGTCCCCAAAAGTAGAAGTATCAGTACTACCTATGCATTTACAATACTCAGGACCAGCAAATACAAAAGAATATTTCACACCTTCAAAAACAAAAGAAACATTAAACGATGGAACAATAGTAGATACAGCTTATTTTAGAGGTTGTAGATTAATTGCAAAAGAAGTTACATTGGATCAAAATAAAATGGATGGTTTCATATTAGATAAATCAGAAGCATTAAGTAGAGATATTAATGAAGATGATGGAACAGAAACTATAAAAACCATAAAAAATTATGCTTCAATTGCATTTTTTAATAAATTAACATTATATGGTCATGATTCTGAAATTGAACTGAGTAATCAATGGTCTTTAATACCTGAGTTTATAGAAATAAATAATATAATACATGAATAAAAAGAATTTTTGCCAATTTTGACAATTTCCGCATCTTAAGCTTTGTCTTCTTGAAAAATCTCAAAAAATTGGCGTATTAAATCCGTATTTAATTGATTTTCTTAATTTACTTTCGAAAATTTATCTTGGTGACTTTTTCTGTTCATCTTTGTTCACCCATTTATTATTCCTACCAAGTAAATATTTTACGGTATACAATTGTATATAAACTTTGATGATCTCGTAATTATAATATGCCAAAGATATCATTAACTCACTGTGCTTAAACAGAAATCCAAATCTGAAACATCCAAGTGGTAGCTTAACAAAGATATACGAGAGTGGACTAAATTTCAGATTTAACATTAATGCCTACACCTTTTTCTCTTCATATCCTTCAAAGCTATTTCAGTTTTAGACTTACCTAATAAAAGTGTTGATGAGGTTGTTCTCGGTGTCTTTTACTTTAAAGTCAATGAAGTAACATTCAATTTCTAGAATTGTCTGCCAATATAAACCATACGCTTGATTTTCATTACTCTTTCAAATAATGGAGCTATCTTATTATTCATAACAGACAACGAAACCAACAAATCGAAAAGTCAAAATTCCCAAAATATGCGGTAATTAAAGGATTTTACATTGATAAATTTATCTTGAACTCGCAAACTCCTCTTTATTCGCAAAATTCCTTGACAGGTCTCATTAAAAAAGTTTATTTAAAACTAGACTCATATCCTCCATTTTTTACAGAAGAATATTTTCGATCAAGTAAAAACTAGGTATAAGATACTACCTTCAGCTTCAAGTTCGATATTAATGACTTGGTTAAAACAAGTGCATGCTTGTGGTCAACTGAATCATTGAAAACTGTGATTGACAAAATTAATTTAATTGAGTAAACAATTAAAAGTTGGGAGAATCGAAGATTTAAAAAAAAAAGAATTAAAAGCTAATTATAGATTTTGTACAGAATTGGAATTTAGAGCGTACAATTGTGGTAGAATAAAATCGTATAGCAACTTTTACCCCATGCAGATTTTCAGAAATAATCAAAAGTGTCATTCAAACATTAAATTCCAGATTTTAACGGCTTTTATCGTAAATAGTTAGCGATGTTTTTGTAAGAATCGCTTGGAATTTTTAGCCCAATAGTAATAAAAATTGTATCTGAGCCGCATTGTTATATCTTCATAGTTTTTATTTTCTTGACTGTATCTCTTAGGAAAAGACTATGAATGATTTATTCATTGAAAGTGATGAGGAAATAGATATACAAGAACCACCATTGAAGAAACAAAGAGTTGAAGATGAGAAGGACGTTTCAGATTTGGATTCATTGAGTGATTCAGATTTTGAAGATGTCTTTTTGCAACCTTTACAACAACATTCGTCACTGGGTATTACTCCACAATCAGAATTTAATATATCAATTCAATCTATAGACAAAGAAAAGAGAGACAAATTAAGACAATTGATCAAGAAAAAACAACAAAGAATAAGCCTACATTATTTAAGTATTGTTTCATACATTTTGCATGCTAGGCAAAGGAATCAACTTTTGTCAAATAAAAAAATTCAGAAATCATTAAAAAATTTACTACCTGATTCATTTCTCAAGCATTATAAAAAGTACAAGAAACAACCAGATGATATCAAATTCATTTATATTTTAAAATATGTTATTAAATGGTTTAAAAAAAATTTCAAGTGGGATTCGAATGGTTTAAGAGTGTTAGGTTATTTACCAAAGAAATATAAATCAACCACGGATTTTTTCCCAAACAACTCAAAATGTATTGGTGATTCAAAGGATTTGTTACAAGTGATCAAAAAATTTCAACATAACAGAGATACTGGAGCCCAATTGTTTACTGCATTATTAAGAAGTTTAGGATTTGAAGCACGTCTTGTTTTTTCATTGCCAGTTTTAGATACTAAAAAGCAAACAAAATTACAGCCGAAACTTAATCAAAAAATCATAGAGGTGAATAAAGATAATGATTTATTATATCCTTATTTTTGGACTGAAGTCATTAATCCACAGGATCCATCTGAAGTTTTAGTTCTAGAAACACAAGCATTCCTCGAAGAGTCAAAACAATTAATTAGATTAAAGAAATATTATGGTAATGTTGGAAATTCATACACTGATGTTTTTGAACCAATAGCAAATCAATTTTGCCAAATGTCAATGCATTATGTTCTTAGTTTCACCAATGATAATTTGATTTTAGACGTTAGCTCCAGATACATGAAAAATATAGCATATAGATGGTTCAATAGACTAGACTTACGAACGGAGCTAGGGAGAGCTGCTTTGTTGATACAATCAGTCATCCGATCACTCAATTCCACCAAAATATATACTGATCAATTAAACTTAGAATTAGATAATCTCCGTTTGATTGCAATGGAGAATTATACAATACCTAAAACATATTCAGCAATGAGAAGGAGTCCCAATTTTATAACACCATCAACTTTGAGGTACAATGAAGTTATAATGCCTGGAGCAACCCCTATTAAAAAAATCAAGTTGGATAAATTGAAGGAACCTGTCTATTTCAAAAATTTTATAACTGTTGGAAAGTCAGAACAACAATGGAAATTTGTGGGAAGATCAATAAGACCAGAAGAAATTAACAAACCAATAAAATTGACAAAGGCAACGCCGAGGACAATCTACAACAAAAGAGTGTTCAATTTAAATAAAGAGACAAATCCAGAATTGAACAGTGTTAAATTATTTTCATTCGCACAAACTTGTCCATACATGAAATTAAAAGTAGAAGGTGATACAATACCAAGAAACAAATATGGAAATATTGAAATCTTTAGACCTAATATGATACCTGATGGTTGTATTTGGTTAAAATTATCGAATATAGAATCTATATTACTGAAAACATTTGCAAATTTCGTTCCAGTTGTTGTTGGTTTCGCATTCAAGTCAGGTCAGGCATACCCTGTTAAAGATGGTGTAATTGTGTTGAACAAAGATGAAGTTGGAATAAAAAAGCTATGGCTTTCTGGTAAGATTGAAGAACATAAGCAACTCCAGCAATTGAAACAATTACAACTATTGAAATCATGGAAAATGTTAATCAAAAGATTGGAAATCCAGAAGCGACTTAACGAAGATCACGGCTATTTATAATCGGGTGGTGCTTCTGAGACTATTATTTTCAAATTATTGAAGAACTTCCCTACAGTTGCTTGTGCACCATTTGTCTGTGTGGTTATTGTTTCATTCCTATCTTTGATATTTTGCAATTGGAAGTCAACAAATTTGTCAGGATCTCGTGGTAGCCAAACTGTTGGAGGCTCATATTTAAAAGCTGGATGAAGATATAACAAGTCATGATTAAAATCTGAATCAGAGCTTGTTGATACTGAGGTTTCATCGTCTTTATTCTCCTTATATATTTTGTCATTCAATATTGGTAAATTATAAAAATACGGTTTGTATCTATTATAAATTAATGTATTTGCAAAAATCGTGAAAAATAAAATCCAAGTCATTATCCAACCTTGAATTCTCATTGAATGAACACCTTTTGAATTTTTCAGTAAAAAGAAAACACCAATCAAACAACATTCAAGACAATATACCCCAGTATATAAATGCAATAATGCTATCGGATATAATTTACCCATGGTTTCTGAGGTATTAATATGACTGTAAACATACTTCAAAGCATATTTATAATATAATATTGATAAATTTAGGAAAAATATTATGAATACTGAAATCATGGGAGAAATGATAGAATATGAAATTCCAATAGTTGCGTATATTGAATACACGGCAAATGTTGTTCCCCATTTAATTTGTGGTAGTGTTGTAATCCTTTTAAATTTCTGTCTTGGTGTCAAATCAATTATCTTATACAATGAATTGCTCAAAATCAATTGTTTAATTCTCAAAAAATTGTCACCACAAAATGCAAATGCTCGAAGACAAATATATTGAAAGAAAAAAGTTGCAGATTTAGGTAAATTAGTAGCTAACAATATCGGTATTGATGTTGGTTGATCAATAATCTGTTTGAAAATTACAGTAACACTTGACAGAATTGTAACAACTAAAAATTGTTGTACGAATAAAAATGCAAAATACCATTTTTGTAAATCTAATTCAATTTCACTTCCTGTTGCTTTACCTTTAAAATATGTTAAAAACCTGAAAACGATCATTACAATTTGAGTAAGTATAGTAAGCAAAATTGAAGGCAAAAAACCAGATATTGTTTCTCTTGCTTCATCTGGAAACCAATTGATCCAATTAATAAAAGGTAATGACAGCGATGATATAGGTATCTGAGAAACCAACCCAATTAGTGATACAGGAATTACATAAAGTACAATTACACTGATGAATATGATAGTGACTAAGTACTTTTCAAATTTGCAAGCTATTCCATCTGTTCTTGATACATTGTTCCATATAACATCATTTGGATGTACTTCAATAATGGTCTTATCTAAACATCCTTGACTTTGAGATAGTAAGCATTGATTAGCTATACATGCACCTTGTTGATTCTCAAATTCAATAAATAATTTATTATGCTTTTTCAATTGGCAATTATATAATTTCAATTTCTCATCTTCAATTGCTATTTGGGAATTGTTCAATGTATACAAAGACCAATTTAACATGGAAACTCGCTTTTGAAAAAGGAAAAATCTTAACCATCCTGGAAGCTTAAACCTGATAGTTCTATCTATTTGTGGTATTTTCATCAAATTACAATATATTGGAGGGTAAAATTTTATATCATAAGTTCTTAAAAAAGTCTGAATTTCTGGACTGCCCCACCATTTTGATTTAGTCTTATAGTATTTTTTCAATGTTAATAATTGGGATAACTCAATATATTTTAATGCATCGTTTGCTTTTTCAACTTCGTTCTGAATTCTATCAAATTCGTAGACTTCCCAAATATTTTTGATCTCTCCTGGTATTAAACTAAATAACTCGTGAATGACATCTTTATTTTGTAAATATGGAGGTACATTAAAAATCATTAATGTTCTTGCCATTATTGACTTACTATGTGATTGTGACAATAAATATGATTGTTTTATTGCTACAAAACTTTGAAATTCATAAATCAATAACCAATGGAAGACTCCAATTGTTATTATCCCCATTATGAAATGAGCATTTAGCCTATAGACATTTGATCTTGCAATGTTGGATAAACTTAATTTATCTAAACCTGATGCACTAAATGATGAATCACCACCTGTAAAATTGATAGGAATCAATATAATCATATTCAAAGTACCAATGAATGAAAAAAATAAAGTTAATACTGATATAAATCTAATAAAGAAATAAGCATCCAATCCCAATGATAAAAAGGTGTTTATGCTACTTTTCAAAGTGGGTACAATCCATTTCAAAAATCCTCTTGGTAATACTTCCATTCTTTCATTAGTTGGAACACAGAAACATCTTGGTTGATATAAGAAATTGAAAATTGATCTTAATAAACAAAATAACGTCAATTGAATCGTACAAAAGCATATGGATGTAAATAAAGTTTTCATAAAAATGGGGAAATCGATACCTGATGATGAATGTGCTGAACCTGTCTGAGTTGTATTTAAAAATTTTGCAAAGGTTTCGGAATTAAAAAAATCCATATATGTTTTAGTTAATGTCTTGTAATCATTTTGTTGTGTATCGATTGACAGCATGAAAGAAGGTGGTGATTGGAAACTATCAGTAATTAAATTTGTTATGTTTAAATCTCAAGTTATCTTCAAAATTTTGCAACCATCTCAAAGCCAATTTTAAACAAAAATGGAACTCGAAATTTACATTTAAAACACCTCGAAAACCGTTAAAATGTCCTTTAAACTTTGCTAATTGCTCCACAATTTACTCTTGGTCTTTGTGGGTACTTTCAACTTATATAATTGCCAAATTTCAATGATGTTTCAGAGTTCGATATTCGTTTATTTGTATGTAAGCTATAAAGGATGTGTACTTACCGGGCTCGTTTTTGTCTATAAAATATCCCAGATAGTTTAGTGGCTAGAATTACCGTTTGTCGCATGGTAGACCAGGGTTCAATTCCCTGTCTGGGAGCTTTCCACAATCTGAACAGTTTTTTTTGCTCAAGATTCCTATCACGAATTTATCGCTAATATATAGAGTAAGATCTTTTTTGCTCTTCGACATTTTTGATTGAAGTGAGCAGCTATGACTTTGTCAGCACTACAACAACTCTTGAAAATTTAACTAGTTCAATTCATAGTTGAAACATCTAAGTTCCAAGTGAGAGAATTACAACGCAAAATTTTACACCGAGATATAATTGCATCTTCAAAATCATCATTATTGGCAGCATCTATGTAACTGAAATAGTTACTGTGAATACAAAATATTGCTCGATTCTAATGCACATCAAGAATGAAATCTGAAACACTCAACTTACGTTTTTCTCAATCTTGAAGTCTCAAACTTTATTTAAATCTGGTTGATATGTTGGATATCAGTTATCAACATTAGGAGAATTTTCTGTTATGAACTCAAGCGTCTGAGTTAGGGAACTAACATTACCCACTCATTAAATATTTTTCAAGTCTATATTTCTTTTGTGCTAAGAGCGACGCACACTTACAGCATAATGTCAATTTTGAGGACAAACTAAAGCTTCTGAAGAAGTCAGCCTATAACTATACTAAAAATATCTTGAGCAAGAAAAAGCGCAAATGGTTTAGTGGTAAAATCCAACGTTGCCATCGTTGGGCCCCCGGTTCGATTCCGGGTTTGCGCACTTCTTTGTATTCTCTGTTTTTTTTTTCACCCAAATTTTTCGATATATGCAAATACGAATAAGTTATTATCTATTGTAGACATGCAGTTGTTGAGCTATGCAATTTTTTATTGGTCTTTGTGATTGGTTTGCTTATTTTAAAAGGCAGCAAATTCTCAGGATGATCATAGTCAAAGCGTTAATATACGCCGCCCACGAGTGAGCTTCAGTTACCATAAAGTCGATTCTCATTACTCTCATATGTTTCAGGAATATTTCAGTAAAGACAAAGGATGCTAAAATTAGATAAGGGCAGTGGTATAATTAATAAAATCGAGAGATAAGGTTTAAATGCGATAACAGCAACGTAAATCAGAATTAATGGCATTTCAATATATCAACTTAACAATTCACTTTTTGCAAAGTGCAGAAGTTATCAATTCAACAAACAATAAAACATGGGATGGCTTTTGCTTCGAAACAATTGTGTGAGTGGCTTATGAACTATAATCAGTTATTTAACAATAGTTTGAATATGCGGACATGTCTCCCAATAAACTCGTTGATTCAATAACCGTGGAAATATAAAACAATAAAAAAGCGTTGAAAGGCTTTGAAATTTGAAACATTGTTCTTTTTAGAGGGCTTTGTAGTTTGCAACGTTTTTTTTTTGCATGTTTTACAAATTGCAATTAAGGGGCTATTTTTATCAACTAAAATGTTGAGTGTAGATTACAGACTAATGACTCTTCGCTAGGTTATCATATGATTGATTAGTACAAGACTTAATAACATTACATTTGAATAAAGTAAAAGCTCCTACGGTATGGTTATCAGTTCCATTACAAAAATAGAACAACAAACAGAATAAAAAAAATAAATAGTATAAATCGGTTTTGGTTGTAAAAAGGTATGAAAATTTAACTGAATTTTATGAATAAGTTTTCTCCCTCTCAAACTTAGTTTATTTCTTTATATTCAGCAAGTTAGATGGACATTTGATAATCAATAAACATATGAAGTATTGAAGAAAAACAAACTATGGATTTTAAAAGCCACTCTTCGTCTAATTGCAAACAGCTGATGTACCAATTATTTAATTACACTTTCAAAATTTATATTGTTTTCAATCGTAAGTTTATTTCGTTTGTCATTGACTATGGCAGGTAAATTGAAATTTTGTTCAATAATTGTATGGTGTTGCTTGTTGTATTTCTGCATGCATTATTTTAGAACAAACAATGGATTTGGTAGTATACAATAAGTCTATTCAAAAAATTTACAAGTCTACTATCAACGAAAATTGTTTAAGAATTTATATAATATATGGATGGAAAGGAAATTTGAATTGAAAGTTTTTTAATCGGATAAATTACTAACACTCGCATAAACCAATTCTGAAACACGGGTAAATTTACCAAGTTTGAAACTCGTGTGACTTAAAATTTACCCATTTTGTTCAAAAAGAAATGAAAATCAAATTTGTTTTGTTAGTTTTGTTTCAGTTAATTTGAAATATTAGACTATATAATTTAATTACCTTAAATTGCAAATTAATATAAATTTAAAATAATACTAATAATAATAAAAAATTTGTTTTTGCTTTGTGTTATGAATTTATACATTATACATGAGTAACACAAAAGTAATATTACTCCACTTTAATTTGATTTTATTATACGCAAATTAAATATTTAAATAAAAATAATAATAAACGAGAAGAGCCATAAATATCAAAATTGATCGACCTAAAATATTGGACTTAAAAAGTCCGAATATTGAGAAGAAAGCATTGCGTATATTTAAGTCACAATATTTTACAATACAATTTAACAAAATCTTGATCTATTAAACTTTTAAGGAGATTTATCAAACGATTAGAAATATTAAAGATCAAGATATAATAAATTAATAAGAATTATCTAATCAATTTATAATATCCCTTTAATCTATAATAAATTAATCCCTTTTCTCGTACCTGAAATAGTAGTAAAACATGGAGTTAATTTTGCTTTTATATGATTTATATTTACTGAAGATTTAAAGCCTTTGTAGTTTTACCCCACCTTTAAACGTAGAATCCGAAATTTTCAAAACGGTTCTAATATACTTCATAATTTCATACTAAATGACAATCCTCGCATCATTTATTGTTTATTTCTGAACAGTTGTTTCTTTTCTTTATTGAAGTCTAATTTAAATGATTTTATGGCTATGTTTTGTTTTTTACGATAAGCTTTAATTGATGTCAAAATAAATATATTAAATTAATAGAAACGTTTGTAAATTTCGAATAGATAATGAAAATCATAGGTCAGCTCAAAAATGAACTATTTGCCGTTGTAACCAAGTGAAAAACGACGAGAACGACAGTCTAACTGTATGGTTGATTTGATGTAGTTAAGATAAAATTAATAATATACCATAACTCAATACGTTTAAATTGATTTGTTTCTAGCAATGAATAAATTTCTAAAAATAACTTTTCGAAATTATTCTTTGTTTGATTTTGCTCATTATTGTTTAACCTTTCAAAATAATGGCTTTGATTTTAAAACCACCATATCATCAATTCATATATTTTTTCTTGAATCAAAAGCACTAAGTTTTTTAAATAAAAAACTTCTATTTCATTCGTACTAAAATTGAAATTTGCCTTTTTTGATTTTTGTTGCCGTAGTAAGCTTAATTGTTTCTTTTTTTTATTTCTTGAGTATTAAATTAAATTAAATTAAAATTAAAATTAAAGTTAAGCATAAAATATAAAAATATTTAAGAAATTATACATACTAATAAAATTAATAAATCAATAAATAATAAATTACTTAATTAAGAAACTTAATAGTATTATGTAATACTACTAACAAATATTATGTAATATTATATATAATACTTTCTTCTATTACATTGTACAAAATATAAAAGAAGATTTGATTCAAATTACAACTTTGAAATTTGAAACATTTGTAATTAATAGTAAATTAAGATTAGGAAACCTATCAAAAAGCTTAGATAGTGAATAAGACAAAACAAGGAGTACTCAGTTCATGAATTAATTAAGAAATTCTACCCTCAGTAAGATATTTTAACTTAAAACAAATAGTTGAACATTAATCGTAAAAAATGGTCAGAGACATCATTAAAATATTTATTTACAACTTTACGAAATCCTTTTAAATAATATGAAGTTGATTTGTTTTTTAAAATACACTTTATGCAAAGTATCCATATATGTCAAAATCTGGAATTAAAATTTTGAAAACTTAATTCGAGTTCAAACAATTGAGCATTATTCCAAATCCATAGTTTTTGAAAGTTTTGGTGAAAAAGCAATTGGATAAACAATGGAAATTTGAAAACTTTAGAGTTTGTTTATACAATTAAGCATTTAGCTGTATTATTTTTATAGGTTATTAGCCATTATCTTACATTATTAGTTTCTACTTCTGTTGACTTTTGAATTGTTTGAAATGATATTTTAAAATAATAAAATAATATAAAAATTAATTTAAGTTAATAATAAAAAAATTAAAAAATAAATTATAAAACGTATTTAATTTCTATTGTATATTACATAATCAGATAGTAGTAATATTACATAATCATTACTACTATAATTCCCTTGAATTTCTAATTTTAGTGTTTTGTGTAATTTATTTTATTTTTTATTTATTTTTTATTTTGTATTTTTTTATTTTTTATTTTTTTTTTATTTATTTTTTTATCATTCAATTTGGAAATTTTATTTTACTTTAGTATATTAATAAATTAATATCATCAAATTTAAAAGTTATATATATTTATACTAATTCATTTCAAATTTCTTATTCAAAAAATATAAGTTGGGATCTTTTCACATATCTCAAATCTCATTTCATCATTATAATATTCATTCTATTTTTAGATTTATAAGATTCATTATTTATTTCAATTCAAAAGAAACAGAAAAAATTAAATTTTTTTTCTACTTTTAAATCAAATTTTTTTTTTCATACCCCACTCAATCAAAATTTATTTAAATCATTGAATCTTGAATAGAAAATTTATTCAACTTTCAAGATCAATTTATTACCACTATCATTAATATTTTTACATTTTAAACGTCATAAATAGGTAAACAGTTTTATCGTATATCATCAAAGCCATTTCAAGATTTTGTGTATTAACGTTAATATAAAATTTATTTTCATTAAACTACAATTACAATATCTTAAATTTCGGAACTTGAAGTATTTGTATTCATATCAAAATCCTACACTTCATTATCAATCAAGTTCAAAATTAATTAAATCATAATATCCATTAGATCACTATTTTGCATTGAAATATAATACATCAAAATTCATAGAAGAAAAATTAATTTTGTTTTAATTTTTTTTTATTTGTATTAGGAAATTTCGCTACCTTTTTCAATAATTTTACAACCAAAATTTCATTCATAATTATACAATCACAATAAATGAAAGAGACGAAAGGTCAACCATATACCGGTTACTATACTGGTAGAAAACCCGAAGGTCAACCTTATTATGGTTATTATTCAGGTTTTAATAAAAGCGCATCAGCTCAAATTCATCATTTAGCTAAAACTATAACGACTCAAGGTCAATCATATTTTGATGAATCTATTTTTACTAGACAAAATACTCAAATAAATACACCTCATGGAGTAAATCCAATTTTTGATAAAACCGATCCTACTTTAGATCCAGAATCACCTAATTTCAGTTCAAAAAGATGGGTTCAAAATATGTGGAGATTATATCAAAGTGATTCAGAATATTATAAACCTGGTAAATTAGGTGTTGCTTATAAAAATTTGAGAGTTTATGGTGATGCTATAGAAAATGATTATCAAACTACTGTTTCAAATGGTATTTTTAAATCAATAAAACATTTCATAAATAAATTTAAAAAGGAATCTGAAGATTATACTTTTGATATTTTGAAACCAATGGAAGGATTAATTAAACCAGGTGAAGTAACAGTTGTGCTAGGTAGACCAGGTGCAGGATGTACAACTTTTTTAAAAACTATAGCATGTCATACAGAAGGTTTCAAAGTAGCAGACGGATCAATAATTTCATATGATGGTATAACACCAGAAGAAATTAAAAAAAATTTAAGAGGTGAAGTTGTATACTGTGCAGAAACTGAAACTCATTTTCCAAATTTAACTGTTGGTCAAACCTTGGAATTTACTGCATTAATGAAAACTCCTAGAAATAGACCATTGGGAGTTTCAAGAGAAGATTATGCTAAACATATCGTTGATGTTGTTATGGCAACTTATGGTTTATCACACACAAAAAATACAAAAGTTGGTAATGATTTTGTTAGAGGAGTATCAGGAGGTGAAAGAAAAAGAGTTTCAATTGCTGAGGTTTCATTGGTGCAGGCATCAATTCAATGTTGGGACAATTCAACTCGTGGTTTAGATTCAGCAACAGCTTTAGAATTTATAAGTTCATTAAAAACATCAGCTTCTATATTAAATGATACTCCATTAATTGCTATATATCAATGTTCTCAAGATGCTTATGATTTATTCGATAAAGTCATAGTTATGTATGAAGGTTATCAAATTTTCTTTGGTTCAAGTCAAAGAGCCGCAATATATTTTCAAAAAATGGGATTTGTTTGCGAAGAAAGACAAACAACACCAGATTTTTTAACCTCTATAACCAATCCAGCAGAAAGAATAGTTAAACCCGGTTTTGAAAAAATTGTACCAAGAACTCCAAAAGAATTTTATAGATATTGGAGAAGATCACCAGAAAGACAAGCATTATTAGAAGAAATTGATGAATATTTAGATAATTGTGAAAATTATGACCAAAAACAAGAAATTTTTGACGCTATGCTTGCTAAAAAATCTAAGAATGCTGATAAAAAATCTCCATATACTGTTTCTTTACCAATGCAAGTACGTTATATAATGAAGAGAAATTGGGATAGAATGAGAGGTGATCCTTCAGTACCTGTTTTGACTCTTGCTGGTAATATTGCTATGAGTTTAATTTTAGCTTCAGTTTTTTATAATTTAAAACCAAATACTGGTTCGTTTTATTATCGTACAGCTGTTATGTATTATTCATTATTATTTAATGCTTATAGTTCAGTATTGGAAATTTATACAATTTATGAAGGTAGACCAATTGTTCAAAAACATAAAGAATATGCATTATATCCACCAATGGCTGATGCAATTGGATCAATATTTGGTGATTTACCTTTAAAATTAATAACTAGTATTTTATTCAATTTAATTTTATATTTCATGGTCAATTTTAAAAGAGAGCCTGGTGCTTTCTTTTTTTATTTATTAATTAATTTTTTATCAACATTAATGATGTCACATTTATTTAGGACAATTGGTGCTTATACAAGAACTTTAGCTGAAGCAATGACTCCTTCATCAATTTTACTTTTTGCTATGAGTACTTTCACTGGTTTTGCAATTCCAATTACATATATGCTTGGATGGTGTAAATGGATTCATTGGATAAATCCATTAGCATATGCCTATGAAGCTTTAATTTCAAATGAATTTCATGGTAGAACTTTTGAATGTTCTTCATTTGTTCCATCAGGTTTTGGTTATCCAACCTCGGGTAATTCGGTTGTCTGTGCGTCCATAGCGGCTATACCTGGAAGTTATTTTGTTGATGGTGATCTTTATATTCAAACAGCTTTTAGCTATTATTGGAGACATGCATGGAGAGATTTTGGTATATTATTGGCATTTGTTGTATTTTTATTTTTAACTACAATTATCTGTGTTGAATATTCAAGAGCAAGCAGATCAAAGGGAGAAATTTTAGTATATCGTAAAAAGCATATAAAAAAATTGAGATCAGAAATTGAAGATGAAGAAGCATATATGGAAAATCAAAAAATGCATGCACTTGAATTTAGTGGTTCAACTGAATTTTCAGATTACTCCTATGATTATGTTGATCGTAAAATTTTGGAAACTTCAAATGTTTTCCATTGGAAAAATTTAACATACACTTTAAAAGTAAAAGGGCAAGAAAGAACTATTTTGAATGACATTGATGGTTGGGTCAAACCTGGTGAAGTTACTGCTTTAATGGGTGCTTCTGGTGCTGGTAAAACTACATTATTAAATGCATTAAGTGAAAGATTAACCGTTGGTGTTATTACTAATGGTTCAAGAATGGTCAATGGCTGTCAATTAGATAATGCATTCCAAAGATCAATTGGTTATGTCCAACAACAAGATTTACATTTAGAAACTTCAACAGTAAGAGAAGCTTTAAGATTTAGTGCATATTTAAGACAACCAAATGAAGTTCCAAGAGCAGAAAAAGATATATATGTTGAAAAAATTATTGAATTAATGGAAATGGAACAATATGCAGAAGCAGTTGTTGGAGTTCCAGGTGAAGGATTAAATGTCGAGCAAAGGAAAAGATTAACAATTGCAGTTGAATTAGTTGCAAGACCAAAATTATTATTATTTTTAGATGAACCAACTTCCGGTTTGGATTCTCAAACTGCATGGTCAATTTGTAAATTGATCAGAAAACTAGCAAATCATGGTCAAGCAATATTATGTACAATTCATCAACCTTCATCCATATTGTTAGAAGAATTTGATAGATTATTATTTTTAAGAGCAGGTGGAGAAACTGTCTATTTTGGAGAATTTGGATATAATTGTAAAACTTTAATCAATTATTTTGAAAGAAATGGTGCACCAAAATGTCCACCAAATGCAAATCCTGCTGAATGGATGTTACATGTTATTGGAGCAGCACCTGGTTCACAAGCAAATCAAGATTATTTTGAAGTTTGGAGAAATTCAAAAGAATATAAATTAGTTCAAGAAGAATTACATAGATTGGAATATGATCATCAAGGTGAAAAAACTGTTTATGATGATGAACCAGATTCAAAACATTCTTATGCATCACCAATTTGGACACAATATTATTATGTTTTAAAAAGATTATTTCAACAATATTGGAGAACTCCATCATATATTTATTCAAAATTTGCAATGGCTATATTGTGTTCATTATTTAATGGTTTTACATTTTATAAATCAAAGAATACAATGCAAGGTTTACAAAATCAAATGTTATCAATTTTTATGTTATTTGTTATTATAACAACAATAGCTCAACAATATGTTCCAATGTTTGTTTCTCAAAGAGATTTATATGAAGCCAAAGAAAGACCAGCTAAAACATTCTCATGGCTTGCATTTATATTAGCTCAAATTACAGCTGAAATTCCTTATCAAATTGTTGCAGCTGCGTTATCCTTTTTTTCATGGTACTATCCAGTTGGAATGTATAGAAATGCAGGACATGATTTACATGCAAGAGGAGCATTAATGTGGTTAAGTATGACATTATTATTTATTTATAGTTCAACATTGGCACAAATGTGTATATCTTTTAATCAATTAGCAGATAATGCAGCAAATGGTATATCAGTTTTAATTACAATATGTATGACATTTTGTGGTGTTATTGCAACAAAGGATTTTATGCCAAGATTTTGGATTTTCCTTTATAGGTTTAATCCATTTACTTATTTAGTAAGTTCAATGTTATCAATTGGAATTGGAAATTCAAGAGTTAGATGCTCAGAAAAAGAATTGATACATTTCCCACCACAAAATCCAGGTATACAAAAATGTAAAGATTATATGGGAGCATATATTTCAATAGCTGGTGGATACTTAACTAATCCTGAAGCAACAGATAATTGTACATTTTGTAGAATGGATACAACTAATCAATTTCTAAGTTCATTAAGTATATCAATACATAATTATGGTAGAGATACTGGTGTTTTCATTGCTTTTATTGTTTTTAATATGATTATGACAGCTTTCTTATATTGGTTATTTAGAGTTCCAAAAGGTTCTAGAGCTAAAAATAATAATTGGTTTGCAAGATTAACATTTCATAATGGTTACAACGATCAAGCTTAATGACATTTTTTATTTATGATAAAACGTTACTTTATTTTTCATTTTTTTGTTTTATTTAAAAGATAAAAGTTATATTATTATATTAAATTATATAGGATATTATATTACAATATAAATTACAAGTTATTATACCCTTTTTAATTAAAGATATTAATCAACAATTGTAAAGAGATATAGAAAATATACACTTCGTCGTGGAGTCCAGCAAAATTTCAGCAATTTTCAGCTTCTTCTCAAATTATGATTCCAAGTAATTTAATTCTTAAATGCCGCATAATCTAGTTTTTTAACAATTGGTCCTATAGTGTAGTTGGTTATCACATTCGGTTTTGATTAATATAGTCAAAAATTCCGGATAACTTCAGTTCGAATCTGGATAGGACCTTACAGTAGCTGTATATATTTGTTTTTTTTCGTTTTCGTTTTGTATGCTGGTAGGAATGAAGAATGTAATTTCTATAGGTTCTGTCAGAGTTTGATTTAGAGGCACTGAAAACCTTTTCAATTTTTTGTTTGAATGCTACTTTGTTTGCCGCTCAAATTAGTGTTTAATTATTTTTTTGATAAGTTGAAAAAATTACCTCCTAACATATTAAACCTCAAAGTAGACCTGCAAAGTTTTGTTTATTATACATTCAAAAGCTATATCAAAACACAACAAAATCTCATCAGCCAGCCATCTGTTTTGATTGATTATGTAGGCTAATTTTACATATAGGCTAAAAATTAATGAATGATGAAATGGTTGTCAATTCAACCATTTATTAAACTACCAAAATTGGATTTTTTTTGTTTTGATTTTTCATTTTGTGATGTTTTTCTTTTTGCAAAATTTAGATCAACTATACAAATATTTACAAGTAAGTAAGTTATGATAGTAAACAATTTGAACTTGGTTGTTAAGATGAAATGTAAATGCTGGTTTATTGAATAAAAATTGGGGTTTTGATGTGGTTTGATTTGATTTGAAAATGTAGTATATAAGTCAGTACAAAATCTCACTTTTTTTGCAACAAATTTTAAGAAAAAATAATTAAAATATCTAAACTTATTTATTGTTAAGAATTATTAATCTAAAGATGCCATTTTTTTATCAATGTACTTTCTGTTGTGTTATTTATAATGATAAAGATGTTTGTGAATATCATCAAATTAAAGATCATGAAAGAAAAGAAGGTGATTATAAAATAAAATCAATCTACAGAGAAGATTAAATTTTGTTATTAGTGTGCTCAGTTCTTATGAAATGATGTCAAGTTTTTAATTTTTCTGTTATTAAAAGGTTTTTTGAATACGTTATTTAATTTTTAGTTTGATGATTTGCTTTAATGATGTGCTATATTTGTCAATATTATATATGTTTTGTTATTTAATTGTTCTTATTTGTTTAAATTCAAGTCCTGTAGAGTCTTTTGCAACCATATAAAAGATACCATATGTCGTATTTTTGTGCTAGTGTCCTAACTTATGTTTTAGCGTCTCTATCTTATACTTATATATATCGCGGAATTCAAATTCTATTTTGCTCCACATTTAAACTAATTATAATATAAATCATAGAATAGAACTTATCAATAAATAATAAAAATGTTAACTTTAATGGAAGAACTAGAAGAGAAAGAAATGGTTAAATACGATGATTCACTAAAAATTAAAAACTATTCAACTTCATTCAATCTACTATCAAATGACAAAGTTCCAGACCTTCGAAATCTAAAATATAAAACTAATACTGATCATTTAAATTGTCCTATATGTCAACAACCTTTCATAAATCCATTAACAACAATATGTGGACATACTTTTTGTAAAGAATGTATACATGAATGTTTAAAATCACTACATAATAATAATAATAATAATAACAACAACAACAACAACAATAGTAATAGCAATAATAACGAAATTGTTACAATAGGTCATTGTCCTTTAGATAGAACCCCAATAGATTCAGCAAATATAAATGATTTATTCCCAACTCCTTTAATAGTGACAAATCTAATAGATGATTTAAAAGTTTATTGTTTGAATCACGAAAGAGGTTGTGATTGGTCTGGTAGTAGATGGGAAGTTGAACATCATATATTAGATAAATGTCCATATACTGGAGTAATTTGTAATGGAAAAAGAAAATCAAATGATGAACTTGAAGAAGAAAAAGAAGAAGAAGATTTAAAAAGTGCAACATGTTGTAAATTAATAGTTGAAAGAAGACATTTTGAAGATGTTAAATTAAATGAATGTGTTCATAAAATATTTAAATGTGAATTTTGTGATGAAGAAATAACAAAAATAACAAAATTAAATCATTTACAAAAGGAATGTTTATATAACTACAAGACTTGTAAAATATGTGATAATGATTCAATACCTGAAAAAAATTTAGAAAAACATCAAGAAAATTGTATTAAAACTGGTAAAATAAAATGCCCAGCAAATGAAATTGGATGTTTATGGATTGGTAATAATGAAACATCTTTGGAATTTCATTTACAAAATGGTAATTGTCAATTAAATCAATTTTTACCATTTTATAAAACCATAAATAATAAAATGAATAATTTAGAAAAAGAAAATCAATTTTTACAAAAACAATTATATAAAATATTAGATTCTATAATACAAGGTAAAATAACAAATTTAGGATATAATGAAAATATAGAAGAAATTAATAAATTTCAAAATATTGAAGATCAAGATAAATTAATTTATTTAAATTTTGAAATTGATAGATTAAAATTTGAAATTAATGAAAAATTAATACCATTTATGAATAAAACTAAAACTAATAATGAACAAGATACAATGATTAAAAATTTAATAAATGATAATTTTATAATGAGAGAAGATATGAATTTACAAAGAATTATGATAAATAGTTTAAGAAAACAATTACAATTTTTATTATTTTCAAGAAATAGAATAACTGGTGGTAATAATAGTAATAATAATCAAAATTTGAATCCGTTGACATTTGGTCCAAATATAGGATCACCTTTACATAATGAAGAAATGATGATGATGATGCCAGAAATGTATGAAATTGGTTCAAGAAGTAATTCAGAAGAAAGATTAAATATAAAATTGTAAAGAAAGCTAATGTAGAATATATATATAGTATATATAATCTTATGAATTTAATGAAATAATTATGATAATATCAGAAGTAAGACTTATACAACAGTTATAATAATTCTCTAATCAAATAAATGTGAAAAATTTTGAAACTTTCATTTAGAATTTTAATTTAGTAATTTTAATTTAATGAATTTAATTTTAATTTTTTTGCTCGGTAATAAAAATTCAATTTTTTTATTATGTGGGGTTTAGAATATTTAAATATAAATTGATTAAAAGTAATGATTCAAGTATTGAGCTTTAATCATATTACCTTTTGATCTTCAATTACTAAGTAAATGAAATATATGATCATCTCTTTAATAATATAATAATTGGACCATAACCCTTGATCATTAAAATCTTTTAGTTTAAGTTTTATTGTTTATTAATATAAATACATTTTTATATTCCTAATATTATTAAATATAATATTATAATAAATTTACAATTTCAATTATTACTTAATTAAGTTACAATACTATTAATTATTATATTGAAACAAAATCAACAAAAATTTCAATTTTTTACAACTCAATTTTAAATAGTTTCATTTATATATATAATTATAGATTTTTTTTCATTTTTTTCAATTCTTATAGACTCATTATTTCAATTCATTTATCAATTAAATTAATCAATTCATCTTACATCATATCAATTTCATCAATCTATTTAAAATCAAATCACTTTCATTATTACTTTTAAATTTTAACTTACCCCTGATTTAGCAACCACAAAAGATTAATATATATCAATCAAAACGTTCCTTTACTAATTTTAATATTACAGTCATTTTTATTTTAATATTCATAGCTTCATATAAGATAAGCTTTAATCTACAAACTCGGAATAATAGAATTTTTTAAAAAATGCCATCACTTAATACAATGGAAACTTTAGAAATTCATTCAAAAGATTTTTTAATAAAATGGATTAATGTACCTGAAAATTCAATAATTGATTGGCAAGTAAAACCTTTAAAAAAATCAATTAATTTTGCATTTTATCAAAAAAAAGATGATCAATCATCATCAATTGGTAATGGTTCATTTAATACTTTAACTCCAAGTGATGGTTCTTCAACTCCTCCAAATTTAAGAAGTAGAACAAATTCAACTGCTTCAGTTAATCAATTTCATAAACCAAATGATGTTTATAAATCAAAATCAAGAAGTTCAACTTTATCATCAATTGGAGAATCTGATTTAATTTTAGTTAAAAATTATAATAAATTAGTTGCTAATGAATTAGTTCATGGAAAATATGAAGCTCCAAATGGTGGAATGTTTGCATTTGTATTTGATAATTCATTTTCCAAAACTATTGCAAAATCAGTAGAATTTAGTGCTAAAGTAGTTGTTAAAGAGGCACCTGATGCAAATATTCAACAACATGATCAACATGTATTTGAAAGTGATACTGAAGTACCAACAGGTGAAGTTTTACAAAGTATAATGTTAAAAAAAAGAAGAAAGAAATTACAAGGATTTACAAAACGTTATTTTGTTTTAAATTATAAAAGAGGTATTTTATCATATTTTAAAAATGATGATAATAAATTAAGAGGTCAAATGCCTATAAAAGAAGCTATTATATCAGCTAATCCTTCAAATAGAGAAATTATTATTGATTCAGGTATGGAAGTTTGGCATTTGAAAACTATTAACCAAGCTGATTTTAATGCATGGATTAATGCTTTCAACACTGTTAAGAAACAAGATAATAAAGCTACACCACCTCAATCATCTGGTTCAAGTGCTTCATCTACTGAATTATTAATTGTTGCTAAAAAAATTGAAAAATTAAAATTAGATTTCAATTCACCATTAATTAATGAAATTCATCAAGATGTTTTGAATTTATTGAATAGAAGTAAAGGTGGGGCAGATCATTCTCAAGCTACAGCTGGTGGGTTTGCTTCAGATGTTCAATCAGTATATTCAAGCGAATTCCACGATGCTGAAGATCATTTTGATGATGATGGTGTAAATATTTTAGAAGATGGTGGAATTTATACTCAAGATGAAGAAGATCAAGTTGGTGATGTTTCATCAGATGAAGAAGAAGACGACGAAGAGGAAGATGACAATTATGGAGCTGTTACTGGTGGAGCTGTTGCTGGAGGAGCAACGGGTACTGTTGGTTATGCATCAAAAGAAGCAGAACAACAAGAACTTCCACAACCAACTGTTACAGGAGAAGAAGAAACATTATATCCATTACCACATGATCCAGTTCCAAGAAATTCCGACATACCCGTTTGTACTCATACCCCACCATCATTACTTAGTTTTGTGCGTAAAAATGTTGGTAAAGATTTATCAACAATTGCTATGCCAGTTACTTATAATGAACCAACTACAGTATTACAAAAATTTGCTGAGTTGATAGAATATCCAGAAGTTGTTTCAAATGCTTTAGGTTCAGATTTCCAAGATGAATCTGGTGAAAAAGTTTTAAGAATTGCAGCATTTGCATTAAGTGCTCTTTCATCACTGAGAGCTAAAGAAAGAAATAAACGTAAACCTTTTACTCCATTATTAGGTGAAACTTATGAATTAGTACGTGAAGATCTCGGGTTTAGATTAATTTCTGAAAAAGTGAGTCATAGACCACCCGTTTTTGCTTATCAAGTTGATACCGATAGTTGGTCAATGAATTTTGCATTATCACCATCACAAAAATTTTGGGGTAAACAATCTGAAGTTACAACAAAGGGTGTTGTTGTATTAAAAGATAAATCAACTGGTGAAGAATATTCTTGGACTCAACCAACAACTATGATTAAAAATATTATTGCTGGTGAAACTTATGCTGAGCCAACTGGTACAATTACTATAAAATCTTCAAATGGTTACAAAGCAGTTGCTGAATTTGCTAAAGGTGGTATGTGGAGTGGTAGATCAGAAGAAGTTACAGTAAAAGCATTTGATAATAAAAAGAAAGAATTAACATACACTGTTAATGGTAATTGGACACAAAATTTTACATTAAAAACCAATTCAACTGAAAAAACAATTTGGCAAGCTGGTGAATTATTACCAAATTATCAAAAAAAATATGGTTTTACAACATTTGCAGGTACATTAAATAAAATTACTGAAATGGAACAAGGTAAAATTCCACCAACTGATTCAAGATTTAGACCAGATTTACAAGCTTATGAAAAAGGAAATGTTGATCAAGCAGAAGAATTAAAAATTAAATTAGAACAAGATCAAAGAGTTAGAAGAAAAGAATTAGAAGATTCTGGTAAAGAACATATTCCTCAATTTTTTAAATTTGTTGGTAATGGACCTGTTGATGAAGGTAAATGGGAGTTTATTACTGGTGAACAAAGTTATTGGAATAGAAGAAAAAATCAAGCATGGGATGGTTTAGTTCAATTGTGGTAGAGAAATCGATGAACTTTTGCACGTGAAGATACAAATACAAGTTACAAAATTTGATTCACTATATAGTTATTTAGGATAGTTTAGTTCAATTGTGGTAATAACTACAACTTATTTTAGATTAATTTAAAAAATAGAATATATAGTAAATAAATGAAGTAAAACTTTATACTCTTCAAAAAAAACGCTGAAACATTATCAAACTTATTTTGATATTGTCTGTAAACATTTCCTATTCTAAAGTTTCACCTTCATTGAATGATCCATCAGAATTAAACGTTTACTAAGTGTTCCCAACCGCCAGCAAGTCAAGCACAAGGTCGACCCAAATTAACCAAATTAATTTACGTGGTGCAGGCCACAACTTTTCGACAGTTTAACCTCTAACTTCACATTAAAAACCATCAATCTAATTTAAAAAGATTTTTGGTACAGGGAAGGCCTTTGACAACCTCCACCTGTTGTTAAATTCTGAACCCCAGATTAAAATATCTTCTAAATTTAGATTGTATATTGTTATTTTTAAAACCCCAAATTGAATTATTTTCAATACCCCAAGTTGTATTATTTTAAAACCCCAAGTTGTATTATTCTAAAACCCCAAATTGTATTATTTTTAAAACCCAAATTGTATTTATTAATTTTTAAACCCCAAATTGTATTATTTTGAAACCCCAAATGTATTTATTAATTTTTAAACCCCAAATTGTATTATTTTGAAACCCCAAATGTATATATTATTTTTAAACCCCAAGTTGTATTATTTTTTAAACCCCAAGTTGATATTTATTATTTGTTAAAACCCCAAGTTGAATTTATTATTTAAAACCCCAAGTTGAATTAATTTTTAAACCCCAAATTGAATTATTTTTAAACCCCAAGTTGTATTAATTTTTAAACCCCAAATTGAATTTATTATTTAAAACCCCAAGTTGAATTTATTATTTTTAATACCCCAAATTGAATTATTTAAAACCCCAAGTTGTATTAATTTTTAAACCCCAAGTTGATATTTATTATTTGTTAAAACCCCAAGTTGTATTATTTGTTAAAACCCCAAGTTGTAATATTCTAAAACCCCAAATTGTATTATTTTTAAAACCCAAATTGTATTTATTAATTTTTAAACTCCAAGTTGTATTATTTTTAAAACCCAAATTGTATTCATTAATTTTTAAAACCCAAATTGTATTATTTTGAAACCCCAATTGTATTTATTATTTTTAAACCCCAAATATACATATTATTTTAAAACCCTAATTGTATGTATTTTCTTAAAACCCAAGTTATTGTTGTTGAATCCCAAGTTGTACTAAATGTAAGAAATGAATAAGTTATAATGATCTAGTAGTAGTTATTTGTTAATGTATGTTAATAATATATAAAACCTAAATAAAACTAGTTTTTCAGATCTAGGGAAATTAAACCTTTATTTATAATCTTTTGAAATTATTTCAAATCAAGGGCCACAATCCTTAATTCTCATATTACACCAATATGAAACAATATTTTACCATACTTAAATAATCGAAAGGGGTTATTAATAAATTAAATCCCCGCATTTGTAATCTCTTGTTTATATTATATTGGGTTGTTTCAGATATGATCTATAACTTCTAATTTTAGATTAATTTTTCTTAACTATACAAAATAAACTATTTGAGGTTTGCACGACCTAACACATTTAAATTAATTATGAGATAACTCCTCCATTTCATTAATTGAAAAGGCGTTTTGAACGTGAGGGGTTCACAACGGCGTGATTAATTAATTGATAAACATCAGTTATTAATTATCCTTATCATAGTTAATATCTAAACTTTCTATTTATAGATTTATTTATAATTATTTATATTTATATATTAAATTATTTACTAACAGATGGTAGCTATTCAATTCTAAATCTTAAGTATGTAATTCTAGTTTAGTATGTAATATATTGAATTGTATGTAATTGAGTTTGCCAACTATTAACTGTTTACTAACAAGACCTTCTCTAATCGATACTGAAACAAGCTCGAGATCTTGTGTAACAGGTTAAGAACTACGTACTACTAACAGTATTTTCTCTCACTTTCAAATTTATAATCCTTAAAAAATTAGCAGAATTCCGGTTTTTAAGTCAGATGTTGGCGAATTCTTGAACCCTAAAAAGTACGTAAACTTTGCAAAAGTCACGTGCTAAACCGGAAACGCGTCTGAAACTACCACCAAAAGTCAAGTAGAGTTATTGTTAATAAGTTTCAACTCTATATATCAATTGCTCAAGTATTCAGTTAAATTTACTTTTTTGAATAGTAGAATCTAATTTCGTATTCAAACTCTTAACAAGTGTAATAAATTGAAAAAGATTTAATTGTTTTTGAATACAGTTTCGCTCATACAAATTACATTTGCTTTTGGTCTAAAAATGTAACGTACAACTTCTTCCTTTGGAATACGGTGTTTATAATTTCTGAATGATAGATTCGGAGTTGGATTATGGATGAAAAGATTAAAGAGATTTAAAAAAACTAAAAATCAAATTATCTAATTAAATGAACCTACATTGTATGCTATTAATTGAACTAAATCAACTAGTTAATTCTCAGTATAATTCGATAGTTTTTAATCAAAAAATTGCAATTCAAAATAAATAATTTTGATTCAATTTAACTGCCATTGATTGTTTCCATATTTCTGCATTAATATCTTTTACTTTTTTCAAAACAGAAGCCATACAAATCATAATTAAACATTCTTCATTTAATGAAAATAAACTATCATAATCAACATTAGAATTTGTATTATAAATATCATTAATTAATAATTCCGCCAAACCCAACTTACCTAATTCAAATTCAACTTGAGCCTCACCAAAAACTGCATTGTTTGTTGTCCCATAATATTCAGGTTTAACTGCATCAGAATCTGGATGAATTTTTGATTTTATATATGATTTTAACAATGGATTGGGTTTATTATTTAATTTATTACCTATACCATCCCAGTTATCACATAATGATGGTTGCTCTGGTGATAAGATAGTATGTTTTAAACCATACTTTACTTGATTTAATCTATAAAAAAAAGGCTTACCTGATTCTTCAATCCATCGTAGTCTTTGACCTTTATAATTGTAATCATAAATAGGAAATGTAGTATGAGAGAATAATGTGATTTGAAAATTTGTTTTGTCATTAGTTGGATCAGGTTTAATATTAAGTACAAATGAAGTGTAACCAGTTTGACTAAATTTTTTAACGATACAATAATCGTAATAATTCTTATCGATATCAAATGAAGTTTGAGGATCTGGTAAATGTCTTTTGATAATTAAATATTTTGAAGACAATGGGTTCAGACTAACCTCAACTTTAAATAAAGGTATACCTATTCCTTGTTGTTGTAGTTTTATAACTTGAGGATCATTTTTTTTAGTTTTGCATAATTCATATTTGTTAATTGATCGATTACCAACAAACACTAATCCATCTTTGTAGTATCTTGTATTTATGACAATTGACCAATTTTTTAACGGTACTTCTTGAAAATAAAATGGTATTTTACCTACTGGTGGATGATAATATGAAGGAGGTTCTGGTTTTGATTCTTTCTTGACTGTGCTAGATTTTTTTTTGTCAGTTTGATCATTCTTAGTTATTATATCTTTTGATTCTTTTGAGTATATCGGTAGCGGTTCATCTTGATGCATTGTAATGTAAGGTACCTATCAAAGTATTAGTTTTTGAATTCTCAAAATTTTCTTATTCTATTTATATAATTTTATTCTCGTATTGTAATTTTGTGGAGGAATATTTTAAATGCCGGGTATCATTTATTTTTTTTAGATTAAAGTTAGATTATGCATATATTAATGCGGCTGAGTAATATTAGTTTATTAGATTTAAAGATTTAATAATAAATTTCAAAAATGTAATTATATATTAAATAAAAAAACGTAAATGAAGCGCATAAATAATTAAATCTAAAATTAAAAAAAAATATAGAAAATAGAATTGAAGCTAACACGGTATTTGTAAAAAAGATCTCATAAGGTAATAATTACCAGTATTATTACCATCATCTTTATCATTTGATCAAACGTCAATACTCTGACCATTATTACTTTCTTTTCAGACTCAGAGCAACAGGACCTTTGATTACTTGCTTTCTAGATATATCAATAATTATATCTTTTTCCATTTTTATAATAGTAGCAATACATATTTTAACTAAAGCTTCTTGATTCAATGAAGATATACTATCATAAGTTGCATAAGAATTTGTATTTGTGATATAATCAAAATATTCATTAGATGTATCATCAATTCTCAATTCTGCTAAACCTAACTTACCTAATTTGAACGAAGAAGCAGCTTGACCGAATATCTCAGTAGGTTCTGTTCCATAATATTCCTCCTTAACAATACTTGAATGATTATTTGATTTAAAGAAAAATGAAGCAAAGCATTTGTTTTTTAAAAAAAAATTTTCATATCTACCATTCCAATTATCACATAAAGATTCTTGATCAGGTAATAATTTTGTATGTTTAAAACCATATCTTACTTGATTTAAATTGTTGAAAAACGGCATTACACTTTCATCAATCCATCTATACTTTTTATCATTATATACGTAATCATGAATAGGAATTCTTGAATGTGAAAGTAAAACAACTTGAAAATCTTCACTTCTTCTATAAACGTGTGGTGTAAAGTTGAAAATAAATGATGTAAAACCAGCATTTTTAGCTTTTCTAACATTACAAAAGTTATGATAATTAGTTTCAATGTTAAAGGAAGTATGTGGTTTTGGTGTATAAACTTTAAATAAAACTAATTTTGAATCAAATGAAGTTTTAGTATCAACTTCAACTTTAAATAATGGTATTCCAATTCCTTGCATATGTAATTGTTTTATTTCATCATCAATGCCATTTCTTCTATAATATTCATATTTAAAAATAGAATCTTTACCAACAAATATACAACCATCTCTATAATATCTTGTATTGAAAATAATGGACCAACCATTCAGAGGAGCTTTTTGGAAAAAAATTGGTACGTCACTAATTGGTGGTTCTAAATACGATGGTGGTGGTGATTCATTTTCAATCTCAACACTTGATGAATCACTTGGATTTTGTGTATATAATGGTAAGGGCTCTTCTGAAGACATTTTAATTATTTGATAATTATATTTGATTTTAAAAACAAATATACACATTTTGCAAAAACTGAAAGTTAATGAAGTCAAAGTGAATTTATATTCAAAGATAAATTGGAACTGAATACAAGATATACAATAATAAATTGTAAAGCCGACTCTAACCTTGTCGATAATATGAACAAATTCATTATAAAACCGTTTATGATCGGATAACTGATAAGAATGTGGTTAATGGTAAATACCGTTGATAATTTGCAAAATGTGTTCTTGATAAGAAAATAAGTCATCAATTTTTTGTAAGTTAATAATACCCCAGATTTCGTAAATTAAATTAATAACAAATTAAGCCGCATCGCTAATTTTGTGTCATATATTTTGAGATCTTGATGTTAGTTACTTTTAACGAACAAAATCACTAAAATAATGAAGTCAATAATAAAACAGTAATAGATCTACGAAAATATCATTTTTAAGGGGCATTTTATAATAGTTTTTATATTTGATTTAAATGACCAATTTTTTTTAGTAAGGACTTTCAATTCCAATGGAATAGCACTTTTTTTTATCTTATCTTCAACACCTCAAACAGTTGTGACAAATGACAATCTAATGTCAATACAGATCAAAGAATGGCTTTTAAAGATTTACGAACTTCGGTAAATGCATTAATACCTCGCTTCTTGAAGCTATTAGAAGGTAACGTGTTACGATTATTAAAGTGATTTTATATGAAATTTAGATCTACATACTTTATCAGCGAGATCCTTATCGACTTCACTAAATTGTAAGCGAACCCCTTCATTTTTCTTGTTCAGTACTTTTTTCCCTTTTCGAAAGCATTGCAATACAAATTAAAACAAATCTACTCTAATTAATGGGCAACGTGCTCTAGTAATTTATGTTGATTTGATTACTATTATAAGTGTTAGCTAATCTTTTAAAACAGCATAACCTCGGCTGATACCTGCATCAAATTCTCGTAGAATGCCAGAACATTACGAACCACAATTTTCAGGCTTAAAAACTTTCGAATCTTTGTTCACTATTCCTTTTTATAATGTTGATATATGAGAATTTGACTAATTATTGTCCAAAATACTAATTTCTCTATTTCAATAATCACATCATGAAGGTTGACTAGGTGTTAACATAATATGGTTAAATCCATATTTAACTTGATTTAAAATATCAAATTCATCAATAAAACTTTCGTCTATCCATCTATATTTTTTACCTCTGAAAATGTACTTATTGGTAGAAAAGAACATTAAAATAAAACCACCTAATATAATTGAGGAGTTTCTGAATCTGGTGCGAACTTAAAAACACATGAATTATAACCTACATGATGGTTTTTTATAACAGTTCAGCATTTACAACCATTTAATTCAAGATCAGAATCACCTTTCTGATTTGAAAGTACCTTTTAATTGTTTAGAGTTTAGACTCATTGGCTTAAATGGTACTTCAAAGATCGATCACAGAATTCCAATACCTTCTTTATGTAGATCTGAAACATAAGGATCTAGCTTCTTTTTTTTAAGTGCATCAGATCTTTTACCGGAACTTTAACTAACGAATATTCGAAACCCAGAAGTTCAAAACTTATTGTTTATAGCTATTGTACAACCATTTTGTGCATCTCGGAAATATATGGGTGGACGTAGTTATTGAAGAAATGGTTTCTCTTTTTTTGTATGTAGTAAGCTTCATTCATTATTGTTTTATGGTGATGTAGGTTAATGGCTGATTGTTGATAAAATTGTCGAAAGCAGTGGACATCCTAGACCGGGTCTGGTCACTTTTTGAATGGTTGAAGATCAATTGACTTGAAAAAAAAGAAAACAAATTGGAATAGAGAAATCAAACTGAAATAAATACAAGAAGATACAAATATTTATTTACGAGAGTTTTTGTACCTCATAAAACTTCACTATCAAATATGACTTGATAAAATTAGTAGAACAATAAAAAATAAATTGTTAATAATTACAATTTCTCAAATCCTTTTCAAAAAAATAAAGTGATATCTAGCTTTCTTACAGAGTGAAAACAAAATGTTCAATGAGTACACTCGAAACTTAAAGAAATTTGTTATTGACGCGCCAAATTGATTCAACCAAATCCCACACATTTTCATTCTGATCCATGACTTCGAGAACCGACTCATAAATTGATAATGGACTATAAAAAAGCCCCATATCTAGGAGATCCTGTAATGTATAATCCCTTTTCAAATATATTTCAAATTTCTTTAAGAATTTTTTACAACGTGTTTTAGTATTAGTTAAGTTAGATATGTTATTCGGTTTTACTCCTGATTCAGTTTTTTTAATTAAAATTTTACCACTTGTAAAAAAATACAATGGCCATTGACATGAAATAACCTGAAAATGACTAGGGGAATATAATCTTATATTATCAGCATACAAGGTATCACCAAGTTGATAAAAAACTGGCCACCAACTTATATATAAATTGGGATTAGTTAAATATAACTTTGCTAATTCAAAAGCGTATGAATCATTAGCTATACTAGTGCAAATATATAATTTTTCCAAATTTGAGACATCGATTCCATTCACATTTAGAAAGTTCGATGAAATTAAAAGACTCTTTAATTTTGCCAAATTTGCATTTTTCATAAACGATGTAATTTTAAAAGTGTCAGACTTGATCCTTGATTCAAATCCTGGATCATTTAATTGTGAAATTGACAATGAAGCGATATTCTCTGTATTAAAGTATTTATCAAGAGTAAACAACCATTCGTCAAGTTCTTCATAGTAAACCTTTTTATATCCATTCGCTTTTCTTTTCGAAAAATCACTCCAAAATATCAAATCAAGTTGTTTGATTTTGCACTCTATTTTATTCATTTTAGCAAGAATTGAAGGATCTGCTAAATTAATAGTTTTTTCATAAAATGAAAGATGTAATATTTCAAGATTTTTAAAAAAATTAATTTGATTAAATAAATTCAATGTCTTTTGGCTTTTCAGGAAATCTATTAAAATAAAATTTTAAAACTTTAAGGTTATCATGGAAAAAAGTAACAAAGTCTTTAGGAATTTGAGGCACCTTCTTAAATCTATAGAGCCTTTCAATACTTTTTGGAAAGCAAAGAGCTTCCTTTTCTTTTGAAACATGCTCCTTAAGCACCAAAACACAACCAGAATTTGTTGAGTCAAGACTTATGTAACGAAGGTTCTCAAAATAATTTTGAATTTGTTTTAAAAAATGATATCCTGGATAGTACAGAATGCAAGACTCTGAATCTGTTCTGAAATCATTTTCAAAACTTAGATGATGTATATTTTGATATCTATTAATTTTTTCTTCAAAAAAATATTTCTTAAAATTTGAGCCTGAAATGATAGTGTATTTTTTGGTGATATCATTTAAAATATTTTTTTAAATCTCCAGTTATAAGACCGTAACGTTTCATGGTAGGAACACTTTTTTCTTTCATCCGACGAATCATAAGGGTATTCCAAACATTCTACACCATAAACATGAATAAATTTATAAAGTTTTTTAAGTCCAGTTTTATAATAACTTGAATTCAAAGGCATTAAAGCTAGAACCATATGTTGATCAAGTTGTTGAAGAATCACTTCTAGAATCTCTTCCGGATATTGTAATAAGTTTTTCATACTGTTCTTGGAGTCAAAATGAGAGACAACGCCCTTTTTTTATGTTTCATGTTCTTTTTATATATTTTAATCAGTATTTCGCACAGTCATGAAACAATACCCCTTAAGAACTATGTTTGGGAAGGAATAAGTTTTTGTGCATAAAATTGAAAACGTATAATGTCAACTTGATATATGGAGTATTAGTCACTAGTAATCTTGTCCAAAATTCCCTGTATAAGTTTATCTGATCTAAAGTTTTGCATTTGACCCTCAAGTAAAGATTCAACATCATACAGCTTCGGGATAACTGATAAAATTCTTGCAACCAGGTCATTCAACTACAGCAGGCTCAATACAAAGGTCAAAAGTTTTTCAATAATAGTTTAAGTCAAATGAGTTATTCGATAGATTGTAATCAATGATGTGATGTCTAATGATGTCATGTCTAATGATGTCTAAATTTGATTTTTGCAACCATTTCGAGATAATCTGTTATTTTTCAAATTAATAGGGTACCATAATATTAGATTTAAAAAGATAACAGCTTCACCGTCCATTTATCAATCGCCCCATAATTTTTTGACCAGAGTTTTCAGATATTATCACTGATGAGAACAATGAAGTGGTAGTTTTCGTTTTTATCAGTCAAGAAATACTTTTCTCATACAAGTTTGTTCAATATGTGATAAGCTGAAACACAATCGCTCAAAAGAAGGTACTAAAAGGATATAATAATAAGTAAAAAACACATACAAAAATTTTATTCATACACCCATAGAAATCAAAAAATTATTATTAGCACCAGATCGTAATCTTCTCTGCTGCTGTCTTCTCTTTTCTTGCTCAATATCTTTTTCTCTTTTTAAAACAGTAGCAATACAAGTTAAAACTAAAGCATCTTCGTTAACAGATAAAGTACTTTCATAATTTTTATTAGAATCACCACTATAAGTATCTGCCGTTTTTAATTCTGCATAACCTCGACTAGAATAAGAATCAGCTTCTCCCAAGATTGCGGAACATGAGTGACCATAGTATTCTGGTTTTGGAAATCTTGATCTAGAATTTAATTTCGTTTTAAAATATGATGATAAGTACGGATTTGATTTTTTGTTATCCAATTTATTATGTTTTCCATCCCAACTATCGCATAGTGAAGGTTGATCAGGGGTTAACATTGTATGTTTGAAGCCAAATATTACTTGATATAAAGTATTGAATCTATCAGCATAACTCTCATCTATCCATCTATATCTTTCACCTCTAAATATATAATCACTTATTGGTAATGTTGAGTGTGAAAACATGAAAACTTGAAAATTCAATTGTGGAGCTTTAGGATCTGGTGTAAATTCAAATATATAAGTATTATAACCCATGTGAGAATATTTTTTGACAACACAATAATCATAGTTATTTACATCAGCATCAAAAGCACCTTGTGAACTTGGTAAAAATCTTTCAATTGTCATAAATTTAGAACTCATTGGATTTAAGGGTAATACAATTTTTAATAATGGAATTCCAATACCTTGTCTTTGTAAGTCCATAACATTAGCATCATTTTTCTTTTTCTTAAAAGCATCATATTTTTCACAAGCATCTTCACTTACAAATATCCAATACCCACCAGTCCAAAACCTATTATTTATCACAATTGTCCAGCCTTTAGGTGCGTGTTGGAAATACACTGGCTCTTGTTGAGGAATTGATTGCTTTCTTTCTTGAATATAGTTTACTTCTCCATTGTAGGAAGGTGGTTGCTGTTTATCAAACATGAATGAGAAGTTGTTGTATGAAATTACGTCTGAATTTTCAGTATTTAGAACATTGTTATTGGAAATGGACTTGAGTATAAATAGTCATTCCTAGTTAATAGATTAAATGTATAAATTAGTCTGATTTTAATGCCGTTTACTTAAGGCTTAGGTAAAAAACTTATAAGAAAATAATTAAAGAAATAAATACGAATGACTTCAATTTACGAGATTTAATTTTATTTCTTATCTATTATAAATAACCAACAATAATTAAATTATTCCATGGATATCCTCAGAGCATTACTTCAGCCTCTTGTCTATCCTCAATTATATCTTTTTGTCGTTTCAAGACGGTTGCAATACAAATTAGTACCAAAGCATCTTGATTTATTGATAAAATACTATCATAATTAACATCTGATTCAGTATTATATAAATCATCAATTCTTACCTCTGCAAAACCCAACTTGAAATAAGCCTCTGGCTCTCCCAAAATTGCAGAACACCTTGTACCATAATATTCAGGTTTAGGTACTCTTGTTTTAAAATTAAATTTTTGTTTTAGGAATGATGCTAAAAATGGATTTTCTTTAGTTTTATCTAATTTATGACTTTTACCATCCCAATTATCACATAAAGATGGTTGATCAGGAACTAGAATGGTGTGTTTGAACCCAAATTTTACTTGAAACAATTTTTTAAAATAATCAATAAATGTTTCATCTATCCATCTATGTCTTTCGCCATTATACATATAGTCATGGACCGGAAATCTTGAATGAGAAAACATAGTAATTTGAAAATTTCCTTTATCTGTATCTTTATCTGGTTTGAAATCAAAAACATAGGAGTCATAACCGATATGATAATGTTTTTTTACTGTACAAAATTCATAAAAATGTTTATCAATATCAAAAGGACCATCAGGATTAGGATAGTATCTTCTAAAAGTCAAAAATTTAGTTGTTATAGGATTATGTGGAACTAACACTTTAAGTAATGGAATACCAACGCCTTGTCTTTTCAAATCCATAACATTGGAATCAGTAGTGTTGTTTTTGAAAGCATCGAATTTTTCACTTGAATCCTTACTTACAAATATTCTAAAATTATCAGTCCAAGATCTATTATTTATAACAACTGTCCAACCCCTTGTTGATGCATCTTTAAAATATACTGGTTCATCACCTAAAATATGTTCTTCAAATGGTGGAGGTTGATCTTTCTTATCAATAAAGTAAGTTGATTTATTTGTATATGAAGGTGGAGGATCTTTTTTAATCATAATTTGGAAGAATTACGTTAATTTTGAGTAATCAACATAGTGATTTAAAAGTTGTAAAGGATACTTTGAATCAATTTATATAGCACTTTAAATTTAATTCAATTTAATAAAGTATTATTAAATCCGTTTTTGGTTAATATATACGGAGTTATAAAATTAAAATTACATAGCCTTCTATACGCGGCTTGTACAACTTTGAGAAATACACATTACAACTTAAAGTCACAAATAAGCCAAATAAAGTTAAGTTACTTAATTAATGTAGTTCTATACAAATGGTACAGCAGCTCCGTCACCTCTCATGTCACTACCTGCAGCATAAATCAACCCACCCAGTTGACCATTTTTACCTTCACTTTTAATAATTTGACCTCTACCAACCATTTGTCTTTTATAATCAGTCATTACCTCAACAGTATGTCCTAATGCTTTCAATTCTTCTATTGTTTTCTCTCCAACACCTTCTTCTATTTGTACAATTGTAATTGGAGTTCTTACAGGTCCATCAGCACCTCTTCCTCTATCTTTTGGATCATCATTATTTGAATTTAAAACAAATCTAGGAGAATCCAACGATTGTTGAGGTGTCATTCCAAAAATGATCATATTTAAAACATGTTGTACATGACATACAGGTTGTGCAAATCCTCCCATATTACCAAAAGCTGCATATAATGAATTATCTGATTTATTTGTAATCATACCTGGAATAATTGTATGATATGGTCTTTTACCACCTTCTAAACAATTTGATACTCCTGGACACAAATTAAAATTACAACCTCTATTCTGTAAACAAAATCCATATTTTTCAACTAATATACCAGACCCAAAACCCTCATATACTGAGTTTATAAATGAACATGCATTACCATTTGCATCAGTAACTGAAAAATAAACAGTATCTGATTTATATTTTGGATCTGGAACTCCATGTGTCATTGTTTCACCATCTATAATTTTATCAGGAGAAAATAATTTAGCTCTTGCTTTCAAATATTGATGATGTAATAAATCTTCGACTGGTATTTCTTTAAAAGTGGGATCAGTAACATATTCATCAGAATCATGGAACCCCAATTTGCAAGCTTCAATTAAAATATGTAAATATTCAGTTGAATTATGTTTTAATTTATATAGATCAATCTTACCTTCATTGTGTAATTCTTGAACTAGACCTAAAGCTAACAATGCAACTAACCCATGACCATTTGGAGGTATTTCCCACACATAATGATTTTGGAAATCTAATTTTATTGGCTCTACAATTGTTGAAGTATGGTTTTTAAAGTCATCCAAAGATAATTTATGATTTCTTTTAGAAGTTGTTTCTACTATAGCTTCAGCAATTGGCCCTTCATAGAATGCTTTTGCACCGTCATTACCTATGAGCTCTAGACAATCTGCAAATGGTATATTTTTAACAAATTCTCCTTCATTTGGCCCTCTTTCTCCATCTAATATGAAAGGATTATTTTTAGCATCTGGATTTTGACTCTTTAATTTCTTTACCGAACCTCTCCAGGAACGACTCGATAATTCTGAAACTGGAAACCCTTCTCTAGCTAAAGTTATAGCTGGTTGTAATATTTCTTTGAAATTAACTTTCCCAGAACCCCAGTTTTTATAAGCTTGATACCACCCATCAATTGCACCAGGAACAGTTACAGAAAACGCAGAAGTATAAGGAATTCTCGACATTGGGTTACCATTATTATGTTCGTTCCAAACATCTTGTGGGGTAATTTTTTGAGCGGCTCTACCACAACCATTTAATCCAAATACTTTACCATTAGTATGAAATAAAGCAAAAGCATCTCCTCCAATACCAGTAGATCCAGGTTCTGTTACACATAAAGCAGCTGAAACTGCAATTGCTGCATCAACACAATTTCCACCTTTATCTAATATTTTCAAACCAGCGGAATTAGCTAATGGTTGAGTTGATGCAACCATTCCCTTATGTGAATATACAGTTGATCTCCTCGAAGGAAATCTCATAAACTCACTTGACATATTTGATTTATTACTTTTAATCTTAATTGATCTTATTTGAATTTGAAAAATTGATCTCGTAAATTTATTCATAATATTAATAAAATGTAGATCTAAATCAATATTTATATTTAAATTTAATTTCATGCGAAATTTACTACTAAATTGGGAATAAAAATTCCGTTCCCGACCAAATCATATAATTATATACTTATATAATAGACTAAACACACAAAAACGATCCGATTTTTAAAATGTCTTAAAAGTTACAGTTAAAATCTTTTATTCATTAACAATTTATGATGATACCTCATTGATAAACTTTGAAATCTCAAGAGTCAAGAATTAATAGTTCATAATTGAAATTCATTTTTTCTTGATGAAAAATTTTATTCCATTAAAATTCAAGGACTAACGGGTAGATTAGTAAATTTAACTTTGACTCATGATTCTGGGGTAACGGTACATTGAAATTGAATATATTATGCAAACTTCAATTTTCAATAGTATGACAACTAAAAGAAGATATCATACTCCGAGTAGAATTAAAAATGTTAAAATTAAACCGATGTAAAAGAAAGATCTAATTCAAAACAAACGCTACCAAATTAATGCTTTTTTGTGTAATATTATGCCAAATATAGCAATAGTGAGGTTTAAACAAGTATGTTAAGTATTTGAGAAAATATTGTTAAGTCAAACACATATGAATTCATGAATTATCTTGAATGGGGGTTCAGTCATTATGGGATATAATAGGACCGTCAGCTAGACCTGTTAGATTAGAAGCATTATCCAGAAAAAAACTTGCAGTTGATGCATCAATTTGGATTTATCAATTTTTAAAAGCTGTAAGAGACAAAGAAGGTAACGCGTTACATTCATCACATATTGTCGGGTTTTTTAGAAGAATTTGTAAATTGTTATATTACGGAATTTTACCTATTTTTGTATTTGATGGAGGAGTACCAGTTTTGAAAAGACAAACTATTAATGAACGAAAGAATAGAAGGCAAGAAAAATCAGAATCAACTAGAGAAACTGCTCAAAAATTATTAGCTATTCAACTACAAAGAGAGGCAGAAGGTTCAATAGCTCCACGAAGGCAAATTAAACAAAAGTCTAAAACTCCAGATTATGATGAAGACGATGATGTAATTTATTTTGCTGATTTACCAGGTAATCAACAACCAGATGTTGAAAAATCACCAGAACAACCTAAATCAATAAAGTTTAGAAAAAAAGATGAATATCATTTACCAGACCTACATGAGTTTAAAGTTTCAAGACACGATCAGAGAATTATGCCAGATGATGAAGTGATAGAATCATTAGATGATTTTGATCATGTAGATGGAATTAATATTAATGAAGTTGATCCAAAATCTAAAGAATTCTCGAGATTACCAATAGCAACTCAATATATGATATTGAATCACCTTAGGCTAAAATCAAGATTAAGAATGGGATATAGAAAAGAACAATTACAAGAATTATTCCCGAACCTGATGGATTTTTCCAAATTTCAAATACAACAAGTTCAAAAAAGAAATTTCTATACTCAAAAATTAATGAATGTTACAGGAATGGGTGAAGATGTTAATGTTGAAAAAAGAATTGCTGGTGACAAAGATAGAAAATATGCGTTAGTTAAAAATGATGATGGATGGACTTTAGCACTTCAAGGTGGTGAGACAAGTATAACTAACCCTATCCACGTTTATTCCGAGGACGAATTGAAAGAAAAAGTTCAAAGTTTAAAGCAAGAGCAGAATTTGGAGCCAATAGTGGTAGACGATGTTGTTGATGATAGTGATGATGATTTCGAAGATGTACCATTGCAAGAGGAACAAGAAACTGAAATGGACAAAGAAGTACAAGAGGCGCTTATAAAGTCAATTTATGATCAATACAATACAAAAAGTGAGATTCAAAATGACGAAGAGGAGGATTTGAGGAGAGCAGTAGAAGAAAGTAAGCAAGATTATTTTAATTTAATGGAAGAGGAGAAGAATATGGAGCAAATTGATTCTACGAAAGAGAAGATAGATTTTGCCTCATCCTCATTATTTCCAATTCAACCATCATTTGTTGAGCAGCCAAAAGAAAAAATTGATTTTAGTTCGTCTTCTTTATTTGCAGAACCAATTGCTAAAATTGATGAACCGAAAACTATCAAGGCTGTTGAATTTTCCAAAAATACACCTACTAAAGAACCACAACAAAAAGCATTACCAATAAAAGAAATATCATCAAAAAATGAACTAAAAAACTCATTCATGTTTCAGCCAGAAGATTATAAAACCGGTAAGATTGAAATAACTAAAGGAAAAAATGAGAAAAAAGAAGAGTTCGTAAATGAACCAAAAGTTTATGAACCAGAAGATCTGGCATTTGAATTTTCTGACGAGGAGATAATAGTGGCCGATGAACTGAAGAAAACTAAAAAGCTGAAACCAAAATCATATAGCAAGGAAAAGTTCAAGCTACCAGATAGATCGCCAAAACAATCAAAAGCAGTGCAACAAAATCTACCTAGTTGGTTCCAAGATGAAGTAAAAAGAACTTTGAATCCTCATAATGAAAAGTTCGTTTCATACAATGGATTGGATATAGAAAATCAAAAGCAAAAGAAAGATGAGGAAGAAGATGCAGGTTTGATTCCATGGCATGAAGCTAAACAATATTTAGATGACGAGAATGAAGATGGTGTGGACGAAGACGAAGTGCAAGAAGTAAATCCTGACTTTGATGAAGGAACAATACCACATGAAAATAACGTTGTCCGTGATAATAAGACAAAACTGCAAGTAGAAGAAACTCAGAAAAGAAAACCAGCTGTAATTGATTATGATTTTGAAGAAGAAGATGAAGATAATTTAGTCAAACAATTACAAAATGAAGAATTTGATCATGAAAATTTAAGAACTCAAATAAAATCATCACATAATTTACCAATATCATCGATCGAAACAAGAATTACGGAAGAGCAATTGTTACAAGAAAAATTGGCGAAGGCTAAAAGGGACTCAGATGAAGTTACTGAAAATATGATTCACGATGTCCAAGAATTACTTAAAAGATTTGGTATTCCATTCATTACTGCTCCTATGGAAGCTGAAGCTCAATGTGCAGAACTTCTAAAGATTGGATTAGTAGATGGTATTATCACTGATGATAGTGATTGCTTTTTATTCGGTGGAGATAAAGTTTATAAGAATATGTTTAATCAAAAACAATTTGTTGAATGTTATTTCAAAGAAGACGTGGAGCATAAAATTGGTTTGACTCAAACAAACTTGATTGAATTAGCTTTACTTTTAGGAAGTGATTATACTGAAGGTATAAAAGGTATTGGTCCTGTTTTAGCAATGGAAATACTAGCAGAATTTGGAAATCTAAGAAAGTTCAAGTTGTGGTTTGATGAACATACTAAATCAGCTAAAGATAAGTCTAATTTAAATTCATTAGAGAAAAATTTGTTGACAAGAATCAAAAATGGGAAGTTGTACTTACCTGATGGATTTCCAGATAAAGTTATATTTGAAGCATATGAATTACCACAAGTAGATACTGATAAAAGTGAATTTAAATGGGGAGTTCCAAATTTAGATCAAATCAGATCATTTTTAATGTATAATGTTGGTTGGACTCAAGAAAGAGTTGATGAAGTTATGATTCCCTTAATTAGAGATTTAAACAAAAAGAAAGCTGAAGGTACTCAATCTACAATTGGAGAATTTTTCCCTCAAGAATATATACAAAGTAGGAAAGAACTTAATTTGGGTAAAAGAATGAAAACTGCCGCTAATAAATTGAATAAAAGAAGAAAAGTATAGAACTTGTATATATAATGTATAAATGAATAAGTCTAACGAAATATGTCTAAATGAATATGTTATGCCAAAGTTATACGCTAAACAAGAAAAATAATTGGTAGCAAAAGTTTTGATACGAAACTCGAAAAATATAAGTCCGACTTATTTTAAATATTTAGCGTTACCATTATTCTATATCATCAATTGTTGACAAATAAGATATTAATGAATGACTCGTTGTCGAAGATTACTTCGATGATAGAGTCCGCAAAGGATCTATCAATTGAAGCAGCGATGTCAGCTTCATCAAAATTAATGGACTCAACAACATCAAGACCTCATGAGATCTCCAATTTATTAAATTCAAGATCAAATAGAGATATATTAAATGGTATGAGATGTGTAATATCAATAATTTCAAAAGAAGAAGATGGATTACCATATTTTGCAGATGTTGTTAAAAATATTACAAATGAAAGTTCAAAAGTTAGACAATTAGTTATGATTTACTTAACAAAATATGCTGATGCAGAAGCTGATACTGCATTACTTTCAATAAATTCAATTCAAAAATCATTAAATGATAAAATACCTGCCAATAGAGCTAATGCTATAAGATCCTTAGCTGGAATTAAAATTGGATCAATTGTACCTATCTTAACGTTAAGTTTGAAAAGAACTTCAACTGATCCATCACCATTAGTTAGAGCATCAGCAGCATTATCCATTGGGAAAATTTATGATATAGCAGGAAAATCAAGAAAACAAATTTATGAAATTTTGGGTAATCTATTGGCTGATAGTGATGTAATTGTCGTTGCTGCTGCAATTAAAACTTTTTACAGAATTAAGAATAAATTGAAGAATCCTAAAAAATGGCAATACATACATGGAAATTTTAGAAGATTTTGTTCATTAATTACAAAATTTGATGAATGGACTCAAGTGTTTATAATGGAAATATTAACTGAATATTGTCGAACTTTTATTAAAAGACCTACTAATGAAGAAGAAATTGATCCAGATTTAAACCTATTTATTACCTCCTTACAACCATTAGTACAATCGATATCAGATATAGTTATAATAAGTGTCGCAAAGTCAATTTATTTATTAGCACCAACCTACTTCCAGGAATATCATTTGGAGATAATGTTGCTTAGAATTGCAACTACATCACTGGATCAAGAAATTGCATTATTTGCGTTACAGTCAATATTACTAGTATGCAAATATGATCCTAAATTTTATGCAAAAAAGTTCAAACAGTTTTATTTGACACCTGATGAATTTATACAAGTATCATTATTGAAATTAAACATTCTAGCCCTAATAGCTAATGAAGAAAATTTTAAATACATTTTGGAAGAATTAAAATATTATGCATTATACTCAAAAAATACTTTAGTATCAAAGGAATCAATAAATGCAATGGCAAAATGTTCAACAATATCTTCAGAATGGAGTCAAAAAATATTAAATTGGTGTTTGACCAAATTAGAAAAATTAAAAGGAAATTTAATGAGTGAAATTTTAACTGTTATACGTTATATCATTCAACAAAAATATGATTTAAATGGAGAATCTGAAAAGTTCTACATTGTGAAAATATTAAAAAAATTAGCAGCAATTTTAGATAATAAAGATTTGGATTTAGAAGATAATGCTAGAGCATCAATTATTTGGACAATTGGTGAATATACTATATTGGCTGATAATTTAATTGGACCAGATGTTTTAAGAGTTTCAATAAAAAATTTTGCACAAGAACCTGAATCAGTGAGATATCAATTGTTAGTTTTGGCATGTAAAATTGCAACATATGAACTTAACAAAATTGAAAATGACCACTCAGAAGAAGATAGGGATACGGTAAATTTGAAAGTACAAGAATCGATCGAGTTCAAAATGTTTCAACATGTTTTACATTTGTGCAAATATGATAACTCATATGATACCAGAGACCGAAGTAGGATGTTTAATGTTTTATTAAATTCTGGTTCTGATAGATCACAATTATCTTCGTTAATATTTCAAGCTCCAAAACCAATTCCATCAGTTGAGATAAACGGAGATGAATTAAACAATAAATCTATAACTAAATATTTTAAAATTGTTGATTGGACTAAAAATCAAAAGGATTTACCATCATCTTCAATAAGAGATGAAACTCCAATACAATATAACAAATTATCAAGTTCTTCAAATGCATTTAATAAAAAATCCCCAAGTCCAATTAGTTTTAATGAAAATTCTTTTTCTTCAAAACAAGTTAATGAATTACCAAATTTAATAAAGTCCAAGAATTTAGTTACACAATCTGCAACGAAAGCTAGTTCGTATAAGTTACAAAGTTTAGATGAATTTTTCGGAAGTGAGGAAGAAGAATCTAGTGAAGAAGAAGAAGAAGAAGAAGAATCTAGTGAAGAAGAAGAAGAAGAAGAGGAATCAAATGACGAAGATGAACAGGAATTGGAAGCGGGTTCAAAAGAGTCCGAAGAAGAAGAAGGATCCGAAGAAGAGGGGAATCAACAGAACAAATTGAGTCTAGACAAAAACATATAGGACAACAAAAAGCTCAATTACAAAAAGTAAATCGTTTAATAGAATTTGAATAATAAATAATTGGAAAATCTAGAAGGCTTTAATCTAATCTAGTAAACGCATACGTAAACGTATATGTATGGATTCCATACGTATTTTGACGAAATTAATCTCCAAATGGCAATTAGTTGATTGAATTTGTAAAGAAATCTCGTGTTTTCGAAAAAATTGTCAAACACACAAATTAATTGCAAAATTTATTTTTAGAAACATTTTTTCTTCGTCTAGATTCATTATTAATTTTTATGTTTTTCAAATATTTTGATTTACAGCAAAAAAAAAATGATTTTCAACAAGTCTTGGTATGTTGATAACTAAAGTATCAAATATAATAACAAAGATTAACTATACTTGAGTCTTTTACAATTACCTGTCGCATTTATGTAATGCAAATACCTTGTAACAAAACTCTCTTACTACTGCTTAATTAATTAAGTGAATTATATTGTCGTGGTATGTGATCGTCTAAATTTGGTCAAGTTTCAATTGAATTAAGCAAAAGCAAGTTTTGATTCGCGCAGTTCATGTATAATACCTCCATTAATGTTAATAGTTTTGCTAATTGATTTTCGTCTTTGATGGTACAAAGGTTTTCATCAATCTACTGCATTCCTAACTTGAAGGACAAAATGAAGTAGGCTGATCGTCGAATAGAAGAAAACATTGTATTGCTTTAAACTTATTCCGTTTTTGATTTTAATTATTTCATTTTTATATGGAAAGATTAGAAATAAATGTCGATCAATTTTTTGTAAATAATAGACTATTAGATAATTTAGATTAAAACCGTTCGAATTTTAAACTTAATCAGTTTCTCGTAAACTTGCAAAATGATTAGCTATCCTTATTTAAAATTATAATTTGTTGATTGTCAATTTTAGATTATTATTTAAAACAGAGGTTAAATAAAGTTATACTAAACGGATTTTTTTTCAAACAATAAAATTAATCTTATAAATTAGACGAATCTATTTTTGCAATTTATAAAATGAATAGTCTTTCATGTTTTAATATTGTTCAAAAATTATTAACCGGACAATTGAGCATGTGAGTTTTCCACTTTAAAAAGTAAGATTTATAATATATCATGATGATATATCAACCTTAAGTAAGTATACAGATATCATAATAAGGTCATCATGGCTCATAAGGCAATAGATCAATATTCTTCAAAAGTAAAAAACTAATCTAATTAAATTAATTAATTGATCTCAAAATGTAATAAGCTAAAGTTGAATTATTCCGTATACTCAAATATATTAATGAAAAATAAAACTACACTAAAGTAATATGCATGTATAGGAAATAACGAAAAAAAAGCAAATTACCCTGAATACCCTGAAAGAGAAGGAGTTCTTCTTTATGTAAAAAAATATGCAAAATTGATTAATTTACAAGGGGTGCTTGATTTTAGACGTTGAGATACACACTAAATTTTCTTAACCGAATGAATATTATACAGGGTTTTATATTACACAAACATCTACAAACATGAAAAATTAATTTATATAGGTTTTAAACCATACAAATATTGTAAGTAAAAATTAAACACATTTTTCCATTTGTTCCACTAATTTTATTTTCGTTTCAAAAAAAGATCAATTGCTTCTTACACTTTCCTTCAACTTTTAATCATAACCATAAATATTGTGATATTGTCCAATTCCCTAATATTTGAGATCTTTTTAAGATATAATTAATCCATAATTTTTTTTTGAAAAAAGATTTGTTGAAACTTTCTATTTATGAATCTACCTCTGATTTATACATCGAATTTAATTTGAGACCTGACTGATTTTTGATGGATCTTGAAATTTATTATATAATCTATATAATATAAGAAACAAAATTGTTAGTTGATAACATCTGATTAAAAATATTAAAATTAGTGTATATAAATAATAACAATAGATGATTTATTGTAAATTAAAATGCCGTTTATTTATTTGAAAAAAAAAAAATTTATTTTTGCTAAATAATTTTAAAATTTTTTAGTCTAATTTTTTGATTTCGGCTAATTGAAAATTTTACTTTTTAATAAACTTGGAACAATTGAAATCAAACTAAAATAGAACTAAACAGTTGTTTTATAACTTGTTTTCAATAATAGTAACAATAGCTAAGAATTATATTGTATTAATAATTTGAGCTAAAACTTGAAAATATATAAAGGAATTGCAATGTTTAATAATTACCATTTGATCTTTTTTCAATACTTTCATTTTAGTTCTTTGTAGATGATCGTTATTTTAAATAATTTATCAAGTCAAGTCACAATCAATAAACTTAATTTTTCATTTTTTAACTTTTTAAAAATAAATTTACTTTTCCATTTTAAGCCTTTTGACTTAATTGTAAGTTTGTGTGTTAAAATATTTCTTTCTTACATAATTAGTTGAAAAAGAGTTAGAGAACCCTTTTTTTTTATTTTTTTCGTAAAGTTTAAAAATAATTAAAAATCTATTATGGCAAACCTGTATATAGACTTTTTTTTTTTTTTTTTTTTTTCATTTAGACGAAAGAATGTTGAAACAAATTTATTACATCAATATATTCTTAATTTAAGATATTACACACAAATTTGTGAAAAGATTAAAGGTATATACACGATAAACTAAAATATTAATGCTGAATCAGTGGTTTGTGAAGCTTTTTTAATAGCATTATGGTTTAGTTTAGATTTACAATACAAACGAAAAGATTGGTTGAATAAATTGGTTAATACAATTATCAAAGAATATTTTGGAATTTTGAAAATATGGCAATTTAAGTTTAATGTTTTACAAAGCCAATATCTACAGTCTTTAAGGCTCCGATTTGCGTCATAAATAAGGCAATCTATTAACAAAATAAGATGTTTTAGACGATATTTAAGTAATCTAAACATTTTCATTTATTACATTCCATACATAAACATCCGGATCTATTGAAAACTAATCTTTTATAGGTTTTTAAATTTTTATAAATCATACATATCAAGGGTGTGATTTAAAATCTAAAGAAATGCAAAAAAGGTTATGGAGTTAACGAAATTGGTAAACGCATAAGATATTAATTAAATTGTTGCAAAATATAAAAACTAATATACCTGAATTACGAACTTTTTGTCCTATAATTTTCAACTTTAACTATGGGATAACCACTTGTATTACTCATGAAAACAATAAAGAAATTGATGAATTGGGATAGTCTATTGTTTAATTGGAAAAGATTTTCATATGAATACTTTTGATTCTTGAAAAAGTGTCGAGATTATAAAAGAAGTTGCAAATCTTCCTTATTTTTCACAATTGAAAATGTTTTAATATAGAAATATAATCAACTATCGCTTCATTCAATCGCTACTACTATTAATTAAGTTATTTCAACTATGCAATTGTCTGTCGCTTCAATTACTGTGTTGGCATTATTTATTTGCTCAGCACAAGCAAATTTTTTCCTTTTTGCAGATTTTTTTTTCAGTTTCCTTCCACAAGCTCCAGCTCCAGATAAAGCTCCAAAATGTAATACTCCAAAAGTTTATTGTGACTTAGATTCAAAAAATAAAAGAGATCTCACTATAAATAAAAATTTTGATGCTGCTTTTGTTGTCTCAGATGCTCAAATTAATGCAGATGGTACTTACAATGTTTTCGCTAATTATGAAGCTGGTAACTTAGCTAGTTTAGAAGCAAATTTTAAAGATACAGTTAAGAAAATCACACTTAAAGGTACTGGTTTAACTGATGTTGAAATTTATGATAGTTTAAAACTTGATGCTTCCTTAAAAAGTCCTTTCAAATGGTCAACTGCTTTCCAATGTAAACCAATAATTAAAGATGGTAAATGTTGTTTACCGGATGGATTTGAAATTATTACCGATTTTAAAGATGAAGTAGATGATTTACTTAAAGAAAAAATTGAAGCAATTAAAAAAATCTTTGGTGGTTTATCAATTCAACTTAAAATTGAAAGTATAATTGATGGTTTGAAAACTTTTGATATTGAAAGTTATTTCAATTCTCAATTATCATTATTTAGTAAAAGAGATGACGGTTTTGAAGATGGTGTTACTGGGTTCTCAACTTATGATAAAAGAACTATTGATTTTTTTTTCAACTTATTAAATGGTTGGACTCAAAAAGGTTGTCAAGTTAAACAATTTTGTTGGGATTGTTCATGTAATCCTTCATCAAGTTCAAGTATTGTATCTAGTACTATTTCATCCAGTGCTTCAGTTCCATCAATTTCAAAATCAATCCCATCAATATCTAAATCAATTCCATCATTATCTAAATCAATTCCATCAATTTCAAAATCAATCCCATCAATTTCAAAATCAATCCCATCAATTTCAAAATCAATCCCATCAATTTCAAAATCAATCCCATCATTATCTAAATCAATCCCATCATTATCTAAATCAATCCCATCATTATCTAAATCTATCCCATCATTGTCCAAATCTATCCCGTCATTATCTAAATCAATCCCATCATTATCTAAATCAATCCCATCATTATCTAAATCAATCCCATCATTATCTAAATCAGAATCATTACCAAGTGGTCCAGTCTCAGAATCTTCAAGCTTTGGTTCATCAAATAGCTCAGGTTCATCATCAATTGTTTCACCAACAGGTCCAGTCTCAGAATCTTCCAGCTTCGGTTCATCAAGTAGCTCAGGTTCATCATCAATTGTTTCACCAACAGGTCCAGTCTCAGAATCTTCAAGCTTTAGTTCATCAAGTAACTCAGGTTCATCATCAATTGTTTCACCAACAGGTCCAGTTTCAGAATCTTCAAGCTTTGGTTCATCAAGTAGCTCAGGCTCATCATCAATTGTTTCACCAACAGGTCCAGTTTCTGAATCCTCAAGTGTTGGTTCATCAAGTAGCTCAGGCTCATCATCAATTGTTTCACCAACTGGTCCAGTTTCTGAATCCCCAAGTGTTGGTTCATCAAGTAGCTCAGGCTCATCATCAATTGTTTCACCAACTGGTCCAGTTTCAGAATCTTCAAGTTTTGGTTCATCAAGTAGCTCAGGCTCATCATCAATTGTTTCACCAACAGGTCCAGTTTCTGAATCCTCAAGTGTTGGTTCATCAAGTAGCTCAGGCTCATCATCAATTGTTTCACCAACTGGTCCAGTTTCTGAATCCCCAAGTGTTGGTTCATCAAGTAGCTCAGGCTCATCATCAATTGTTTCACCAACTGGTCCAGTTTCAGAATCTTCAAGTTTCAGTTCATCAAGTAGCTCAGGCTCATCATCAATTGTTTCACCAACAGGTCCAGTTTCTGAATCCTCAAGTGTTGGTTCATCAAGTAGCTCAGGCTCATCATCAATTGTTTCACCAACAGGTCCAGTTTCTGAATCCTCAAGTGTTGGTTCATCAAGTAGCTCAGGCTCATCATCAATTGTTTCACCAACAGGTCCAGTTTCAGAATCCTCAAGTGTTGGTTCATCATCAATTGTTTCACCAACTGGTCCAGTCTCACAACCTTCTGGTCCAGTTTCAGAATCCTCAAGTGTTGGTTCATCATCTATTGTTTCGCCAACTGCCCCAGTCTCACAACCTTCTGGTCCAGTTTCAGAATCAAGTGGTTCATCAATTAACTCAGGTTCATCACCAATTGTTTCACCAACTGCTCCAATTTCACAACCATCAGGTCCAGTATCCCAACCATCAGGTCCGGTTTCAATTCCAACTGCCCCATGGAGTAATTCTTCAATTAGTTCAGCTCCAGGTCCAATCATAACTTCATCAAGTTCAATAAATACTCCACCTTCAGGTTCAGTTACTATTGCTTCACCTGCTTCATCATCAGGATCAAACAATGGCAATGAAGGATCTGCTATTCCAAGTCTTTCAAGCTCAGTTAATGCTTCACCATCGGGTCCAGCAACTCCTCCACCTTCTTCGTCAGCTGGAACAGGTGAGAACGGCAATGGAGGATCAGGTAACAATGGTAACGGAGGCTCAGGTAACAATGGTAACGGAGGCTCAGGTAATAATGGTTCAAACAATAACGGCAATGGAGGATCAGGTAACAATGGTAACGGAGGTTCAGGTAACAATGGTAACGAAGGCTCAGGTAACAATGGTAACGAAGGCTCAGGTAATAATGGTTCAAACAATAACGGCAATGGAGGTTCAGGTAACAACGGTTTAGGTAACAATGGTCAAGGTTCCAACAATGGAGAAGGATCAAATAATGGTCAAGGCTCTAGCAACGGTCAAGGTTCTAGCAATGGAGAAGGATCAAACAATGGTCAAGGTTCTAGCAATGGAGAAGGATCAAATAATGGTCAAGGTTCCAGCAATGGTCAAGGTTCTAGCAATGGAGAAGGATCAAATAATGGTCAAGGTTCCAGCAATGGTCAAGGTTCTAGCAATGGAGAAGGATCATCAAACAGTGGTAGTGGTAGTGGAAGCTCACCATCAGGTTCAGGATCATCAAATAGTGGTAGTGGAAGTGGAAGCTCACCATCAGGTTCAGGATCATCAAATAGTGGTAGTGGCAGTAAAAGCTCACCATCAGGTTCAGGATCATCGAACAGTGGTAGTGGCAGTGGAAGTTCACCATCAGGTTCAGGATCATCAAATAGTGGTAGTGGTAGTGGCAGTGGAAGCTCACCATCAGGTTCAGGATCATCAAATAGTGGTAGTGGTAGTGGAAGTTCACCATCAGGTTCAGGATCATCAAATAGTGGTAGTGGTAGTGGCAGTGGAAGCTCACCATCAGGTTCAGGATCATCAAATAGTGGTTCAGGATCATCAAATGGTAATGGAAATGGTTCATCAGGTTCAGGATCTTCTTCATCAAGTCCAAACGCTTCTACTTCAATCAGTAGTAGTCCTTCATCAGCATCTGTTAGTATTAATACTTACGAAGCCTCAGGTGCATCTACACAATATTCAATTGGTGCTATCATTCTTGGTGCTATTGCTATGTTCGTTTAAGCTGAAGCTTAAATTTAAATTCATTTCGGTTCACTTACGTTTTATTGTTGCATTTGCATTTCTTTTTTAAAATATTTCTTTTTCCTTATCTTGATGATAAGTTTACTGCTATTATTATGATTAATAAAATTCATTATGAATTTTGAAGTTTTCATATTGATCAAACGATCATTAAATTATTCGGTTTTTTTATTGATACCAATGTATATTTTCAAAATTAAATACTTTATAGATTTCAATATATTTAATTTTCTACAAATATGAAACATTACACAAAAGTAATCTTTAACTTCGCCCAATGTTGCTTATAAAGGAGATGATTAAAAAAATTTCCAAGAATCTTTGTTGCTTAAAAATGAAAACCAATTTTATTCAGTTTCAAACGTTAATCGTTAGAGACATCTCCTGTAAACTTTGAGAGATTAATTTCAAAGATTAATAAACACTTTGAATAAGAAAATTTATATACAGTTCCATGAAAATATGTGATTTCCAAAATTTTGTTGGTTTATTTTCGTTTTTACGAAATCCGATATTCATAATCATATAATCTACCATAATTCTGTTCCGTCAACTTTGGAGTTAATTTGTTTTGAACGACTCTTTGTGCCTAAATTGCATCAACACTTACTTGAGATTTAGTACTGTTTCATATTCTTTTACTATAATCTGCTTTCCACGTGAAAGAATATACAACTCCGCTAGTAAAAAGCACGTGATCAATTTAACACTTCGAAATTAGAATTTCCTTTCATAATAACAAAAAATCTCCAATGTTCAAAACATCAATCTTTTGATACCATCTTGAACACTTTGAAAATTGACTATTATTAAATAAAGTCAAGTTTACCCTTTTATAGTAAATTTCAAATAAGAGAATATTTTGATTTACGGACAATTAAATTTAACAACACAACAAATAAAGTCCATTATTCTGCTAGCAAAGAAACATGAACTGTGAAATCTATTGCTTTTTATACCTGTAATAATTTGTTTGCCATAGTATTACACTATAAGTGAATGCGAGGGAATTAAAATGGTATAAAATTAGAGTCCAACTTTTAATCGTGGTTCAATACAAAGTTGCCATAATTAACTTGAACAATTTGTACTTTAAATTTTTGATTTACAATTTTAAAGTTTGAATTTTGGCTCATATGAGTAAGAATTTTACAAAGTAATAAAATAATATCAAATAGAGCATTATTATTATGTGGTATTATTCAATAATTGTTTAATTCAATTATTAGTAAAACATGATTCACATCTATTTAATTTTGAATATATATAAATTTGATTGTATGATACATTTGTATATATTATATATTGATTAATCATTAATTATTAATATAAAATTTATTAGATAATAAAAATTATTTGCAACCAAATTTTTTTATTTTTTTAATTCTACAATTATTAAAATAATATAAATATTTATAAATGAATTTTTTTACAACCAAATTTTTTTTTACTTTTTATATATTTTCAATTCTTTTTACAACCACTTTAATACTCAACTTTTAATAATAATTTGAAGAGCTATAACCAATTACAATAATAGTATCGAATTGGTTTCTCAGAATTATAAGTTTAAAACATACCGCTAATCAATTGAAGTGCGGTTTCTTATTATAACAAACAAATATATTTATTATTTGCAGTTTACACAAACAAATGAAACATAATAATTTAGGTAAATTTTCAAATTCTAGTGAATCAATTACTAGTAAAAAGATTGATACAGTTCCAATTTTAGAAGAATCTACTTCAACAAAAGAGAATATGACTTCATTATTTACTTCATGTCAATGGCAAGATAATAATATTTCTAATTCATCATCATTATCAAGTAATATTTCAAATATAAATAATAAAGCAAATTCTTCACCAACAAAATCTGCTGCAACAACTAAAGATCCAAAAACAGGTAGTAGTACTTATGTTAGAGGCAGACCATCAGCTTGTGTTTTTGTTGCTAGTTTAAGATCAAATATGTCTGATGATGATTTATGCGTTTCAGTTACAAATCATTTTGAAAAATGGGGTCAATTATCAACGGTTAAAGTTTTAAGAGATACCAGCAATAGACCATACGCTTTCGTTCAATATGAAAATGAACAGGATTCAAAAAATGCAATAAAATATGGTCATGATTCAGAATTAGATGGTAGATTTATTAGATGTGAAGCGGCTAAAGTTAATAGAACTTTATTTATTAGATCAAAAAATAATTTATCAGAAATTTTAATAGAAACAAAATTATCATCTTTTGGAGAAATTGAAGAATTATTACCAAGCAATTTTAGTGGTCAAATTTATAATGATGCTCCAACACTTCAAGGATATAAGAATTGGTTTTGCAAATTTGTTTATAGAGATGATGCAATTAAAGCATATGCTAATTTAACTGAAGAAGGTGTTTATCAAGTTGATTGGGCACAAAATGTTGATAAAAGAAGAACTATAAAATATAGAAGAGAAGAAGATGAAAATTCAAAAGCAGCATTTGATAAATTTTCAATTTTCATTGGTCAATTAAATTCAAATATCACTGAAACTGAACTTAGAGAAAGATTTGAAAGACATGGTGGAATAGAAAATCTTCATTTAATTAAAAAGCCAGATAACACTTTTGCATTTATTACATTTATTGATGAAGCAAGTGCAGCAAGATCCGTTGAAGTTGAAAATCATTCAATGCTCTGTGGTAAAACTATGCATGTTCAATATCGTGAACTTCAATCTTCATATCACAGTTCAAGAAATTTCAAAGTTGCTTTAGCTCCACCTCCAATTAATTTAGGAAGAAGAAATTCATCAAATGCAAATTCCTACAAGTTTAATCATAAAACAAGTAAACCAAAATTTAATAATTATTCATCAAATAATTACAATAGAGGAGGAGGAAAAGGAGGATCTGGGAATAATTACAAATGGAAACAAAATGATCAATCTAGTGGGTTTTATGATGATAAAAAATTGAGTACAACAAATAATTATGACTGGCTGGCATCTCAATTAGATTTAAAAAACGATGAACATCAAAATTTGCAATCATCTACATTAAAATCAGATTTGGAATTGAAAAGAGTCTATGGTGATTCCAATAATGAAAATAGAAAACCAACGAATAATGATGTTGAATATGGTGCTTCAAATAAGGAACAAAATCCACCAAATTTAAATCCTCCAACAACTGCTGGTTTCCCATTGTTCTATTATGTCCCTGCTGAAAACTTTAATTATCAAAATGTTAATTCGACTCATCAAACTACTTCACAACCACCTTTTTTTAACGTCTATTCTCAATATTATCCACCACAAATTTCTCAACAACATCAAAATCCTCCTCAAAATAATCAAGTAGAAAATTCTACAGTTGGTGGAAATAATTCAAATGCAAATTTAAATGTTAATGATTTTACTCCTTTTGGTGCTATTCATACATCACCTTCTTTTGCTTATCCAAATTTTGCTTATTATACAAATGAAAATGATGAATCTGAAAATGATAATCAATAGTTCTCAGCATAATATATTTTCAATTCCAACACTACAACTACAACTACACCTATCTAGATAAATCAGTATTTAGCTAAAATTTCAATAATAGTAATGTATAATTTCTCTTTTGTCTTATATTGTATATGTATCATTTTTTACTTATAAATACCATTTTGTATTTTAATTTTACGGAGAGAGAATAATATAATATAATACGTGATTTTGACAACCAAAAAATTTAAATTAAAATAATAATCTGAAACAAATAACATTTTTGTTCTTATGACGTTGAATCATGAATACTTTATATAATGAATTAGTCAAGGTATTGGAGCGGGACTCTGAGCCTAAGTTAAAGTTGGATGATAGCCTAAGAGATAAAAAATTATCAAACTCACCTTCTTCATCAGATGTAATAAGAACGACACCTTTAACTGACATACAACTATCTAATCAATGCATTGATTCACAAGTTTTGAAGAATGATCCAAATGATATTTATAATGTACCACCAATTGACTCAAAATTACTAGAAGATAAACCTTGGAAAAGAGATGCCAAATATTTCAGTAAATGTAAAATATCATCATTAGCATTAATGAAAATGTCTATCCACGCACAACAAGGTGGATCAATTGAAATTATGGGAATGTTGATTGGTAAAATTATTGATAATACCATAGTGGTTTTAGACACGTATAGATTACCAGTTGAAGGTACAGAAACAAGAGTAAATGCTCAAGGAGAAGCTTATGAATACATGGTACAATATTTAGAATTAAATCAAAGAATTAGTAGTGAAATTGAAACAACAATAGGAGAGCAAGTAGCAGATGAATCAAATGCCGGCAAAAGTTTAAGAAGGGAACATATTGTTGGTTGGTATCATTCTCATCCAGGTTATGGATGTTGGTTAAGTGGTATAGATGTAAGTACTCAAGAATTAAATCAAAATTTTCAAGATCCTTATTTAGCTATAGTTGTTGATCCAATTAAAACTTTGAAACTGGGGAAAGTTGATATTGGAGCATTTAGAACTTTGCCATCAGGTTATCAAGAACAATCTCAACCACAATCGAAAACTTCTACATCATCAGCCACCAAATCTAAAGCAAAATTCAATTTACCAAAACTGAAAAGACAAGAATTCGGAAGTCATTCCAATCGTTATTACTCATTAGATGTTGAAATTTTCGAAAACTCAAATGATTCTGAGATGTTAAATTTGATAAATAATCAAAAACTTCAAAATCAAAATTTATTAACAAATTATGGAATTGATTTAAATGATAAATTCAATGCTTTGCAAGAAGAGGATTTCAAAAATATAAATTTTTTGAAAAATTTTGAAATTTTGGACGAAAACAACAACTCGAATGAAAACTTGAAAAAATTAATTAAAGATTTAGATTCTTTAAAAAGTCCAATTATTGAAAAATCAACTAATAATATTTTGAAAAAATTAGTAAATTTTCATAAAGAAAATAAATCAAAATTGAATGATGAAGTGACAGGTAAAATAAAAGCTACAAAAGGTAAATCCAAAAAAACACAAGAAATTGTTTATGATGATGAAGATGTATTAGATGAAAGTGATTTAGAAAAAAATGAAACTGGAAGAGATGATCGGTCTGCAGGCATGACCGATGAAGAAGAAGACGAACTTGAGTATGAAAATGATCATAGTAAAAACAAAATTAATGTTAGTAATGATGATGAAAATGATGATAGCAAGTCTTCATTGGATAAAAACGAACAGAGAAATTTAGACGAGCAAGACGATGGCGATCTAGATGACATGGAAACAGATGAAGAAGAGTCGCAATCGTCAATTTCTAAAGGATTTAAAAACTCAGGATTAGAGCAACGCCATAATTCAAGAATTCAGAAAGGTTCAGAACATTCAGCAAACATAAAAACAAAGTCAAATACTATTAATTCAATGAATGATAAACCTAGAAGATTAAAACGTCGTCAAGGTTCTGATCAACAACTTCAATCAGCCCTTTTTCAACAGCAGCAACAACACTTATCAAGAAGAGATCAATTAGATGATACAATAAATTTTGATAATAAATCTTTTATGAAACAACAACAAGATGAATATATTAGAAGACAAAAATATTTTGAATATCAAAGAAGACAACAAATAAATCATCAATCACATTTATCAACAAATATTAACAATAAAAATAATAAAATAAATGATAATAATTTAAAATCATCTTATAATCCACATTTACAAGAATTATATCATCCAATGTTGCTATCCAATAATGAAATTTTAACTAATCAAACTTTATTGGGTTATGGAATGGAATTTAAAAATAAAAATAAAAATTTAATTGATTTGAATAATTTAATATTATCAAATAAATTATGTGATTTAATTAGTTTAGATGGTCAAGAAATCTTAAATTTTAAAGATGATGAAAATAAAGAAAATGAATTATCAAGTAATAAGAAATTAGTCGGAAATACTGATCAACAATGAAATAAATAAAGATTCATATTAATATTTTAAATGGATCAAATCTCATTTTAAAAAGTGATTTGCCTTTGTTAATTACATCTATCTTATTAAATTATAATATTTTTATTTGATTTGAAACATATCAAAAATTTATAATTGAGTTTAAATAATTTTTTTTTTTATTCAATTTTGTGTTAGTTGGTGATAATATAATTTTTTTAATCATCAAGTGATGTTTGCTTTTATAATAAATATTACTTAATAAATTAAAAGGTTTGAATAATTAATAGTAAAACTTGTAATAGTATTTTATTTCTGAAATCTATACTTGAATCAAAATTCATTTGTTAATATACTTTGATAAATTTTCCATTAATTTTAAACGGGTATAAATTAATGCACTGAAAATTCAATCGAGTCTTTTATTAATAATAAAATTTACAACATCATCATTTTAAGCAGGACTTTTTTTTTTTTTTTTTCGATTTTTATTTTTATTTTTAATAATATATAATTTTTATTACTAGCATTGCATTTCTTAATAAATAATTTAACAACCAACAATATTAGATAGATTATCTTGAATTTCAAGTTAAGATAACCGTATTTGTATTAATAGATCAGATAACTCATATGAATTCATCTCCGTCATCATCAATATTAACAACATCTTTATCAAAAAAATCATCTTCATTATCAAATAATCAACAACAACAACAACAACAAAATCCAATATTAGCAAGATATTTGAATACTCCAATAAATTTTAAAATTGCAAAAAATCAGGAAAATTTAAATAATTTAAATCAATTACCAACAAATTATATAATTTTATCTAAAAATAAAAATTATAATAACTTCAATAAACAAATGCAACAAAATGGAGAAGTTAAAAATGGATCAATAAATAATAAAAAATTTGATAAAAGTTTGAATTCTCTAAATAGACCTAAATCTATAGCTGAAGCTGTAGCGCAATATACTGGAAATAAATATGAAACAAAATCAAAATCAAATAGAAAGAAAAGAAAATTAGAGCAATTACAACAACAAGAACAACAAGAACAGACCTTGCCAAAAAATAAAAACAAAAGACTCAAAGTTTCTTCCAAGTATTCATCCGAAGAAGAGGATGAAATTGATATTGAAATAAGTGAAGATAATGACAATTCCGATAACAACGAAATAGCGGGGGAAGAGGAAGTAATTGATGATGATTTTAGTAGGAATAAAAATATACAACACCAAGATAAGAAACCAAAAAGTTTGTGGGGATCGTTCAAATCAATTCTATTCAATGGGATGAATTCACAAAATGATACAGAAGAAGATTTGGGAGAAGATTTAGAAGAAGAGCTTATAGAAGATGACCAAACAGAGGAACAAATAGAAGATAATAGAGTAATTAACAATGATCAAGTATTTCAAAGTCTACTTAAAGTTGGAAAAGAAGAACAAGAATCAACATCATCAGGCTCATCACCTGGGGAAATATTTTCAGAAAATTCGCCATTTACAGGTTTTAGTGAAGCAGAAAAAAGTGAGGATAATGATGAAGAATATAATGAAGACGACGAGGAGGAAGGTGAGGATGAAAATTCATTATCATCCGATGACGAAAGTTATAATGAAGAAGATTTAAAAGCAGAAGAGAAAGATTTAGAAGAAGAGTCAAAAGAAAATACACCAATAGTTGAAACTGAAGAAGACGAGGACTTGAATATAAATAAATTAAGACATGATTTAAAAATGGACGAATTATTAAATGGAAGTAATAGTGCTAAATTCAGCAGTAGTAATGAAGATGATAGTAAAGAAGATGACGATGAAGAAGAAGACATTTATGAAGATAATAAATCAAATGATAGAAAATCAATTACATCCAGAAAATCGAATTCAACCCCACCAACATCACCAGAAGAAGACGTCAATATATCAATAAAAGATAACACAGATAATGAATCAATGAAATCTTTCAGTACAACCACAACTGATGACTTATCAAATTTTTATAAAATCAATGAATTGAATTCAGATAGAGGTTCAAATGGTTCAAAAAGAATATATAAAAACTGGAGAGAACTAAAAGATCAAAAGCCACCAATTGGTTTATTAAATCATGGAGTCACTTGTTATATGAACTCAGCAATACAATCATTAATACACATACCTGCAATGCAACATTATTTAAATGACGTATATAATGATACTTTGACTAATAATGGAAAATTGACCACTAACTATATAAAACCAAGGTCAATAACTCATGCATTGGCAGAATTGTCTAAAAAGATGTGGAATCCAGTACCAACGAATTTAAAAAATGGGTATATAAATCCCAAAAAGATAATTACAAGATTGGATGAAATCAATTGTATGATGAGTGAATGGCAACAAGAAGATAGTCACGAATATTATATGAGTTTAATTTCAAGATTACAAGAAGATTCCACTCCTAAAGGTACAAAATTAAATAAACTGATAATTTATGATATTTTTGGAGGTTTATTAAATCAAAAAATAACATGTATGAGATGTAATAATGAATCTATAACAAAACAAGAATTTTATGATTTATCATTAGGATTGAACAAGAAGAAATATAAAAACAATTACAAATTTTCAATAGAAAAATCAATATTTGATTTTTTCAATAATGAAATTTTAAAAATTCAAGAAAATGATAAAAAATCAGGTTATTACTGTGAAACATGTAAAAAATTTACATCAGCAAATAAAAAATCTACCATTGAAAGATCACCAGAAATTTTAACTATTCATTTAAAAAGATTTAAATTTAATGGTAATTCATCTTCAAAAGTAAAACAAAGTATAAATTATTCAGAATATCTCAATTTAAATAAATACTTATTAGATCCAAATGAACAAGCACAATATCAATTAATATCAGTAATAGTACATGAAGGTAGATCAATATCAAGTGGTCATTATATAACTCATGTTTTACAACCAAATGGTGTTGATTGGTGTACTTATGATGATGAATATATTAATAAAATAGATGAAAAGAAAGCTTTTAGTGATCCAAATGCGTATGTTTTGATATATACTAAATTAACACCGAAATAAATAGCATGAATATAATGATTTTAGAATGAAATTTATTTAATCTCGATACTCTATTGAATTATGTTTCATATTAATGTAGTAAAAAATGCTATATGCAGTATCGTGGTGGTTATTATTTGGAGTTTTTCTCAGTCTTAACAAATATTATTTCTGGATTCAAATTCTAAATACCTCACCATAGACAAATTAATTAATCACAATGACACTAAAATAGTCATTCATGCTCTCAGAAGACGAATTTATTATTCATATAGCACATAGCTTAAGTGATACTTCATCTACAGTTTCACAAGTAGGATCACTTGAAACTAAATATTATATGAATGTGAAAGTGGATGAACCAGAGTTATTACAAAGAAATATAAATGAAATGGAATTAAAGCAAAAAGGTTTTACTTTAAGTCTTCAAGAGAAGTTCCTTTGAGGACATTGGTTTACTGTAGTGCTTTAAACAAGTTAACTTGTGAGTAATATAGTACATTAGTTAGTACTTCAAATAAATATGGAAATAACTTAATTAAGGGGGTTTGTTGGTGGTGGTGTTAAATTGAATAAAGATCTTTATTATTTGATGCTTGTGGCTATACATTATTTTAAATCACAAATTTTTCAATGTATACAAATATTAATCTTCATTGCATTAAAATAAATTGAAACCTATAAAACTTATAAAGCTAATTTCTATATTTATAAAAATTTGGTTGTAAAAAATTATTATAAAATTATAAAACTCATACAAAAAACCCAAAAAAAATAGTTACAACCAAAAATTGTTTCATACATTTGTTTTATTCTAATACTTACAAATATTTATATAAAATTGATTCAATAACTCATTTTTATTAAACATAAATCAGAATCAAGCTTTAGTATTAATTGTTTTAGTTCAAATAGATAAAACCTAAAAACTTATTTAATTATTTAATTATGACTTCAGTTGATAAAGATAAAGATAAAAATCAAGATCAAGAAATCATCAAAAGTCAAGAAAATAAAAGAAGAAAATCAATTAAAGAAGATCTTGATATTAATAATCATCAATCAAGTAATAAAAAAGTTCATACCGAAAAAATTGACTCCTCAACAATCAATCAATTAGTTAATCAAGAATTTGATACAAATGAAATGGATCCAGAACAAATTGATTATACATTTTTCAAAATAACTGAATTAAGAAAAGATTTAAAAAATGATTTTACAAACACTTCAATTAATTTAGTAACAAATTTATATAATAAAATTGAAGAACAAGCATCTGAATTTAAATTAAGTAAAAAAGAAATTAATTATTTTATGTCAACAATCAGTAAAGATGCAATGGGTGATGCATTATTTTATGAATTTGTTAATATTGGTAAAAAATTAAATTCATTATTTAGAAGTCAATCAACTGAAAAAATCAATGTTCTGACTTTAGTTTTTTGGTATTACGAATTAAAAACCCAAACATACCAAAGTTCATAATTACGAAAGGGGAGACATGCTACTATATACTCTTTAATTCTATTTAAAACTAAGTATATAATCTAATATATTTCAACTTATCAATATATTTTTAATGGAATTTTTCAAATGCATGAATTAATTGTCGAGAAAGTAAGTTGTTGTTTATTACTATTACTGAAAAATTTATGATATAATTGATTCCGATCGGTCAATAAAACAGTAATTATAAAGTTTTTAATTCTGGTTGCAAACTATATAATTTGTAATAATTTTGATTAAAAAGGAGAAATTTGGTTGTAAAAAATTCAAAATTTTATTCCACTTAAAATTACAAGTACATGTGATAGTTTATACGCCAATAAATACTATACAAAAACTACAAATATATAAAAATATATAATTCCCGGTAAATAAATAGTTTTTAGATTATATATTTATAAATCTATGTCTTTTTAGCGTTAAAACTTATTGTTCATATTTCGTGTAATTTATGCTCACTATATAACAAATATTGTGTAGGGAGCTAATAAAATAAATATCTAATGCAAAGATTTCGATTATTTTAAAGACTTGTATAAATGATCAACTTTAATATAATACAGCAATTGAATTAATGCAGTTTCACTTCTAAACATCGTTTTAAAAGTCTTCTAAAAAAAATTGCATATAATATTAATACTAAATAGATAAGATAAGATAAGAAAAAAAAAAAAATTGGTTGCAAATGGTAGCTATAAGAAAATAATTACACAAAGTAATTTCTATTACAAGTTAAAAATTTACGAATTCTTAAAAATCATAAGATAATTTTAGCAACCAATTTTAAGATTGATATTATAATATAATAAAAATTTTGCAAAACTCTTTAAAAACTTCAATAATATAATAATAAAGCAAGAATAGTAATTCAAGAGTAATAATTAATATATATTTAATTGAGAGTAGATCAAAAACAAAAAAAATCAAAAAAAAGTAAACACCTATATAATAAAAAAGGATATTATCAAAATATCAAAAAACCTAACCTGATAAAAAGATAACCACCAGCCAAAAAAAAAAAAGCACGCACACACAGACCATATAAAATTATTATTAATATTGAATTAATAAACCAAACATAAACTAAATAACTTGTAAAACCATGAACTTAAAAATAAAACCAAAAAAAAGTAAAAAACCAGTAATAAAAATTTATCATATAAAAAAAAATGATTAGGTGAAAATTAAAGTAGTAAACCATGATGACCTGATTGAGTAAATAAAAAAAGCAAAAATAAAAGCTTGACAGGATTTATTTTAAAAAACTTTATGTAAATGATAATATAATACAAGATTGAATTGATTATTGTGACGAATAGTGATTAATGTAATTATTCTCTTTCAAATGATATTTCATTATTATCATCAATTAAAGTTGAATTAATGTTATATTTATTTTTACCATTATCACCATTATTATTCCTATTATTACCATAATATATTCTTCCTAAATTTGTATTATTAATAATATTTCTACCACCAATATTATATTTTGTATCTTCCATAATTTGATTTAAATTTTTAATACCATTATCTTCAATTTTTAAATCTTCATCATCTTCATCAACTTCTTCTTCAATTTCATCTTCTTTTTCTAATAAGTCAATTGAACCTGAATCACTTGAACTTGAAGTTGAACTAAATCTTCTTTTAAATTTATTTTGTATAGCTTTTTCAGTTAAAATTTGAGTAGTTGATAAATTTTCTGAAAATTTTATAAAATTTTTTTCAATTACATATTTACCTTCTTTATAAGTTTCCAGATATGAATAAGATTTTTTATAATACCAACCTAAATTATTGAAACATTGATGACATTTTACTTTATTTATTTTATATAAACCAGTTTTCATTCTTGTATCTTCAATTATTGGATTTAATTCAACATTAATTAAATTATCAACTAAATATGCAGGACCTGATGAACCATTAAAATTATCAGATAATATTAAATCCAGTAAACATAAATGACTTGAACATGATTTACATGTTATTATTTGAATATTTGGTGAATCATATTTTGAGTTATCAAAATAATTTGTACACTTTAACCCCATTTTTGAAGTTTTTAATCTATGAGTATATTTTGTAATTAATTGTTTTATATGTAAATTAATAATGATGATACAGTTATAATACTAGTACTTTTGGTTTAAAATTGACAATTAATATAGTGTATTATGATAATTGAATTTTGGTTGTAAAATTAATTAATAAATCGTTAATTGTATAGTATCTTTATGAATTTTCCTTCTTTTCTTATTTCAAATTGATTTAATGATTATGATGAGTTGTTATAATGAACTTATCAATTTAAAGTCTTAAAATTGGTATTTATTTGATATGATAAATTACTTTTGTTTATAATGTGGTTGTAAAAATAAATTGAATCCTATTACAAAAAAAAAGGAGGAGGGGGTATTTAATTATTTTGTGATTATTTTGTGATTAATTAATGACACAGAAAATTAAAATAAAAAAACCTGGAGTTCCTTACTTTAATAGTATAAATATATTGACAATTAATATAAATTATAATCTAAAAACAATTCTTGTTCAATGATTAAATTGTAGTTGTTAATAAGTTGATCATGAAATTATATTTAAAAAGTATATTTATTAAAATTGGTTGTAAAAATAAAAATGGGTGATTGTAAGAAAATTAAATAAAATTTAAAATAAATTAATATGAATTTAAAATTAAAAAAAAAAAGGAAATTTAAATTTATATTTATATTTTATTTATTTTTATTTATATTTATTTTTATTTAATATTTATTTTTACAAATACAAATATAAATAAAATCACTCACTTTATCAGATAAATTTTTTATTTAACTAACTACAAACTAATTCTATTTTGTTTAAATCTAATGAATACAATTTTATTTATTACTGTAGTTAAGAGGAATTCAACTATATTACTTAGTTGAATTCAATTATGAATAAATATTTAATAAAAACTGACTGTTAGTCAATGATATTAATACATTAATAATATAGTTTAAAAAGTTTAGAAAAAGACAAAGTATTATACGATTTTTATTATATAAACCATAACTACTATTATAAAAGTTCGTATTATTATAAATTTCAAACAACTCTTTATAATTTTTTAATTACTTCTAGATTATTTTAAACATCAATTTCTTATCGTTACGTAGTAGTAAAAAAATATAATATTTTATATCAATTATCAAAACCGAATAAAAACCCCCTCATCATTAATATCATCTTAAATATTATCACGATGTAATATTAAAGGGGGATATATGGAAATAGTTTAGAAAAACATAATATACAACAAAATAAATTTAACTCCCGAATAATGTTAAAAAAAGAAAGAAAGAAGTGTAATAAAGTGAAAAGGAAAGTAAAATACTTTAGTAATCTTTACATAAATTTGTATTTAAATCTTACTGGCACAGTTACAATATAATATGTTCCTTTAGTATAAACAAAAATTCTGTTGGTTAAACTCAGACAGTTTTATTAAATATTTTTGGTTTTTTTTTTAGTATTTCTTACTTAGCTTCGGGATGAATGAAACAATAATAATAACAATATATTAAACAATTAAAAAACGTTCTTTTTTCTATTATGATGTTTTTATTCGTTTCTTCTATACAAAGGTAATATGTAAAGGGATAATATTAAGTCAATAGTTGAAATGTAACATTTTATTATAAAACAAATCAGATTGTACTTCCGATAATACTAACAATTAATATTTTCTACTTCTTTATCTAAATCTTTTTTATCTGTCGGTGATTTGTATATGAAATTTCAAACGAATTATTTACGTAGTATAGAAATAAAGTAGCTTGTATATATTTAAAATACAATTAAGAAATTGTGGTTATACTTGAATAAGATTTTATAATTGCTTGTTATGTAAATCTATGTAACTTCTCTTTTTTTATTTTATATCATATTGTATCATTTTTCTTTTATATTTTATATATATATATATCATATATATTTTCTTATCTAAAATTGTGATACTATATTGTTTTTTATCAATACAATCTTTTTATCAATTTTATTATGAAATTTCGGAACTTATCAACGTACAAACTAACTTATCAAAATCATCACAATTATCTTTTACATTATGTGTTACATCAATATTAAGATGTTGTTAATATTAATAATTAAATGACTTTATTTTTTTAAAGTTTAAGATTTGATTTAAATTTTAATTTTAATTTTTATTTTATTTTTGATTTGTTTTTGTTTTTTTGATGTTTGTATTATTCTATTGTATTTTGTTGTTATTTAATTTTTGATCTAATGTAAGGCTTATGATTATTTATATCGTTTAGAATTGACTTTAAAGCTATCATATCAGCAGCAAAATACTTAATTTGAGACCTAAATCTTTACTGACCATTATCCAATTATGATGGCAAAATATCAAATTATTATAAGAAGTATGACCAAAGATTAGACTCTGACTCCATAAATTTATTATACACTACATGATCTAATAAAAGTAATTAATTAACTACTTTCGGCTTAAACGATAAGATTTTTAAATTTTTAATTAGACACAAAACGATTCTACTTTTAAACTTATTGACACAAAATTCTAAATATGACAGACAATTTTTTATTATTATTATCATTATTATATACAATTAACATCAATTTAAAATATTTAACCGGGGTAATTTTATACTAAAATTGAATATATTATATATATATATATATGTTAGACCATTTTTATATGCAAATGTTTCTTTAACTTTGAACGTAGAAGTGTAGAGGAGGCTTTTTTCCGAGACTACTATAATATTACAATACTCTGCTTTGTATGGTCTCCTTTCAAATATTATTCTTAATTTTTATTTTGCTTGTATAAATGATGTATTTTCAAAGTCGAATACGTAAAGTACAACATATGAATTCCGTAGATTTGATACGTGAAAATTAGCGCAGTAATTGGAGTATAGTTAAAAAGTCTATACTTCGACAATCTTTTACACAACTTTGTGATAAGAAATCTTTTAACCGTACTGATTATTATTCATTTGCAGCCACATTTGAGCAGATGAACTGGAACCAAGTCCAAACGGTATTAAGGACAACCAAAGTGAACACCGAAGTAAATGTATCCAATGCCAATGTACATTCAAAATCTTTTCATTCTATTTACAATAATATACAAGTAAGCAGAAAACTTTTAAAATTCAAAACTCAATTACCATTTATACCAAGGTCTAACTTTAATATTTAAAGGTTCATTATTTAAATACATTTTCGGTTTTGATAATCTTTCTTTTTCTAATTTTTCCCATTGTAATCTTTTAGTAGTTTGATCAGTTTTTAAAACACATTTTAAATGAATATAAGAATGTCTTATAATACCATGTCTACCTCTACCTTTTATATCTAATCTTTTTCTCCATTTCCCATCACTTCCAGTCCATAATCTTGCTATATATAATCCATTTTCATTATAATTTAAATTTTTAGCTGCTATTAAACCTTCCTTGAGTAATTTTTCTAATTCAGTTGACATTTTTTTAGGATTAAAATGTAATTGATTTATTGCTGTTTTTAAATCCATTCCTCTTACAAATCTATTGACTAATGTTGCTTTTTTCATTGATGATTTAATTCTATAACTTTGTAATAATATTGAAGGTTCTAAAATATCAATTTCTTCATTTGTTAATGTGAATTTAATATATTGATTTTTATCATTTTTTATAATTTGATTGTTTTTGAAAAACCCATTTTCTGAAACTACTTGATTAAATAATTTTATTTTTAATGGATGTATTAATTTTTCAATTGTATCTTTTTGATTTAATTGTTGTTGTTTATGATAATCTATTAATTGTTCATCATTTCTTGGATTTATTGAACTTATATCTACTTCTCCATCTTCTGTCTTTTTAATTTCTGGTCTATTTTGTTTTGTTTGTTCTTGATCAGGTTGTGGTTGTTGTTGGTCTTGAATGGTTGTTAATTTTCCAAATGGTGAATTATAAAGTTTTGATGTTGATGATATAAATCTAGATTGAATATGAGGTATTATTGGTGTTGATGAAAAGTCCAGTTTTGTGAAGGGCCTGAGCGTCCTCGATAGTATTGATACCCTATTCATCTTCAATTGTGAGGTTTGAAATATTTGACTATCTAGTTGATTTAAATATCTTGAAAAATTTTTTTGTATGTAGAATTTTTTACCAATACGAATTATTCTCGCTACCACTAAATTTTTAACAATTATTATTTGAATGTTGATGTACAACCAAATTTCAAATTAACATATATAATTGTTATTGATCTAACCTCCTTTGTCTTTTGTTTAACTTGATCAAAAAGATATCTTCAATTCGGTTAGTTTTTTTTCTGCTTCAGCGTTTTACATCAAATTAGATAAATACCTCTGGATCTACCAGTAGGTATTTAATTCTTTCTTGAAACATGCAATAAGTAGTAAAGCTCGCCAGTAAAAAGGTCAAAAGTCTTACTTTCAAATAACGAACTCCAAATTAAATGATACATGATCAAAAATTATAATGATGAGAAACTGTCCTACTTCAACAAATTATGAAACACGGGAAATACTAAACGAAACAAATTACATACATCACTAAAATAGCCAATCTCAACTGATCTTGCTTTAATCAAATTATTTGTAAGTGTCAATTAGCCTCATACCTCTAGATTCCTTAAGTAAGGATATATAACATATATTTGATAATCATACTTACAAACTAATATTCGACCTAGTTTGATCCTGGGGAGAAAAAGTTTTGAATTCACCATAATCGATGCTATAGAATGATATCTGCCACAAATTTTTCAAACTTGTTTATCATATCTAATTAAACTAATTATAAGTGATCTTCATAATATATATAATTGTTAATCACTCAAGATGCAGTAGTATGAATATAAATTCAATTTAAAATTCATAAAATTGAAATCTCATTTTTATAATTGCAATTATTAAATGTCATTGTACATATCATTGACATAAATTTTATCTTCATCACCATAACGATGAACACCTTGTGAAAATCAAGCACCTCCTTCAAAACAATAATATCGTGGAATATTCTAAAATTTGTTGTAATGAAAAAAAAACCACTTAAAAATCTAGTCAAACTTTGAATCAGAGTTTTGAAACTTCATTTCTTTTATTTTGATACATCTAAGGATTGTAAGAGCAAAGTATAATAGAGAGATATCCAGAGTCTACAACTGAAAATAAATTATTAATATACAAAATACATCTCATACAATATATTAAATTAAAAAACCAAAAATTACATAATGAAGTGGGTAACGAAAAATGGCTAATTATGCTAAACACATTACACGAATAATCCGGACCCATGGTGGTCAATTGAGTTAATTATCATTAGGTAAAATATTCAATTAATATTGGGCACAAGGGCCTGTTATCACGGATTCAAGATCCATTTCTATCAAATTTCTCTAGTGGCTTGAACATCAATTTCTGTCATATTTTTATAACTTATTAGCAACCTATGACCACCAATTGGAAAGGTATTTGATAGTCACATATATGCACCAACAGTAAATATGACCTCAAATTGACTTTCAATTAAACATATTGCAATATTTGTACTATTGCGAATATGTTAAAGACATAGGGGTCCTAGTACATAAACTCATTAACTTTCGAATAAAAAGACCGCCCATCAAAATTTCATAACAATTCATAGTATGAGGTAAAATGATGTATTAGTATTTAATACACAATTAGATCCCTTTAACCATTGGCAAATAATGACCACCAACTGAAGTTTTTGATAATCACTCATATGCACCAACGTTGAATCAAATAGAAAGTTTGGAGTATGCAGACAATACCAAATGGAATTGGAAAAAGACTTATGGGTCCATATGATGAGATCAAACTTATTTGAAATTGATACATGTTAGATTTAACAAAACAATATCATTTTTGATTTAATCCATCAATTGCATTGATTCAAGATTATCTCTTGTTTTAGACTTTAAAAGAAAACTTTTCACTATAACACATTAATTTTTTTTTGGCTTTTTTTTTGTTCGTTGTTGATTTTTTGTTTTGGGGAGGGGAGTAAAAACAGATAGGAACAAAAACAGACTAATTATTAAAAGAGTTCGTTCTACTATAGAGTGTCTTATTTTGAACCAAAACTTTTCAGATTGATGTGTAATAACAATTTCGAATAAATTTATCAATTTTTTAATTATTTATTAAGTGAATACATCTAAACACTAAAAATATCAATTGAAGTTTTGTCTGCACCTTCAACTCCATTTTATAACTCAGATACTCTCTCCTGTCTTCTTTTTTCTTCAGTGTATGAAAGTCAATTTATTCAATCATCAGTCTTTACTTATTTATTATCTCAACCTTCCCAACATTTTAATCATCATATCCTTTTAGATTTTTATCCCTTGGTCTAGTAGGTAATGGATAAACAAAAGGTATTGGTTCATGATCTGGATACAAGAATTTTCTTCTTAATGGAGTTAGTAATAATAATACTGGAGCTGCAGCTGCTAATGAAACCGATAAAAATAATGCTGGAATTACATGAGCATGATATCTTATCCACTTAAAAATTACAATGTTAGTATTCGCCATTTTTTAAAACTATTTAAGTGATGAAGATTGGTGGTATTGATGGCTTTATGATATTTGAATTCGGAGACTTTAATTAGTTTAATATAGATTGACCATGGAATTTAATTAGTTTGCGAATTCAACTTCACCTTCTGTCTCCTTTTGTAACATTAAGCCCAATTTTATAAAGTATGGGGTTGCGGTATCATGTTTATTAATCGGACCATTCAATAGACTACATTAAGAACCTTATAAATATCTTCGATCTTAAGAAAACACCAATTCGTATATAATTCTCTTTTATTTCAATTACTCCGAATCTTGATTTACATACCCTTATTGGTTGTTTAAAATATATCGGTTTATCACCCCAAACTTTGTCCGACATCTTGAGTTTGTGAATATGTAATATCTTATCTTCATTACCATAACGATGAACACTTTGTGAAAATCAAGCACTACTTAGAGAACAATGGAATATTCCAAAATTTGTTGTAATAAAAAAAAACCACTTGAAAATCTAGTTAAACTTTGAATCAGAGTTTTGAAACTTCATATTTTTATATTGATACATCTAAGGATTGTAAGAGTAAAGTATCATAGAGAGATATTTAGAGTCTACAATTGAAAATAAATTGTTCATATACGAAATACATCTCATACAATATATTAAATTAAAAAACCAAAAATTACATAATGAAGTGGGTAACGACAAATGGCTAAATATGCTAAACAGACTTCATCATTAATTCAGGCTTAACGATGTTATCTAAAAGAAGAATCGTTAGATAGCAAAAATTTTCCACATCAATTTATACTAGCAACTAAAGCTTGCTACCATGGCCTTAACATTAACAAAAAAAAAATACAGTCATATTTCACTACTGGCTAGAATTTCAATTTCAGTCAGATTTCTATAATATATTAGCAACCTATGACCACCAATTGGAATGATATTTGGTAATCACATATATGCACTAATAATAAATTTGACCTCAATCGATTTTCAATTAAACATTTTGCAAAATTTGTATTTTTGTAATTATGTAAAACATATGTACCTAAAAAATTTTTAAAGCATAAACATATGAATAGGAATTAAATGAAAAGAAATAAAAACACCCAGATTCCATAAATATTCATAGCATGAGATAAAACGATGTATTAATATTTAATACACAATTATATCCCTCTAATCATTGGCAACTAATGACCACTAATTGAGATTCTTGGTAATCACTCATATGCACCAACGTTGAATTGAATAGAAATTTTGGAGTATGCGAATAATAGCAAAGGAAAAATGGGAGAAACACTTATGGATACACCATTCGAACCAAACTTGTTTGAAAACATTTCATGTTAAATTTAACAAAAGAATATCATTTTTGATTTGATTCATTTATTGCATTGATTCAATTATCTTTTGTTATTAACGATAATGATCTTCTGTTTATCCAAACTTTATAAAAGATCTGCTAGTCCAATGTTTGTGACAGATTATTTGTCAACGAATATTATCACCAATGTTTTTTTTTTGGCTTTTTTTTTTGGCTTTTTTTTTGGCTTTTTTTTTTGTTCGTTGTCAATTCTTTGCTAGGGAAGTAAAAAAAGATAGGAACCAAAACAAACTCTTTTAAAAAACAAACTTTTTTAAAAATTAGTTTGTTTTTACTATAAAGTGTCTTACTTTGAACCAAAACTTTTCAAATTGATGTGTAGTTACAATTTCAAATACATTCATTATTTTTTTAAATATATATTAAATAAATACATCTAAATACCAAGTAGAAGTATCAATTGAGGAATTTATTAATTTCATTATTGTCTGCACCGTTCAACTCCATTTTATTACCCAAGTACTCTCTCCTGTCTTCTTTTTCTTTAGTGTATGAAAATCAACCTATTCATTATCAACCTTTACTTTTCTACTATCTCAACATTCCCAACATTTCAATCATCATATCCTTTTAGATCTTTATCTCTTGGTCTAGTAGGTAATGGATAAACAAAAGGTATTGGTTCATGATCTGGATACAAGAATTTTCTTCTTAATGGAGTTAACAATAATAATACTGGAGCTGCAGCTGCTAATGATACTGATAAAAATAATGCTGGATTTACATGAGCATGATATCTTATCCACTAAAAATTACAATGTTAGTATTTGTCAAATTCGAAAGTGTTATTCAAATGATGAAAGAATTGTGGTATTGATGAGTTCATGATATTTGTTCCAAGTAATTTTAATTGCTTTAATATAGATTGACCAAAGAATTTAACAAGTTTGTAACTTCAACTTTTCCTCCAAATCTCCATTCGTGGTATTGAGCTTAATTTTATGAAACATCTCAAGGGGTTGCAGCATCACGTTGATTAAGCAAGTCATTTAATAAACTAAAATAAGGACTTTATGAATATCTTCGATCTTTAGAAAACACCAATTTGTACTCAATTTTTTTTCACTTCAGTACTTCAACATTTGATTTACATACCCTTATTGGTTGTTTAAAATATATTGGTTTATCACCCCAAACTTTGTCAGACATCTTGAGTTTTTGAATATGTAGTATTAAATTTGAGTACTAATAAGTCTTAATTTTAAACTTAAACGTAATGAATTTTTAGTGCGTACTATTGGTTCTGAAAATAAAATTAAAGTCAAAAAATGAAAGTGTCGCGAAATTGACTTCTATGAAGAATATCTAAATAATAAATAAACGTATAAAAATACAAAGTTAAATACAACATCCCAAAGTTAAAAGGTCTTCAATCTAACATTTATGATTTTCTCTTCTTGATAGATTTCTTTTTACCTTTTGTAGCAGTAGCAGTAGAATCATCTTCAATTTCAACATCAACAACTTCTGCCTTATTACCACCGCTAGCTAATTCCTCTTCTTGTTTAGCTTGTTTTTCAGCAGCAGCAGCAGCTTCTCTAGCTTCATTTTCATAAAATTCAATCTTTAATTGTTCATCATACCATTGAGCATAATATAATCCACCTTGTAAAACCAAAACTCCAATTAATGCTAATAAAATCATAACTTGTGATGCAGCCATTACATTTATACCAGTTCCAAAATCGACATCACCCCATTCTCCAGTAATACAGGAATTAACACCAGTTCTCAAATTTGTTAAATAAATAATTATTGAAATCATGAATAATCCTAATGAACCATATTCAAAATATTTTGCTTCTTCATCTGGTTTATATAATTTTATAAAATGTCCAATTAACCCTATAAATGCTATAGCATGTAAAGTGTAATGAATATACATTGGTGATTCACCCCAAGTTTGATAATGAACTAATGATTTACTTAATCCATTTGGATCATTATGCCTCCATAATGTATTTAAATCATAAGGCCAATTACTATAAATTAAACCTAATCCAAATGATGTGGCTGATGTAATTAATACTGTACCAATTGGTACTATATCTTTATATTTCATCATTTTTAAATCAATTGAGTTGATAATAAAGTTGATTTATTAGATGACTTTTGTTCACCTTTTTTTTGCTACTGAAATATTAATTAATTATAAAAATAAAAAAAAGCCGCATCGCCAACTTTATCTTTTTTTTTTCTTTTTTGCACAAAATTAATTTAATTTTGGAGAGTCAATTATGATTTTCAATAAATTAATTCAACTCATACGATTCTTCTGTGGATTACGAAAATCGGTTCCCTTAAATACTTATTTGATTCTCCTGAAATCAAAAATTGTTACCAAGTAACAAGTGACTTATTTATAATTAGTTGAAGTTCCCTGCATTTTTATAATATTTTATTTTTCACTTCAACGTTTAAACGTTTACAACAATTAATCAAATTTAAATATGGCCCCACAACAAATAGTCATAGCAGGAGCAGGTGTATTAGGATTAACATCAGCTTTAACAATAAGTGAAAAACTCAAAGATGCCAAAATAGATCACCAATTAACAATAATAGCACAATATAGTCCACATAATCCAGAAATGAATGATACCTTGACAACATATAATGAATATACTTCACCATGGGCAGGTGCACATTTTAGACCATTCCCAAGTAAAAATAAAAAGGAAGAAGAAGAAATGATAATGACTAGAGAGACTGCAAAACACTTCAAGTACCTAGCCGATAATTATAAGGAGTCTGCTATCAAATATATAAAGGGTGTGGAATTTATTGAAAATCCTGATGAATATTATAAAGATATAAAATATGGGTACAAAGAAGGTATGTCAAATTTCAAAACTTTAGATACTAAAAAAGGCTTTTTGGGATTTGAATATGATACATGGGTCATAAATCCAACATTATATTTACAATACCTTTATTTCAAATTATTAATTGAATACAAAGTAAAATTCATTCAACAAAAATTAAATAGTTTAAAAGAAATTAATTCAATTGTACCTGGAAATCCAATAATCATAAATTGTACAGGTACTGGATTACAATATAATGGAGGCGTTGATCCCAACTCGTTTCCTATAAGAGGTCAAACGTTATTATTAAATCCTGGACCCTCCTATAAGCTGGACAAAACAGTCACAATACAATTAAAAGATGGTTCTTGGATCTTCACTATTCCTAGACCTTATAACGGAGGTGTTATATTAGGAGGTACAAAACAATTAAATGATACATTTTTAGGTATAAGAGAAGAAGATACACAACATTTGGAAAAATTAGGATCACAATATTTTCCAGAATTAATGAAAATCAACAAAGATGGTGAACCCTATTTTGATATTATTAGAATAAATGTCGGGTTAAGACCTGCTAGAAAAGGTGGATTAAATAATGAAGTTGAGAAATTTGGAGATAATGTTGTTATTAATAATTATGGAGCAGGTGGTATGGGATATGAATTAAGTTATGGTGCTAGTTTAAAAACTTATGATAATTTGGTGTCAATTTTAAAAGATGACAGTAAACCAAAATTGTAATATGGTCATAACAATGCTGTTAGTATATAGTTGAATATAACATTTGTGCAATTCATATAGAGTGACCGAACAATGAGAAGAATTTATTAATGCAAGTGGGATTGTAATATTACTCTATAATAAATAGCTATGATACATTAAATTTCTTTTCTTTTCTTCGACATTTTAAATGAATTAATTAGTGGTTCATGAGGTAATCTAGGAATATTAGATTCAAAAGTAACATTTTTATTGGTTGATAAGGTTTCAGTTACTGGTATTGTAGATTGACCACTCAATTCATCTTGTAATATCCATTCTATTAAATAATCATTATGAATCAATTCATTCATATTTAAAGTAATTAAAGTACCTGAATAATGACTTTGTTGATTATTTTTACATATTAATTGAATTGAAAAACAACCTTTTAAATCTTTTAAAATTTTACATTTTGAACTTAATTTTACTGATTTAAAAATTTTAAAAAATTCTTCAAATTTAAATTGTGATATTATATATGGATAATTTAATTTATCAATTATTGATTTTTCTAAAATTGATTTTTCATTAGGGAATATTAATTTTGACATTCCTATTGATCCTGAACTTATGAAATTTAATTTATCTTCTGCTGCATAAATGAATAATAAATCAGTATGAATTTGATTTAGTTCTTGTAAAAGACTTGTTAAAACATCACTCTTGACAATAATTTCCAAAATAATATTTTCATAATCAATTGCTAAATTTGAATTACTTGAATAATCTTCATCATCCATATCTTCAATATAAAATGTATAAAACTCCAATTTTTCACTTATTGAATTATCTTCAAATTCTATTTGTAATGGATGACCATCACCATTATATGTTATATAACAAGTAACTGATGAATCAAATTTCAACGTGTTTTGAACTGAATTGAAACAATCTGCAACTAAACTTATATCAACTCCAAGCTTTAATTCATCATCATCTAATACTTCATCTTGATCAGTTGTAATATTATATATATTAAATAAACTTGGATCTATGTTTAGGTGCACTTTTGTTGTATAATTATAAGTTGAATATAATGTTATACCTGTAGGTCGTATACTAATTATAGCTTGGTTATTAATTGATATTAAACAATTGAATACTTCCGATAAGTGAGTAATTTGAGTAGTTGATGCAGTAAATCGTAATTGTTTTGGCTTGATAGTTGATGAAGATCTAGTTGTTGTTGTTCTTGTTTTGGGAATACTAGGTAGACTATCTTGATCATTTTCTATATTTTTATCATCATCATTATTCTTATTAAATAAATTTTCATCACTTTCATTATCTGATGAAGGTATAAATAATGACATATAAAGACATATAAATCCCAAGTACAAAATTAAAATAAAACATGAAACCTCTCGTTAACGTGTTTAACGTAGATTAATTTTTAACTATGAAAAAGCTACCAAAGAATTCTGAAATTTTTACAACCAAAAAATTGCATTAGAATGAGCCAGTTAGTGCAGAAGTAGGACCAAATTGAACTTTTCACAAGTTCTTAGTAAGGACTTTTTCACAATGCCTAAAAGAAACTGACATGTTCGGGCTTAAAATGGAAAACCCTCAAATTTTTCTGGAAGTAGATTTACAGACTTTCTAGCCATATTGAGAACTCTGAGTACCGTCAAGAACCAATAGGCAACATGTTTGCATCACTAAAGCTCATATTTGTATGAAATATATGTAATTGTTGAAGCTCTGCTATTACATGTTCATTCATTTTGCAACAATTATTTGTTGACAGCTGTAAACTCCCCCATTTGAGAATTTTTTAAGGTACATCATAATAACTGAGTATCCGTGGTTCAGTTGACTGTTGAATAATGTAACACCAGTCACTCCGGTAGTAAAAATGTTTCAAACTTATTAATGTCTATTTCTGCTTCAATTTGCAATTTATTACCTTATTTAATTGACTTCAAGACATTAGTAGTCGCTGTTTCTGTAATACTCATTAGCACTTGTATATCCATTTAAATTTCAAACTTATTTCATCAATAATTCACTTGAAATTTTATGTACTTGTTTATTTGTACTGAGTTTGTAGTTTAATATCTGAAATGTTTAAGTTCGCATTTTTTTTTGCAACTTTTTTTCGCAGGTAAAATGTACCAATCTTTTTATCATGTGGTAGCATAATCCGAAACATGTTTTTATTTCTTGTCATGAGCTTCAAGCTGTCAAATTCTGAACATTTAATGACAAGGGTAGTTTTGACTTGTTTTCTATCTTTTTTTACTTCCTTGATGCTAGTTTTAAGTCGGATTTAGAATCAATTTGTTGCTAGTTTTGTGTCTTATATAGTGATTTTTGTCCTGTCTATTTCTACTATATTTAGTCAAATTAATATGCATTAAAGTTGAATTTGATAATGAAATGAACTAAATCAAAATCTGGATTAAAATCAACTGTCTCTCATTACCAAGCAGGCTAATCAACTGTCTCTCATTACCAAGCAGCATGCATATTCACAGTCATATAACTCAAGTATCAAAGTCAAAAAGGGTTCTTAGTCAATTATCCAAAACATCAAAAACTCTCACTTGCTTCACTTCAGAGTCTAATCTAAATCATAGTTCAGTCAGTTAGTTAAATTTGTCTCCAAAGGTTGGTTTTCAAGTCAAATAAAATTGTCAATTTACTCATTGGGTTGGAAAAACGTCTCAGGTATTCAATTTAAATTGTCCCCATACTTTATTGGGTGAATTGTCTCACAAAAAATCCTCAATTGATAATAAAACTAGAATTTTGAAATTAGTAAATTAAATAAATAAATAGTTCTACATTAGTATGGATAAAAGTAATTTAAAGCGATCACCTAAAGAAGAAATAGTTGTATGAAATAACTTGTAAAATAAATTTTGTTTTGTATATTTAAATGGCAAAATTTTTGTTATGCTAATCTTTAGCTGCAAAACATTATTATCGCAAGAAAAAGTAGTGTAATTTGGCACAAACTATAAATACATCTCTTTAAACTACATCGAATAGGATCAATTTGACTAGAAAATGCTTCATCTAATATTAATCTGAGTCTCATTATCTTTTTTACTACTACAAGCACGCTTTATTGATCTAACTTATGAGTATTTTTTGTACTTTACTTCAAAATTGAAGTTATATAGTAGATTATTAGTACACAAATGGAGTTAACAACTTTAAATTACTTTAAAGTAGATTTTTAACCTCTTTACGATTGAGCTTATTAATTATTTATTGCATTATCTCTAGTTTCTAATTACAGTGTTTTAATTTAATTTCTTTATTTTTGCAACAATTTGTTACAAAGATTTTATTTTACGCATGTTTACTTCAAGTTATGATCGAGTTGTGAGAAATCAGTCACATACTTTTATGTTTGCTAAATACATAAGACAAGTAATTCAAAAATCGCTACGTCTAAGCTCAATGAATAGTATACTTTTAATCAATTAAACTTAATAAACCATAATGTAATTGTATTGCAAAACAAAACAATAGCTACCAATTAGTTTCAAATTATTTATTAAATGGTAATAAAAAATTAGCAAAAATAAATAAATAAAAAAATATGCCAAGAATAAAATTAAAACTTGATTTATTTTTTATTAATTGTTTTAATTAATTATAAATTTATTATGTCAAAAGTTGATAGAAGTTTTAGCATAAAATATTAATACTTCTTTTTAAGTCTAATTTATAAGAATTGAACTATGTGATATGTTTTATTCACTTACATTAATTCAATCATCGTTACAGATATATATGAATGTAAAATAGTTACAATGTTTTTTGTGTACAACTATCTCGTAAAATTGTAAGAAAAATATTATTCATTTATATATTAATAATATTATATTATTCTTTTCTATGCTTTATATAATATATCTTAAATTAATGCCAAGGGTTTGATTAGACTATGTCTGAAACAACATGACAAATACTCTTGATTAGAAAGCCCCAATTTATATAACCGTTTAATTAAAAATGAATTTTTAAACTAAAACATTATAATTATTGAATGTATTAAATATATTATACTAAATTATTTTCATAACCATTAATATTTTATATACAGTATTTATTATTATCAAAAATATTTAATTTTATGATCATAACAATTAAATAAAATAATATATGTATTTTATATATTTTCAAATTGTTGCAACATAAATAGAGATTCAAAGATATATTAAACATATACTTTTGATTTAAAGAAAGAATAAACTTAAGATCTTTATATTCACTTAAATTTTATTATATTTGTCATATTAAATTATTTATTTAATCATAAGTATTATTCATATTTTTTTTTTTCATTTTTATTAAGGGCATCAAAGAAATAGCAAAAGTTTATCAAATGATATAAAAACATTTACATTAACATAATATTTTCATTAAAACATTAATTAATTATTTATTACACTTATATATTCCTTATCAAATCAAACCAATACTAGATCAAATCTATAAATAATAATATATGGCTTGGGATCAACTAGAGTTAGAAGCTCCTCATATTGCTTATGCATGTGTTGGAGTATTTTGTACTTTATTTTCATTAGTTTCATTATTTGTTAAAGAAAGATTATATATTGGTGAAGCAACAGTTGCAACTATTGCTGGATTAATTTTAGGACCTCATTGTTTAGATTGGTTAAATCCTGTTAGTTGGGGTAATTCTGATTATATTACTTTAGAAATTTGTAGAATAGTTTTATGTATTCAAATTATTGCAGTTGCAGTTGAATTACCAAGAAAATATATGAAAAAACATTGGGTATCAGTTGCTATATTTTTATTACCTGTAATGACTGTTGGTTGGTTAGTTGTTGGATTATTTATATGGTGTTTAATACCACATTTTACTTTTAATGATGGATTATTAGTTAGTGCTTGTGTTACTGCAACTGATCCAGTTTTAGCTGCTGCAGTTGTTGGTAAAGGTAAATTTGCAGAAAGAGTTCCAGGTCATTTACGTAATTTATTATCAGCAGAATCTGGTTGTAATGATGGGATGGCTTTCCCATTTATTTATTTATCATTAAATTTAATTATTCATTCAGGTCATGCAGGAGAAATTGTTAAAGATTGGATTTTATTAAGTATTTTATGGGAATGTGTATTTGGATGCTTTTTAGGAGTTGTTATGGGTTGGTTATTAAGAAAAGTTGTTGCATTTGCAGAAAATAAAAATTTAATTGATCGAGAATCATTTTTAGCTATATTTATATTTTTAGCATTTAATTGTGCAGGAATTGGATCTATTTTAGGAGTTGATGATTTATTAGTATCATTTGCTGCAGGTACAGCTTTTGGATGGAATGGTGATTTTTCTAAAAAGACTGATGAATCTCATGTTTCTACTGTTATTGATTTATTATTAAATTTATCATTTTTTGTATATTTTGGAGCTATTATTCCTTGGCCTCAATTTAATAGTTCAATTATTGGATTAAATGTTTGGAGATTAATTATTCTTGCTTTAGTTATTATATTTTTAAGAAGAGTACCTGCTGTTGTTATATTAAAACCAATTACACCTGATGTTAAAACTTGGAGAGAAGCATTTTTTTGTGGACATTTTGGACCAATTGGTGTTGGTGCATTATTTGCAAGTATATTGGCAAGAAAAGATTTGGAGAGTCATTATACTACTGAAGAAACTCCTTTACATGCATTACCAGGTGAGGATTTCCCACATTATCAATTATTAGCATGTATATGGCCCATTGTTTGTTTTATTGTTGTAACATCAATTATTGTTCATGGTTCTTCAGTTGCAGTATTAACATTGGGTAAAAGATTAAATAGAATGGCCATTACCATGTCATTTACAACTACCAATGGAGATCAATCTGAAGGAGGTGGATCGAATTGGATGCAAAGATTACAAAATTTAGACAGATCAAATACTTCATATTCATTACATAGAGTTGATACTATGACACCAACAGAAAAAGATGAAATTAAACGTCAACAAGCAGAACTGTTACAGAATATGCCAGAAACAAGTGGAGTTAAAGTACGTCCAGCAGGAGGGGCTAAAAGAAAAAAGAAAAGAAGAAGAGCACAACCAGGACTTATTAAGAAAACATTATCAAGAGTTAAAAGTAATGACGATGAAGAATCAATGGAAGAAAGACATCGTCCAACTCCTCAATTTTTACAATTAGGTGGTAGACCACAAGCTCACTCACCAATTAAAAGTACATCATCATCAGAACCAGAAGCAACTACTGAAGTTAAAGAATCTTCATCATCATCCGATAATAGTCCACAACAAGAAAAAGTACCAATGGAAGACGACGAACCAATAGAACTTGAAGAAGAAGAGAAACCAAATAAAAAGACTTCAGGAATTTCTAAATATGGTGAACATCCAAAAGCTGAAAAAAGATCAGTTCCAACTACTGCATATCAAGATGGCAGTAAAATTATTATTGAAGATCAAAATGGAGAAGTTATGGATAGTTTGACATTACAAAAGGAACGAGGCAAAGACACTTATAAACATAACCATGAAATGGATGGAGAAGAAGATAGTATACATTCAATGGAATCATTACAAAGACATTTAACTCAATACTCCACCAATTCAGTTGAAAAAGATGAAAATTCATCAGAAGAAAAACCAACAACAACAAAAGGAGGATTATTATCACCATTAGAGAAGAAACTTTCAAGAAAATCATATTACAAAAAAGATGATCCACATAGAAGAAAAGTTTATGCACATCGTGTTGATAATTTAATTGTTATAGAAAATGAAGATGGTGATATAATAAGAAGATATAAAGTTAATAGACATGCATCAACTTATCCACAACAACAACCACCGCCACAAGCACAAAAACCATCAAGATCAAGATCATCTACATTAGTAAATAGAATGAAATCATTTGTTGGTATGAAACCATCATCACAATCAACTACCACACCGGAACAAGATTTTCCACAAAATGATAATCCACCACAAGAAACTCCAACTATTCACGTTACAGATTTGGAAAAAGGAACTCATCATAATATTATAATACCTCAAGAAGATAAAAAACCACATCCACATCACGAAAAAATAGATAAAATTGAAGATAAAATAGCAACAATATTAGAAACAAAGCATCGAAAAGGAAGTCATCATTTAGTTAAAAAAGCATCACCACCACCACCTGTATCTCAACCACTTGACGAGGAAGAAGAAGAAGACGAAGAAGAAGACGAAAGCGAAGTAGACCACGAAGAACCAATACCAAGTTACGAAGAAGGAATAACTGATCATGAAGAAGATGAAGAAGAAACAGAAGTTGAAAAACAAAGGAGATTACAAGCATTAGGTAAATTGCCCAATAAAAATCGTGATGTTCATGATGAAGAATAAAACTAACAATAAAAGTGTATAATAAAAAGTGATCAAAATAGATATAGAGATTTTATTAATAAATAATATTAATTTTTTGTAATGGTATATAAATTCTTATAAAGGTAGAATAATAATACTACTACCGAGGGAATATTTTGCGCGCGCTTTTTACACTCTCACATAATTTTTTTAAAATAAATTCTACGATATCAAAATTCAATTTGTGGAGTAAAAAAAATACATCTACATCAAACCAGATCAATTATCAAAATGGATACATCAACAACATTATCCCCGAATGCACACAACCTAAATAAAGAAATGGAAGATAATTACAAACTAGCGCTAAAACAATTCATCAACAAGAACTTCATTGCTTCTTTCAAATTAAGTAGAGTTTTATTTTTATCATCATTTAACGAATACAAACAAGGTACGATATCATTAAATCTTTTAATTAAAATTATCAACTTGTATTTAGTAGTAATTGGAGTATGTTTAAAAGAACATCATTTAGATCAAATTCTTACAAATTCAGCTAGAAATTCAATAAGTTCAAATGAGGTGAATAATTTATTAGGTTCTGTATGGTCAACTTCAGAAATCCCAACAGAAGTGATTTATAATTTACATTTATTATTTATATCAAATCAAGACCTCATAAAGAACAAAGATTCATATTTATATGATCTAAACAAGACAATCTTAAATATAAATCCACAAGATAAATACGGTGAAAAATTATTAAATTTAGTTAAATTTGAAATATATCCCAATTTTAATGAATTTGAAAAATCAGAAAGATTAATAAAAGACAATGAACAAGAATTACAAAAACTTCATCAAATTAAACAAATTAAAGAATCAAATGCTGAAAAATTAAAACAAAAACAATTAGATGATGCAAAATTTGCTCAAGATCTTAAATTGAAAAAAGATCAAGAAGCTAGAAAATTAGCTCATGAACAAAATTTAAAATATAAATCTATAAAAGAAATAACTAATAGTTATAATAATAATCAAAGAGAAGTTTCAAGTAATAAAGACCTCAGCAAAAAGGAAAATTTAAAAGAAAAATTAATGTATATAGTTAACATCACCAAAAAGTATTTACAACAAAATTCAATCGTTCTCGTTGTTATATTAATTCTATTATTTGGTTCATCAAAATATTTGAAAGGGGTCAATATAAAAGAGAAATTAGTAGATACAATCAAAATGGCATTTAAATTTACATATATATAGCATTATCAATAATTCATCAATTCATTAAAATTTATATATTAAAGTTAAACTAATAAATATATATAATTTAAGAAGATAATAAGACTAATCTTTTTTTCTTCTTCTTCTTTTTATTGGTATTGGTATCATTATTTGGGTCTTCATTTTCTTCTCTTGCTTTTCTAATCATTTCTTCTGCATCCCAATCATCAAATTCATCTTCAATAGCAGATGATGATTCCTTTGTTGCGGATTCTTTGGACTTAGGTATTTTGGTACCCCATACAGTTGTTTGATAATCATTTTCACTTTCTGTTGTTGATAAATGTTGATCTGATAATGTTGGTAAATTATCTCTATGATCTGTTATTGATAATGAACCAAAATTAAAACTTTGATTGTTTTGATAATCAAATTGACTATCATATTCTGTATTTTCGTATTGACCATTTTCTTTCAAGTAAAATTGTAAAGTTTTCAATTCTTCTTCATTTTCTGCTTTTTTCTTATTTCTTTCTTCTCTATTAAATTTTTTGTTTGAGTTTTTGGATCTTTTTAATAGGTCCTCTTTAAACAAATTCCAAGTTTCTTGTGAGATAAATTCATTATGATTCCAATTACACTCCAAGAATCCAATTTGTGTACCTATTGGTAAATGACTTAAATACTTATATTTATTAATTGATGTCTCTGATGATAGTTCTTCATATCTTATATTTTCAATTTTGGAAATTATAGTCGATGGTAGATTTTGATAATCTATATATGTGCTCTTTAACACTTTCATATCTAATGGAGACAATACATAAATGCAATTTGCGTTAAAACCAGTTTGATAGTAGAAAAACGTATTATGATGATGAGGTGAAGTTTCTGAAATATGATTTTTTTCTGTAGCTGTAGTGGAAAGGTTACTTGACCAATCTTCAATTTCTTTATCAATATGTGCTATAGCTTTTTGTACTAATTCCTGATCATCATTATAGATCAATTTCTCTTCTTCGTGATTTTGCAAAATTTCGATTTTTTCATTCTCATACATTTGTTTCAAATAGTCAAAATCTCCCTTAAAAATTCTCAGATACGCTGATAATTCAGTTTGATTAACATTTGGAAAATCATTAACCTGGTTCTTTACGGCAATTGATTTGGGTAATGATAATATCTTATTCAGATCTCGTGACATTAAAGTTAAAACAACATCATCTTTTATTTTTGGAATTTCAAATCTTTCATCAACATATTCAAATATAACAGGCTTTAATTCATTTTTACGAATAATACTAAAACAAAGTGGACATTCTCTATATTTTTCAATTATGGCTGATGATTCCTTCTTTTTAGCCTTCGGAACTTCATGTTCCAAAAGACTTAAAACACATTTTAAACAAATGATGTGACCACAAGAAACAATCATTCTAGGAGCTATTGGGTCATCACTTAAACAAATAGGACAACTTGACCCCCTTGAAGCAATTATTGAAATAATATTATTAATATCGATAGGAACATTTGGATCTAATTCTTGAATTCTATAATTTTTTCTTGAATCAACTACAAATTTAAAATTAACATTTATAAATTTCATTCCGGTTAATTGAATTTTTGAAGGTTGTTGGTATTTCTTATGACTACTCGATCTTCTTCTTTGTTTTTGTCTTTGCTGTGACTCTGCATATTCTTCAGTATCACGGTATGATTGGAAATCTAGTAAATGATTTATTGATATTTGGTTCTTGCGACTATTACCATTCACTTTCTTACCTTGCTTTAACTGTGATTCTAATTGAGTTATTTCATTGTCGTTTCTATGATCATACTTTTTGGATTTATTATTGAATTTCTTGTTGTTGTTCTGTTTTGAAATTATTGGGTTATTATTAACATGAGGTTTATAGGAAACACCAACAGATAAGTTATTGTTGGTATTTTTATATTCAGTCATTATTGAATCTTCTGAAGTTAATTGGCTTGTCATCAAAACAAACCTAAATACATAATGTGTAAAAGCAAAAAATTAATTCCAGTAGCAGAAATGAAAAATTGCAAATAAAAGAATGATGGTAAGTCAGCTAGATAGTGATATTGTGGTGGTAGGAGTTAAATTAAAATTTGAAGTATTATTCTTCGACTCCTCGAAGAATAAATAATAAAGGAAAAAGAAGAAGAAGAAGAAGAAGAAGAAGAAGAAGTAGCATGTTAAAGAAATTGTATGTTTATTAAAATTGAGCAATTTGAGATTCTCAAAAGTCAGGCTACCATCTGTTCGACACGTGATTCTGAGTCCACTACTTTACAAATTTATTAAACACGTAAAAATTATTATTGATTTACAATTTACAACTAAAACGATACAACCAACTTATCCAATCATTGCAACATGTCACAATTGAAAAAAACCAATCTTAATTCAGTTAAAGATTTACAAAAAACAACAGATGAACAATTGGGTTCAGTATTACAAAATTTAGGTTATGAAGAATCTTTCAAATTAATTGATTTAAAATTAGGATTGGGATTAATAACTGTATTAATAGCAGGATTATTATTTTTAGCTGATAAAAAATTCCAATTTAAAGAAATTTACAATATAACTTTTATATCTTGCGTTTTATATGGACTTATAAATCTAGCTTTATTTGGTCTAAATTTAAAATATAAGAATGTTAAATATATTGGATACGATTCAAAAGGAAATAAAATTATAATATCTAGTGAAATTAAGAAATATGAACCAAATTATTATATAAATGTTACAATCAATGATAAAACCACGAGTAATTCTGTTATACCATTCAATAAGTTTTTTGATATAATTGGTTTTTTCAATAGAGATGAATTTTTAAAATTATTAAGTCATGAGATAAATAAAAAATCAGAATAGAATATAGTGCACAAGTAGTATATAGTCCTTTAAAAAAACAAGTGTCTATTTCTATTGAAATTTAATGTACTTTTGAGAGTTATTCTTTTAGAATTGAAAATCTTTTGTTTCCTTAATTTGATCGTCAATTTCACTAAACCATCGACAGAAATCTTGAACAATTAACGGAGTTGTTCTAACACCAGGTAAGAAATTAGCATAGAATGGTCTTGATAAATTTCCCATATATCCTTTATCGATTTTATTGGTTATTTCTTTTGCCAAATCAACATGGTTTACAACTGGTGCAATATATTGTTTTGGAGCACTTACATCCTTGAACAATTCTGTGTTCATTTGACCTGTTGTTACTAACATTAGTCTAATTTTAGGGAATTGTTTTAGTTCTTGTTGTAATGATTCATGTAACATTATTTGAGCTGCTTTTGTAGCTGAATAAACTGAAAGATTTTTTGGAGCAAAAGTTCCTAATATTGATGATACAGTAACTATTGATAATTTCCCATTAACATTATACGATAAGTGATTTGATACAATTTTTTGCAAAATGAAAACTTGTGCTATCGTATTGACATTAAATAAGGATTTAACTTTATCAAATCTCAAATTGACCAATGATTTATTATCTCTAATTCCTGCGTTATTTATAACTATGCTAATATATTTATTTTCTTCATTTAGACTATGAATTAAAGTTGATAATTTAACTTTTAAATCCATTTCATCACCTAAATCACATTCAATATAATTGAAATTAGAATCTTTTTCAACTTTTTCAGGTGGTGGAGTTTTATCAATAACAAAAACGGTAACATTTCTCATTAATAATGATTTTGCAATCTCTAAACCTAATCCATTTGATCCTCCTGTAATCAATGCAACATCAGACTGATTTAATGATTTCCATTGTTTTCTATATGGATAATTATATGAACCCACAAAATATAATATGAAACTAACTAATAATAGTATTAAAAGTAAGCCAAATAATATGTAGGGTATAGGTGTCCACCATAATGAAAGGAAGCTATAATTTTGCATTAGTTGGTTAGTAACAACCTTTTGAAGATATTGTGAAAGTAAATACTCAGATGAAAAATTTATAAATCCGAGGCGGAAATATAAACTTTTATCTAAAATCAATGCTATCGTTAGACAATACGTACCTAATAATGAAGAATATAAATGTGAAAACTTCAATGATTAACAAAATAACTTCTGCCCAATCAATTGCATCATTTCTATCAGGTTCGTCTGGAGGAGGTTCATCTGGATTTCTCCTACGCCAACATTTACACATGTTATAAAAGTATGAAAGTAGCTAGCAAAATATTAATTTGTAGTTATGTAGTTAGCAAAGAATTAATATGAAAAGACACCTTGATTGAGAAATAGGAGAGATAAAATTGATATTATTCTACTCTAAAGATCTTTATATATCAATTACAAATTTTTTGCACGTAACAAAGATCTACATATCTTTACCACATGGTATTATAAATAATTCATTAAGTCATTAAATAATATCTATTTAGCTTGCGTATCATAATCATAACCTCTCGCTATTCCTCCTCTGCCTTCTTCAACTACTGCTCCTTCATCTTCATCAGAATCATCATCAGAATCACCATTATTTTTATAATCACTACCTAACCCAGTCCATTGTCTATTTTGTAAATGCATAGCTGATGTACTGACAGTATTTCTTATTGCAACTTTGTTTGAAAACCTCTCAACTAAGGCATTTTCATTTGGCGTATCTTCACTTGTATTTTTTATGGATAAATGATTTATTTGTCTTAAAGGCTTTGAATTACTTACATATTTACCAGTTACTGGGTCAAATTCTGGTTCTTCATCTGAGCTGTTATTATCGTTATCATTGCTGTTCCTATCAGCATTTTCTTCTTCTTCTTCATTTTTATATTCTTGAATAACACTTTTATAATCAGTTATCCATCTTCCAGTCCATGTTAACTCATCACTTAATCCTAATAATAGCTCATACGGAGTTACAATAGGTTTATAAAATTCATTAGTTTGATCAATTATAATTCCTTTATGATCACAACCTAAAACACACCATAAATCAATACTATCGAAATTAGCTAATTTTGCAACGTTTGGTTTACCAACAACTAAAATGTGAACTTTTTTACCAGCTTGTGTAATTTTATGTTTGATTGTATTGATTAATTGTTTAGTATTAGATAAAGATAATGTATTCACCAATATTCCAATCGTACCTGAGCTTCGTACCATATGAACAAATTTGTACCTTCTCATTAAATTAGGAAATGGACCTTGTGATAACTTATTAGTGGTCGGATCATAAGTCGTAACTGATGCAAAATTAGTTGAGAGTTGTAGTAATCGTGGTGCTTCTGGTTTTGTTATATGAAATAAATGATAGTTTGAGAAATTGTGAATTGGAAATGCTCTGTTAAATTGAGTGTGTGAATATTCAATGGTTGGATTGTATCCAATTATGTTAGTATTTGCGGTTGATATCAATTCCGCTATGACAATATCTTTGTACTCCCTTAGACTTTTCTTTAGCTTATTCAAAATATGGGTGTGTGGGGCATCTGCCATTAAAACAATTTTATCATCCTTACTGAACTTTTGTTTAAACTGTGATAGTATTTCATCTAAATCAACTTCAGGTTTTCCCAATACATATTTAGCATTAATCTTCGCCACTTCATTCAAACAAGCATCTCCAAAATGTACCACCAAATCACTTTGTACATGTTCTGCTGCAACTTCATCAACACAACATGATGAATAAGATGTATCTGCCAAAATCCAAAATTTTTTATCGGGAAGTTCTTGTTGTAAAAGTTGTACCATCGTAGCTGAATCGCAAATTAATTCATCTGGGAATTGTAATGTAACTTTATCATAATCTGAATCACCAAGGTCTGCAATAAGTTCATCTAATGAGTAGTAGGATCTGATTTTATTTATGAGTTCTTGATAATCATCTCTATTTTTTAATTTTAAGTGTTGTCTTTCCTTTTTTTTGGTTTGTACTTTGTCATAAGTGAATGTTGAATCGTCTTGATGAGTGGATAATGATGGAGCTATCGCAACATCTCCTGATGGCATTATGTTGACTAGTGATTGAATTTCATTGCAAATTAAGACATTTAATATTTTTCACAGTATAATTGAATACGAAGATGTTTCAGTTTGTCATATGACCAGGCACGTGACTATATCTTCATACATTTAAAAAAATCGAATTATGTGTGATCAAAATTGGTACCATTGAGCTCAATCAAAGCAGACCCTTGGGTTAGAGGTTACTCTGATTTCAGTGATGAGTTTGGCATTAAAATTATCTACTTTTTAAATCATGTCTTACTTTTTTTGTTAATCTTTTATCTTGTGTAATTTTGTTAATAATATTTTTAGCAATCGAAATTAAGTTTAAGAATTCAAACTTCTAAATACAAATTTCAAAAAACTCAATTGAGTACACCAAAACGATCACTTCTTATTAGAAGTATCATAAAATGATAATAAACTTTCTAAGAACCTCTACTAGGCTAAAATCAACTCAAAATCTATCAAGTTCCCTATTCAAATCATCATTCAAAAGACAGTTTCAAAATAGCACATATCACTCGAGATCTCACATCAATACTAAAACCAAGACATACATCACCATAGCATCAGGTTTATCCTTATTTACTTATCATTACTCCACACAAAATAAAGTTCATAATGATGTACACGCACTTGATACATCAGTTCATGAATTAAATCCAATAGAAGCTGCGGATACTTATGAAAATGGATTATTTGAAGCATCACAACAAGAAGAAAAAGATCAATTTAATAATTATAGAAATTCCAAAACTCAACATTCGTCTTGGCTAATAAGTATACTGTATAAATTAGTATTCGCGTTTGAAGATTATATCATAGATCCGATTATTACATTTTCAAGATTCATACATTTATCATTCATATTTCTTCCTGTCTTATTAACCAGTCCCATATGTTGGTTTGGAAGAAAACATAAAACAGAAGATGGGGATTACGTACGGACTGGTGCATCATTATGGTACAGATATTTACGTTGGTCAGCCGAACAAGCCGGTGCTTCATTCATCAAATTAGGTCAATGGGCAGCAAGTAGAACTGATATATTCCCAATAGAATTATGTAATGAACTAGGATCTTTACATTCCAATGCAAAAGCTCACAGTTTTGAACAAACTAAAAAGACATTAGTCAAGAGCTTTGGTGGTTTACCATTTGATGAAATATTTGACGAATTCAATGAGAAACCAGTTGGTGTGGGAGCTATAGCACAAGTTTATACTGGTAAATTGTCAAAAAAAGTATTGGAAAAAGCATCTAATGAAGAGAACATTATCGAAAAGAAATTAAAATCAAAACATCATAAAGAAAGTCAAGATGTACAATTTTTCGATAAACTTATAGTTACTGAACATTTAGATTCAAATGAATATGTAGCTATAAAAGTTTTACATCCAAAAGTTGAGATTAATGTGCATAGAGATTTAAAAATAATGAAATTTTTTGCAGACATTGTTAATTGTATACCCACAATGGAATGGCTTTCTTTACCTGATGAAGTTGAACAATTTGCAATATTAATGAAATTACAATTAGATTTGAGAATTGAAGCATTAAATTTAGCAAAATTCAGAGAAAATTTTAAGAGTAGATTAGATATACATTTCCCAAAACCATATTTGAATTTTACCACAAGAGATGTTTTAGTGGAGGAATATATGCATGCTATACCATTAAGTAAATTATTATCATTGACTGAAAATTTTGGGAAAAACTTGTCAAAAGAAGTCAGTGACAAAGGATTGGATGCATTTTTGAAAATGTTGATTCTTGACAATTTTGTACATGCAGATTTACATCCAGGTAATATGATGGTTCGTTTTTACAAAAATGAGTTATATAGACATGAAAAGGAATACAAAATAGTAAAAGCATCAAATGAGAAAGAAACCAATAAAATAACAGATGAATTATTAAAAATTAAAAATCCAACAGCATGGTGTGAAAAATTAGCTCTGTTATATGAAGATGGCTATCATGCAGAAATTTGCTTTTTGGATGTTGGTTTAGTCACAGAATTAAATCATACTGATCGTGTTAATTTCATAGATTTATTCAAAGCATTATCAGAATTTGATGGATATAAAGCAGGAGAATTAATGGTTGAGAGGTCAAGAACTCCCGAAACAGTAATAAATAAAGAAATTTTTGCATTAAAAGTTGAAAAATTAGTTGATAGAATGAAAGATAGAACATTTACATTAGGTAATGTAAGTATTGGGGATTTACTAGATCAAGTTTTAAGTATGGTGAGAAATCACCATGTTAGAATGGAAGGTGATTTTGTAACTGTTATTGTAGCAATATTATTATTAGAAGGTGTCGGTCGACAATTAGATCCTAATTTAGACTTATTTGCAAGGTTCGTATATGCATTAATGATTGGATTCCCAACTGAGAAAATTGATCTAAAATCGATAATTTCTTTGGGTAGTTTAATCCTGAATTGAAAAAAATTATAAAAATAAATGACAATTTACTAACTTCTCTTTTTTTCAAGTTCATTACCAGTATTAAGAAAATTAGGTATATCCAAAGAAGGTAGAGAAATGATGAAAGATGACAATAGTTTAAGTATGGTGAAGATTTGGCTAGCATTAGAAGTAAGACAATTTATCAATGCTTCAATTCAAGATGTATGTATAACTATAAACTTTAAAACCAGAGATTTCAAAATACTAACATATCATTTTTTAGATGCATTCGTTGGTAAAAGCGGACATGTTGAGTCCAAATATGTAGATCATAGTTGTAGTAATTCATTTTATAGAAGGTATGAATTTACAATTTGCAATTATTGCAAAAATAGTTATTATTTTTACGCGTATAAATTTTAAAAATTTTGGTAGCATTGTAAACTGTCAGAAAATTTAAAAATTTCAATTTGGTGTAAGTTTTTGTTGTCCAAGTAAATAAACTTAATTTCAATTTCATTTAAACCAACATCAGGAGCTTTTGCTCGGGATTGAGATTAATTATTCACAACTTCATATAGTAACATTTGCATTACAAAAGTTTTAACAATTAAAATATACAAAAATGCCAATTAAATCACTAGAACCATTTTTATTTGAAAGAAAATTAGCATATTCAAGCACAATTGATACTCTCACAAATGCGACAATTGGTATAGATGTTGAACATTATTTAAACAGAATATACACATTAAAGAAAGAACAGTTTTTAGCAGCAATTGGGGGAGTACCAAGCTCATTAAAAGATTATCTTTCCTCAGACTTACATGTATTCAAAGAATTCAATATTAAACCAATTTTCATAATATCAGGCTTGAATTTTCAGTCACAAGTCAAAACTTACAGAGCAAAAGAATTGACCTCAAGCGAACAAACTTTAGAAAATACTTGGAACAAAATTTCTAATCAACAAAAACAAAATCCCCATTATCATCATCATTTCCACGCTTTTGAAAATTATAGATCATTACATGAAAGCATACCGCTAGAACCATTAATCAATGACTTAATTAAATTATTTATTGAATTAGAAATCGATTATTTAGTAACTCCATATGATACATCATTTCAATTATCCTACTTATATCAAGCAAAAATTATAGATGCAATATATGGTTCCACTGATTTATTACTTACAAAGATTGATAAATTTATATTGGGGATGGAATTCCAATCAAAAGATTTTAGATATGTTGATAAACATAAAGTTTTACAAGAATTAAGAATTAATGAAAGACAATTCCAAGATTTAAGTTTAATGGTAGGATGTAATATACAACCTAATACTTTTTCCATATTCCCAAAACCATTACCAAATTATCCTCCTATCAATATTTTCAAGTACGGGTTGGATCTGATTTATCAATACGCTCAAATGAGTGGTAATCATCAAGACTTGTATGGTTATATACTAAATTTAAATGATCCAAAATTAATTGACTGGTATTTAAAAGGTCAATCAATAATCAAATTTGCGCCAATAATTACAAAAGAAGGTTATGTTGAACTATATAATGTTGAGATGACCAAATTAGGTTTAGATAAAAATGTAGATTTTCTCAGTGATGATGAAGAAAATCCAACTGATGAATCTGGTAACAACACTCCAGCAAGACCTTTAGTTAAAATCCCAAATAATTTACATGAAATAATATCTCAGAGATTACCACCCGAACTATATTATTATGAATCCTTAGGATTATTACCTTTGCAATTATTGAGTTCTATTGCAAGAGGTAGATTGGATTTAAGACCACCACCAGAACTAGGAAGATGTGAAAATTATAAAAAATTAATCAATTCAAAATTTTATAATAATTTATTGGATCAACAATACAATCTCATTACACAATTATTGGCAAGATATTATCAGGTCAAGAAAATTAATGTCCATTTTTGGTTTACTGATAATGTATTGGAATTGAATAATAGGATGAACCCGCCAATTGCTAGAAAAGTTGAAAACTTATTTATGAAGTCATCAGATAAAGTATTCAATATAAAGAATTTATTTGCCAATAAATTGGTTGGAAATTATAAACTTGAAAATGATACAGATACAATAGAAACTCAAGTAGATGTTATTTCTTCAGCATTTATAAGGACTTTGTACTTGTACGGAATCATAGATGAGAAACAACAATTATCATCAATTGGTAAAATATTGCAAGAGTTCTCAAGTAAGAATAGTGATGTTAGTGACGAAGATTTCGAACATCTTGTACTTATACTATTATTATTAAAAGAATCTTACCATTTAACTGATTTAAATCAAGATTATTTTTCAGTTGATAGACCATATAAAGATTTAATGAATGAACCAAATCATGAATTAAACGAAACTGAAAACAAATACATATCATTAATTTCAAGAATTTTAAGTTTAAAAAAATTTAATGCAACACCAATAAATTATCAGGGACCAATTTCAAGAAACTTGTTAAATTTCAGAAGTTCAATTGAATTTGTGAATAAAAACTTAGCACAGACCATTGAAGTATTGATGACTGATTTAGTAGTACGTCAAGAAAAAAACAATGTAAAATTAAATTATAATAAAGATGATTGGTATAAATTAATAAATCAAATTCCATTTTTCAGAACTATGAATAATACAATAATGGGAATAATAAGTGAAATTTACTTTGAAATTGTTTTGAAAAAATTGAAAAATGGTTCATTACCAAAACCGGAAGCTATACATTTTGCAAAAGATCATTTAATTAATAATGTATTCCAAGTTCATTCAAGTACTCATAACATCAATGTACATGGTATAAATGCTATCACAGCTGATCAAATAGTGAAAGATTTTGATTCTGCTATAAGTTGGTGGGGTTTGTTTGCAAAATTCATGAAAGAAGTTAATAAAAATGATACTAAACTATGTTCTAATACTTTATTAAAAGAAGTTGAAGATGCTGATAAATTTCTCAAGGACTTAACTTAGGAGTTTTACTTTTTTTTTGTTTTTTTGAATGATTGCAGTCATAATGATGTTTGTAACTTGTACTTTATAGATAGTGATATTTACAATAAAAGTTCTGTTTTTGATTTATAACGGTTATTCGAGAACCAAACAAAATAATTTAATTTTTCAAAAATCCGATTCTTTTGAAATTTCTTATTTGCAGCAACAACAAAAAATGTCACTAAAGATACGGCAACTCAATCAATTGACAAAATGTTCACTTAGATCGTTAACAACAACATCAACTGATTCAGCAATACCAATATCAAAACCAAAAGTAACAGGATCAGGACCGTTCGCAGAATTTCCAAATTTCAAAACAATAGGAAACCCATCAAACATACTATCAGTATCCTTACCACAATCATCACAATTTTATATCAATACAAGTTCATTATTAGGTATAAATGGAGATTTAGACTCTATAACTTACAAAAGTTTTAATTTTTTTGGTAAATTTTTTCAAATTTTAAAGTCTTCCAAAAGTTCAAATTTAATAATTAATGGGAATTTAAATTACAAAATTTTAAAAATTAATAAAGAGTCAAATTGGAGTATCTATAATATAAATAAAATTGTAGGATGGTCAAGAGGCAGCTTGCAGTTCACACCAAAAAACGACACAAGTATCTTACAAGTCAAAGGATCAGGTAATTTAGTAATTAACGGAGGGGAAGTTTCCAAAATACTAGAATTTGAAATTGACCCCAAATCAGAAATACTAATAAACCCCATATCATTAATTGCCATAAATTCAGCTAATACAACATTGGAACCAACTATAATTACTCCAAATAAATATGAATTACATACTTTAGATCATACTTTTGAATGGCCTTCATGGTTAGTTCAACCAATTAAGAATTTTAATAAGTCAGTTAGGGAAGTGAGTAAAAAGACTTGGAAACCTGTTAAAGATACTTTTGAACCTGTCGCTCCTTATTTAAGACCAGTTTCTCAATTTTTGGGTAAAATTTGGAACTTTTTGTATCTGCATATAAATGGAAGGTTTATTAGAGCTAAACCAATTTACTATAAGATACAAGGTCCGTCCAAGATTTTAATTGATAATGAATTGATGATACCAAACAACAAAATGTTCACAAGTAAAGAGATTAATTATATTTTCAGTAAACAATAGCCGAACAATTCATAATATTTATACATTTTATATTTCATTATTACATTGTATCTTTATATATGTCATACTCTTACAATTCTTCTCCAAATAAATTACCTAATGCACCATTTTCAACAAATGGATCATTCATAACATCAGAATTCCCAGCTCCTACTTTTTTTCTTTTGGATATATTATCTAATTCTTTTTTTCTTTTATTGAGCTCTTCATTATCATTGAAATTTGAACCATTATCTTTCGAAGTTTTAATTAATTCTAATAGTGCTGATCTTTGATGTCTTATTGATTTTGAAGAAACTAGTAAATTTTCAAAATGTGAAATATCTTGTGGTTTAATATTTGGTAGATTTGCGATTAATATTCTTGCTGCGTAATCATTTTTGGATCTTAATTGACAATATAATGATGTTAATGCTATAGCTGCTTCTCCGTGAGTTTCTATAAAGTAATCATCCAATAATACTTGAAGTAATGCTTTTATCAAGTAATCACTTAGGAATTTATCAACTTCATCATCTTTCAAAGTTACTTCTGTTATTATATTTCTAATGACTAAAATTGTATTAAATGAACATTTTGTATCTTTAAAAGTTATAATGTGACAGCATATCTTTAAAAACGGAGCCAATACTTCTTTCTTCTCGATGACTAATTTCCTACACGCAAATTGAGTATCTGACATTGTTTTAGCATTGAATTGACCAACAATATCCATTAAAAGTCTAACAACAGTTGCAGTTAATTGTCTTAACATATGTTCTTCCATCATTTCTTCAGATAATGTTTCATCGTCTTCATTACCTTGTAGTTGTAATCCATTTTTATATACTCTATCCCATTTTGATACAATTAAATCATCAATATCATTCAATGCAGTTGGTAATAATTCACTCATAAATACTTCAACAAACTTTACAGGACAAAACTTTATAACAACTCTAAGACAACTATTTATCATATGTTTCCAAGAATGTAGTGTTACACCTACTGTATCGCCTGCTACAGCTTTCCAAATCATTGATGCTATATTGGGTATTTCATATAATGTATCTTCTAATTGAGCTAATGAACCAACTGTTAAGAATGCATATTCTCTTGTATATCTGATTAAATGTCCCACAGAATCAGCAAAATCTCTTAATGTCAAAGCAGCTTTCACATTTTCTTCTATAAAAGTTTCTTTTGATTGGATTGATACACCTTGTTGCCAAAATCTTTCAGTACAACTATATTTAACAAAACTTTGAACTTCAGCTGGTAAGTCTGTCCAATTTGCTGGATCATGATATGCTTGAATTTGAGTTAATAGTTGTAATACATGAGGTACAATAGGTTGAACTCTTGGTTTCCATAATTTCAATAAATTTAAATATTCCGGCAGTTCATGATTTAATTTTTCTATACTATATTGAATAAAAATTCTAGTTGCTCTTATGGGGAATATGGAACTCCAATGATCTTTCAAATTTGTTTTTAATTGTTTACCTTCATCATCCATTGTAGCTTCTAAAAGATTTGTAGTTGCAGTGATACCTCTTTTTTGAAAATATGATGCAATTTGTACTATACCAATTCTTTCCATAAACCAATGTAAATCCATTAAGCCCTTTTCGGTTTCTGGTGCTGACCAAGCAGCTAAATCCGGATCAACAATTTTAGCAAATAAGTCATTTTTATCATCAATTGATGATCTTGAAGCAATTACTAATAAAAATGATTTGAAAGCGACATTTTCGTGTTCACTAACTTTTTTTGACGATAAAATATTAGCAACAACATTTTCTAAATCATTAAATATTTTTTTTAATGCTTCTGGCATTATATAAGCTAATCTATTTAATTCAGTACCACAACTTGCTCTTAAATCTCTTATTAATTCCATATCATCATCTGAGATATTTGGTGGGTATGGGAATGTAGCTGTTGTTAAAATCTTTTCCAATATTTGAAACATTAATCCACTATTAACATCTTTTAAAAGTGGTGCAAATTGAACTAATGTTTGAACTTGTCTTCGTATTATCAAAGGTGATGCTAAATTCATTGCTAATAATCTTTCACCCAATTGTATAACTAGTTTATATAATCTATCATTAATTTCATCAAAATCTTCTCCGTTATACCAAATTTTCCATCTCGATATACCTCTTATACTATTTTCAATAGTATTAAATTGTGAAGATCCATAATTGAATGCTTTTGATTTTTCATCAATGTTGTAATTATTAATACATTGATTTCCAACTTCTGAACTGAAAAAATTTTGTAATCTATTTTCTAACCATAATAATCCATCTTCTGGTTTTTTACAAACTGTTATTCTTATAATGTCTTCATTGAATTTTCTATAATTTTGTAAAAAACTTGTTGCATCAGGTGTTGAATCAAAGTCGACATCAAAGAATTTCTTGGAAACATGCTCATCATCCAATAAGAAATTTATAGTTCTATCAGCTGCAATATCCAATAACTTCATCATAACGTTTATAATTTGTGGTTTAGCACTTAATTCATCATATCTTAGTATTGTTACCCACATCTGTAGTGATAATCCACTAATGATTAAACTTGGATGATCAGTTGTTCTCAAAACTAAACTAAGATATCCATCAACCTCACTTCGACTCCAATCTATTTTATGTTTGGAAGATATATTTAAATATTCACTCAATGATACAATCATTTCCACTGTTTTTTTCAATAACGAATAAACTTGTTCATCAATATCATCTGGATCTAATTGTAATGATTGATAGAATTGTGATAGTTTGTTGATACCTTCCGTCGTGAAAATTGAACCTATAAAAAAATCAAAATCTTCATCTTGTGAATAAGTTCTGGTGAATATAATATGTAGACAATCAACTGCTAGAGTTTTGATTTTGACATTATTTATAGTTAATAGATTTATTAAAGTTTGCATAATATTTTGTTCTCTTAGTACTGATGGATGAACCCAGTGCAAACAGGTTTTAAAAGTTCCTAAAATTTTGGTGATAAATCTTTGAAAATCATCATTATTATAATCGTTACTTGATATGATTTCTTGTAAAAAATTTGACCATGTAATAAACCATCCATCAGTTGATGCTTTGCAGATTGTAATATTTGCGTTATTTTCATATATTAAATCCAAAACTTTGTTTGGCGTTACTATTAATACAGATAATTGGTTTAGTATAACACTATTCTTCGACGCTATTGGATCATCCAATAAGTAAATATCTTCAAAAAATGTTCTTATTATTATTAATGATAATTCACGACATGTTATATTACTATTCCATAAATTCCATAAATCTGAATCCAAAGAAACCCAACCATCTTCAGCTTCTTGCGCTGTCACGTTATGTTTTGAAGATGATGTTGATGATTTTCCATTTTCTTCATCATTTCTTGTATTAATAGGCAGAATATTTTCAGTTTCTTCTTGATCTTCTCTAGTCTTAATAAGATAACAACCCCAAATTCTTTTAGCTAATGCAACCCATAAAAATGCAATTTTTTCTTTAATATAATGAGGATCGTTATTTTCAACTTTATTTGATAATTCAATTATCCAATTTTTTATTGCAGATATTTTTGTTGAATCAAATGTATGAAATTTATATCTTATGGACCCTTGTAATAATGATAGACCAAAATGCCTTACGATATAATTTGATCCATTATTTTCTGGTAATGCTAATTGAAATCCCCAATAAGGTGATTCATCATTTGATTTTATAGTTTCTAAGAATTCTTGTGCTTCTCTTCTTTGTTGATTTGTTGATTTTGGATCATAAACTAAATTTAGAGCTGATATAATTTGTTGAACACCTCCACTATCCATTATATAATTATGAGAATTGATTTGTCAATTGATACGTAATGATGGTTTGCTATGATGATAAAACAAGTAAGAAGTATAAATTATAAGTAAAATTATAAGAATTTGTTATACGATTGAGTGTTGTAAATATTGTAATGGAAATGTTTTAAATGAGAAAAATAAACCCTCAAATTGAATAATGAGATTGAATAAATGATTCAATGTAAAATTAAAGTAGTAAGATTATTGTTTATTAGTAATATGAAAATAGTTAGTAGGTATAAGGTTGGTTATGAATTGATTTGATTTAAGATAAAAAGTCCGAAAATTGAATGATATATTTATAAATTGGTTGTAAAAAAAAATATAAATAAATAATAGTTAATGTTATGGTGAGAATATTGTTGTTTTTTTATTTATAATTTTTATTTAGATTTTTATTTATTAATAAGATTTGAATTTCACGCAATTTATTTTAGATTTACGCATCTTTATTATATAAAGAGAATATCAAGATTGCAAATTATACTTGAAATCAAGTAATTAAATTATAATATGTTTAAGAATACCAGCGGGATGGTGGCTACAATTAAGTAGGATTCATTGTATCTCTCATAGAGAAAATCATTATTCTATGCAAATTATCTATTGTAATATAATCATTTCAAATTTGGAACAAATATATACACAATAATCTATAAATAAAACTTCTTTTTATCTCTTTCCATATCAGGTTTAAATTGCCAAACAACATCACCTCTTATTCCCTTTTGCATTCTTCTTAATTTCAAAGTAAATTGAGGACCTAATTCTTGTAATCCAACTTTTTCTTCATTTCTAAATACATATCTATGTCTTCTTAAAAAAATATAATCTCTTTGATTATGTAATGTAATAACTTGTCTACCTTGAATTTCTGGTTGATGTGGAAAAATTGATTGAAATAATCTACCTATAGTTTTACCTAATCTTGTATTAAAATTATTTAATACTAATTCTGGTATATGATCAGTTGCTCTACCATGACCTTTTATTCTTTTACCATCTATTATTGAACTTATTGAGAAATAGAATGTTGGGCCCTCTGGTAAATTTATTATTGTTAATCCTGTTACTTTTTTTTTATCTTCATTTATAATCATTAAAGTTGTAAAATTTCGATTTGAACAAAATTCTGACATTTGATATATATCAAATTCTTTTTTCCTTTTTATAAATGTTACATTTGGTAAAAAATCCATTAACATATCTGCAAATTCATAAGCTGGTTTTTTAGCTCCAATAGATGTAGTTATTAATATCTTGGGTTCTTTTGTTAAATTTTGAAAATATTCTTCAAATTCATCATTTCCTTCAATTTCTTGAGTAATTGTCTCATCATATATTCTTTTAGAATCTATTGTGTCCGGTATATTTTGAGCAATTCTAATTTCTCTTAATTCTGGATTTAATCTTTCTTCTTCTGCTCTTTCTGCTCTTACTTTATGACGTTCTTTATCTTTTTGTTTTTTTATATTTGTATATACTTGTTGCCTTCTTTGTTTATTCTTTATATTCTTTAATGCTTCACTCGTCGTACTCATTGTTGTTGTTGTTGTTATTGTTGTGTAGGTGGTTGTAGTAATCTGATTAAAGAGATGAGATAAGTTTCAAATGTCTTGAAGTACAAAAATTCAAATTTTCCCTGTTTGAATAACAAACACAAAAACATGAGTTCTCGAATTTTATAAATACCAAAATCATTAAATAACTTCAAACAGAAGTGTTCTATCAACAACTAATATAATGATTCAATATAAATAGTACCTATGACCAAAATATCGAAAGACATAATAAACAATTGGTCAAATCTTATAAGACAAAAAGTTTTTAAATTTAAAGATACAAATTCAATTGGTCCACAATCAAATTTGTTAACCCTACTAAATCAAATATTAAAAATAACTACTGATAAATACGAAATTAGTTCAAAAAATTGGTTCAATGGATTTAATTTCTTGTTCTGCAATCAAGACAACGTCAACGTAGGTAGTGATGGATACGATAATTATCAAGCACCAGTTGATTCAAATAATCATCAATTATTCTTGAGAAGATTATGGGTAAAAGGTGATTTGAATTTTTTACAACCTTCACCACCAATTAATTCAAGTCTTGAATGTATTGAAAAAATCAAGAATGTTAGATTTATAAACGAAAATGTATTTGTACAAATTGAAAGAAAATTTTATGAGCTATTGAAAATTAATGGAAATAATGAAAAAAGTAGTGAGGATAATTTAAAATTAATTGAGAATAGAGTAATGATGTATACTAATCAACTATATCATCAATCACCACCACCAACGGAGGATTCAAAAATTAGTATAAAAAGTGATGAAAAAATTTCAATAAAATTTAAAATATCACCAATTGATTTATTAAAATATAGTATGTTAACATATAATTTACATAAAATTCATTATGATTTTAAATATGCCCATTCAATCGAAAATTTACCAGCTCTTTTAGTTCACGGTCCACTACAAATCACATTATTATTATATTACTTCCAACACAAGTACCCTAATTTAACACCAAAAAATTTCACATATAGAACTTTTCAACCATGTTTTTGTGGTGATGAAGTGGGGATAGTTATTGAAAAACTAAGTAGTGAAGTTGGGGTGAAAAAATTAATAAATCAGTTTGAACAAAAGAAAGAAGATGGTGAGACTGAAGAAGAAGTGTTTTTTGAGTTGAGTTTGATTAATGTTGAGACTGGTAAGGCTTATATGAGAGGTAAATTAATATGCTAACAATATTTGATGCCTTATAATTTATAATTGTATATTATGTAATGAATGAATGAAATTAATTTAGAGGTATTTGTATACGTAGTTTACTTAGTTTCAATGAGGATGCTTTCTCAGTGAAATTGTTTTCCTTTTTTTTTTATCCAAAACTAGACTATTGTAAACTTTATTTGTAACAGTTTTGCAACCGAAAAAATTAAAAAAAAATCTATTTTAATACAGCATCTAAATAGAAGAACAAAAACTATTTTTAGGCTTTCATTTTACACAATCTATTATATTATCCAAATATATCATAAATCTAAAGTAGCTCTAACTTTCCCAATACAATAATCCAAATATTCCTTTTTATAACCTTCATGATTTAAACTAACATCACCAGCTAATTCACTAATAATTTCATCATTACCACCAACTAGTACCATTCCACGAGGCATACTTGATAAATCAGGAATAGGTTCTACCACTATTCCATCAAAGATTAAACTTGTAATGTTATTTGAAGTTTGACGACCGAAAAATGCTGCCCATCCTGCTGATTTTATAATGGGGAAATTTACTAGATCTCCTAAAACGAAAAAATAGGGGATGGTAAGTATTGAATTATCTAATTGTAAATATTCATTTGTTTGGATTTGATTAGTTGATGAAATGAATTGATTTTGTAATGATTTTGATAAGTATTGTAAATTATTATATTTTGAATTACACCAAATATTTAAATTTGAATTTATAATTTTATCAGTTGTTGTCGTCAAATTCCCATTGGATTCTTCTTTTGCAATTCTAGTGTTTAGATAAATGTTTACTCCACATTTTTCAATAGATTCTTGGACCATAGTTTTGAATTCGACGCTTAATGGTTCATTAGGAAATAAATCATGTGGATGGATTAAATTAATACATTTTTGGGGAAATTTTGTTGCTATATCACCTGCAATTTCTATACCTACTGCTCCTGCACCAATAACTGATATTGTTTCAGCTTCAGATATTTTATTGTAAGCATTGGACATTTCATTTTGGAAAATTTCAAAAGTTTGAGATTTAGGGGTTGTAGGCCAATTTCGATCCCTACCTGATGCCATTATCACAAAATCATATTCGATTTCACCAATTAAATTTTCAATTTTTGGATCTTCTTGTTCTGGAGTGGTGGTATTTAATTTATATTTTGCTATTGTAGTATCTAAAAATGTACATTCACCTTGTACGTAATTTATTTCTATAAAATTAGACCATTCTTCTAGGTTGTTAACGTACCAAGAATCATCAAATTTTTGATTATTAGATATAATATGATTGAATCTTAAATGATCTAATTTATTAAATGGTATATATTGAGTTTCTGAAAATTTCAAGTCTACTATACATTTAGGTATACCTAAAATATTTAAAAATCCATTTCTTGGTTCAATTAAAGTTATTGAAATCTTTTTTTGAGAGTTGGTTTGTTTTAATTCTTTTAATTTTGATGTTAGATTTAGTTGTAATGCTCTTATGGCTGATAATCCAGCATAGGACCCTCCTATTACTAAAATATTTGTTTTGAAATTTTGAGGCTTGTTTGAGAATTTCAATAATTGTATACTGTTTGTTAATAATTCTTCATAAGATTTAGTAGCTGGTATTGGATTATTATTTATGATATTATTACTACTTATAGTCAGCATTGATCTAGTTCCTATATTATTTATTGGTTTTAAAAATTTCTTTGTTGCTTTAAAACTATTCAAATTAATTTGATTTTTAAATAATCTGCCAAAATATATTTTATTAGTGTACATAGTTAAAAATTATTTATCTTTTCCATCAATTTTATCAATTTAATATTTTTATTTTTTATTTTTTTTTTTTTATTTTTTTTTTTTTTTTTTTTTTTTTTTTTTTTTTTTTTTTTTCGCTGCGATTAAACTCATTTATATACAGAATCATTCCCGATTCGGAATCATTTGCGATTTATTGAATTTTTCAAATATCGGATTTTTTTATTGTATAGCCTTATGCATTCCGATATATACAGAACAATTTTTCATTAACAACTGACCAACTGTGAATTTAAATAAAAACAATACGCTTTCAATTGATTATATAATATACACATCTAGAAGTTATTCATATTCAACAATGACTTCTCCAAATTATTCTAAAAATTTAAAAATAAAAGTAGTAAAAGTACTTAAAAACAAAAATAAACAAATCATATTTGGACCAATTTTATCACCATAAGCAACTGGATTTTTCTCTCTAATGTTAATAACTCTCCAAATATATCTATAAATAGCATAAGATAAAGTAAATAAAGCAGTTATAAAAAATCCAATACTTGCAGTTAATGCAGAATTTGTACCATAATTTAATAAAGTTGTAGCAGTAAATCCTAATAACATTCCAATACTAATCCAGCTTAAAAAAGTTCTTTCATTAGCAAAATAAACTTTTGGTTCAATTCTAATTGGAACACAAATAGTTTTACCTTTTGGTAATTTATCTTTAAAAGTTGAATTTAAATCATAATTTGTACCTGCTTTTACAGTAAATGTTCTATCATCATTAAAATAATGTAAAAATTGTCCATATAAATGATAAAAGAAATTTTTAATTGGTGAATTTGAAGTTCTTGAAGTATATGTAGATGGTAATAATAAAGGAGTTTGTTCATCTAAATCATCTTCTAATGGATTTGTATCATTTGAGAAATGTACACCAGTATATGAACTTCCGGTAAATTCTTCTTCATCTAATTCATTACCACTTGTACTTGAACCCAATCTACTTTGTTGTTGATTTTGATGTCGTTGAATACCATATTCTTCAATGATTTTTGGTTTTCTAATATCAACATCCATTTGAGTATACCAAAATGGTAATAAATCAACATAATCAGTTAATAAAGTAGCACCACCATGTATAAATTTTGAAAATTTTGGTACTGCTTCAACTAAATGAGAACTAATTAATTCTCTAATCCAAGCTGGTGGTTCTTGACCTAATTGAGTTTGTAATTTAACTTCTAAAACAGCATAAGGAAATCTACAAACATCTTTTTCACTTAATTGAGGAAATGGATAATCAACTCCAATATCAGTTCTTCTCCAATTATTGTGAGTTCTATCATATCCATCAAAATCATCTTCTCTAACCATTGTTAACTCAGTATCTAAAGAAATTCTAACTCTTGCATCACCAGGTAATTGGAAAGCTGTTCTATTATAAAAAGATCTCATAACTGGTCTATATTTTTCTTTTAAAATTCTATATTGAACTTCTTGAGCTAATCTTTCTAAATTTTCAATTTCTTGTGGTGATTTTTTACCTTCTTTTCTCATTTTATCAAATACTTCACTTGCTTTTAAATCTCCTGTTAAAAAAGAATTAACTTTTTTCTCCTTTAAACAAAATCTTGCTTTGACTGATTTTTCACCAGTCCAATCTTCTCTATGAGTTTTTCTTTCAACAAAAATTTGATCACTTTTCATACCACCATACCATCTTAATCTAATAGCTTCTGCACCTTCATCTTTTCTCAATCTACCATAATATAAATCCATATCTTTATTATCAAAATAAATAGAAGTAATAGCAGAATCTTCAGGTTCAAATTCTTTATCAGCATTAAAAACCAAAACAGGTAAATGTTTCAATATAATTAATTTTAATTCAGTAATATTATCTGGATGAACCCAATATTTTGTAGTTTGTCTAACAAAATTTTGTTGAGAACCACCAGCTGATGAATCACCTTTTATTGGATTACCTCTTGTTCTAACTAAATCATATAATTTAGATAATTTAACAATTAAATTATCATAATTATCTTTATAAAAAGGTTTTGAATTTAATCTTGCTTGGAAAACAGGTTTCAAATGAAAATGAGTTGTTTTATCATGTTTTTTAATAATTTTTTGAAATCCAGTATAATTTAATCTTGTAAATTTAGCTAAATCATGAACATCAGCAATAATATCAGATAATTCTTCTTCTAAATCTTCAAAATCTTGTTCTTGTGGAGGATTTTGAACTAATGGATCATTATTTTGATATCTATGTAAAGAATTAACAACTTCATGAACATATTTTTCACTTTCTTTAATTCTTCTATTAACTTCAGTATTTTTAACTTTTGTAAATGAATAAACTTTATCTAATTCAATTTCTAATTGATTTAAAAAATCTTCTTCTAATTCATTATTCCATATATAATCATTATCTTTTAAACCTTTTTTCAATTGATGTTTTAAATCATCATATGATATATAATAAAATGAATAATTTTTAATTAACGCTTTTCTTAAATGTTCACCAAATTTCATTTATTCTAAGCGATTGTAAATTGAACTGATTTTAAATATATTATTAAAATGTTGTCGATAATGAATGTAATATAAAATTATGAATTGAAAATTAATATAAAATTTGAATCGATGGTTGTAAATATGTATATGATAAAATAGAAACTGTTTGCTTTTTAATATTAATTTATTATTTAATTTTGTGTTAAGATAACAGAAATATATATATAAATTTCAATTAATAATTATAGTCTTTAAATATGTGCCAAATATTGAAATTAATTAGGTAATGATTAATTGATGAATGTTGATATTCTAATTGATTGTATAAATTTTATAATTGAACAAAATATTTTCAATTATTAAATTTTAAACAAATAAGATTTAATTTAATCTCTGAAAATTTATAAGATTTATTTCTTATAAGATTAAGTAAGTCAATTATAAGTATTAAATTAATTAAATTGGACCAAATAACTAATTAGTAAGTTAATGTTACATTTTCTTTTTTACATAACAATTATGAAATGATAATAAATTAGCCTTGCACGTGGTGGTAAGAAGATAATTTAATTATATTTTTAAATAATAAATACGAGAATTCTCGATATTTGAAAAAATCATGTGGTAGTAATGAGTTATTTCGGCAGCTGGTAGCGAACTTCATCAATTTTGAATATAATTACACCATTAAAAAATTAAAAGTTACTGAAAAATATTAAAACATTATATTGATAAATCTATGAGTAAAATAAAAAAACATAACATAGAGTAACCAATAATAAAACATTTGGGTTGTATGAGGTATTTGATTTAGGTACTACTAATATTTTTAAATTTTTTCAGAACTATTGAAATCTAGACGAAGTAAATCTTCAATTACGTTTAACGATATATCCAAATGCTTTAGTGAAATCGGAAGTATTTGAACACATAAAAATGCATAGCAAATATTATAATCAGCGATAACAAGTTTTTTTAAGATAGTAAGTTTAATAAATTTACCAACACTGGTATGAAAATTATAATTCCCAAATCCAAAAATAATAGTTCGTATTCGCTACCACTTAAAGTTTCAGAAAAGCTCGACTTAATATTTGTGCCATGTTTTAGAATGAAATATCCCATTGATTGTACATTGGATGCATTATATTCTGGGCACCAGTTGTTGGTAAAGCCACTTGGTTCATTTTCAGTGGCTTGTATACATAATTTATATCCATTTTCATTCAAAAATAAATCAAGCTAGAGCCAAACACATTATTTTAGCTTATTCTCATCATTTTACCTTATTATTCATAGTTGAAAAATAAACCCACAAGTTATCAAATTGTAGTTGATGTCCTCAATATGATTGTTGATGCACACTATTATGAAGATTTTAAATTTGAATATCAATTGCCTTGAGAAAGGTAAATTTAGCATAAAACTTCACCTTCTTATTTCTACGCTCATTGATAGTACGAACCAATAAGTTATGAATTTCTAATGGTAGATCCACCACACAAACCTATGTCAACAAAATTTCATTCTTCGCAAAATCAACCCAATATCTTTCTTGGGCCACTTTGAATTATAAATGGAGGATAAGTTATAAGTTTGATCTGTAAATTGTAACTTGTCCTGAAAACATAATTAATGACTCTCGTTTCAAACTAAGAGAAGGAACTGATTTTTTTGCAAAATTGGGATATTCTATATGTGGTTTTTATATTCCGTTCACGTGCCAAGGATATTATTTACCGAAATATATCCATACATACATAAAGATAATATGGAGTTAAGTATTATCGGATCATTATAGTAAGTCAACTAAGTAGTGTCGGTGTTTTACACAAGTATGAATGACTATCTCGTTCATTGACTTAATACAAAATACTAAATAAAGTAAAAACAATCAGAACACAATAAAATATTTCCAAATAAAGAACTAAATATAAAACCAAAACATGTGATTGAAATCCACACATTAAAAAAAAAAAATTCAAATATCAAAAATCATCATTTCAATCTTGATTGTTTTCAGCTTGATCTTTTAAAGCTTCATTAAATTCAATAAAAGATTCTTGAGTTTTATTATATAAACCAAATAATTTAAAGATAATTACCAATAACCCACTAAATTGTTCCAGTTGACTAAAAACAGTTCTTGTATTATTATCAATCAGTTTTAATTCAAATTTATGAATACCTGTAAAAATCCATTCATTTAACATAATCCCTTTCCATTCTATTAAATTTTCTTCAGATTTTAAAATTTTAGGATAAATTGTGCTTGTATGATTCATACCTTTTAATTTTATATCAATTTGTAATTCATCACCTTGATTTAAATCTTGTACTTGTTTATTTGTATATTTTTGGAAACTTACAAAAAATGGATTCCATTTTGAATATGATTTATAATCACGAAATATTGATCTTACTTTCTCAATTGGAGCTTGAATAATAATATGAGTTTCAACTGTTGTCATTTTAGATTCAATTGTTATTTATCAAATTCTAATTTCAAATGTTTTGATAATAATATGTTCATAATATATGATAAAATTAAAGTTTAATTTCATTTAATGATAAGGTTTTTTTGATTAGAGAATGCAAATTAAAGTAATTAAACTAACTAAACTAAAAAATAAAATACGGATATATGAAAGCACGTGAAATACGGATGAAACATATCTATTTATTATTTTTATTTTTAAGTTACGAAAAGATCTTAACTTTATCTTCAACTATAAGCTTGTTTCTATTAATTGTATTTGTCATCATAATCTAAATTCTTTAAGCGAATCAGATTTAAAATTTGATTTGTAATGAATGTTTTAATTGAATTTCTTACCAAAAGATTCAAATTTGTTTCTATATATAGATATTAAATATATACTGAATACTTCGTAAATACGTTTTTGTTACTTCTAATTGCTCGGTGCAAATAAAACGATTTATGGAAGATTTGGGGTCAGGTTAAATTTAATTTTCAAAATTTTCGTTAATTGAAGTGAATCCAAAAAGATGAATAATCTGAAAGTTATATAAATTTTGCAACTTTAATCTATTACTTCTTTACACAAAAACGGTTTGAACTTCAATCTTATTAAATATTATAATGCATTTCAAATTCAATTCAAATGTATGGTCTAGTCTAATTGAAGAGTGATAAATAAAAGTTATTAAAATTTCGAGCTCAGGATTATGTTAAATATATTGCTATTAAGTTTACTTTGCTCATTCACACTTGCATTCCCGTTCCAATTACCTTTTAAATTTTCTTCAGATGAACAACAACCAAAGAGCTCAATTCACACAATTTCAGAATATCCTACTCATACGCTATCAACTAATTCAATTCAGTCATTAGGATTAGAAAAACCTGAAATTGGTCAATATGCTGGATACTTTAAATGTGGTCTTACAGAAAATAATATGTTTTATTGGTTTTTTGAAAGTAGAAATAATCCAGATACAGACCCATTAATATTATGGTTAACTGGTGGACCGGGTTGTTCATCAAGTTATGGATTATTTTTTGAATTAGGTCCAAGCTCAATTGATGTCAATTTAAAACCCGTGTACAATAATTTTTCTTGGAATTCAAATGCTTCCGTTATATTTTTGGATCAACCAACAGGTACTGGATTTAGTTATGGAGGTATACCTGCTTTAAGTACAGATACTTTAACTCAACAAATATATGTATTCATTGAATTTTTCTTTGATAGATTTCCTAATTTTAGAAAGAATAAATTTCATATCGCTGGTGAATCTTATGCTGGTCATTATATACCTAACTTATTACATCAATTAAAGAAAAATTGGCATACTATTACTTTTAAAGTTGAGTCAGTGTTAATAGGGAATGGTATAATTGATCCTTTAATTCAAATTGGCGCATATGAACCAATGGCATGTGGTAAAGCTGGGTATAAGAAATTACTAAATGATTCGGATTGTCAATATATGATTGATAAATATGAAGTTTTTAAAAAATATGATAAATTTTGTTACATTACAGGTGAATTATATTCATGTGTTCATGCAAGAAAGTTAGGTAAAGAAATTTCAGAACCTTTTAATAAATTAAATTTAAATCCGTATGATATTAGAAAAAAATGTATTGCGAATACTTCAGACTGTTATTTAGAATCACAAGCAATCGATAAGTACTTAAACCTACCCGAAGTCAAATCTGTTATTGGAGTGAGTCAAAATTTGGAATTCAAAATGTGTAATGATGAAGTAGCAAAACCATTTGAATGGTATGGAGATAATATGAGACCATCGCAACAATACTTAAAAGAAGCACTTGAAGTTGATAATACCCCAGTACTTATTTATTCTGGTGACAAAGATTATTTATGTGGATGGATTGGTTTACTTGAGGTATGTGATAAATTAAAATATGAAGGATTTGTAAAACAACCCATTCAAAATTGGATAACTTTAGATGGTGAACTTGCTGGACAAGTTAAAAATTACAAGAAATTGACATTTGTAAGAGTTTTCAAAGCTGGCCATATGGTACCTTTTGATCAACCTAGAAATAGTTTAGATTTATTAAATAGATGGATTAATGGTGATTATACTTTATCCAATTAATTTAAAAACCAAGAATATACAAAAATACGAAAGTAGACGATAGACTTTATTCCTATTTCATTCAAATTGTTTTGAACAATAGCTTCAATTAATTATTGAAGACGTGCTTCTAAAAATTTTACTTAAATTACTATCTCGATTGAAGTACATTTGATAAACAATAATTAAACTTATCCACGGAAATGTTTATCGATATCTTCAAATAATTATTATAGACGTGCTCTTGAAAATTTTACTTAAGTTATCATCTCGATTGGGGTACATATAGTAAACAATTATATAACTTATCCATGGAAATGTTTATCGATGTTTTGTTCTAAAGACTCATAATCCCATCCTTGCATGTTCTCTAGATTTTTACCTTCATTTGTACTTCTCATAACCAAATTTGTGCCTCATTATTAAGTGGTAATTTTAAAATAGATAAAAAAGATAAGATAAAGAAAAAAATTAACATGTTTACAAAAGTGATTGTAAAAAAATATATTCTTCTTACAACCGAGTTAAATCCTTTTTTGACAAAAAATTGCAATTAGGTTGTGTTTTACAAACAATTGTTCTAAAAATAACCATTAAAGTCAAGTTCTTTCTATTTATTATCTTTATATAAATCACAAGGTTAGCTTGTTATCAACTAATTTTAAATTTATCAAATAATCATCAACAATCAACACTTATGAAGTTACCAATCATAGTATCACTGTTGTTAGCAGTAACTTATGCAACTCAATTACCATTTGAATTACCAAACCTTGATGATGAGTTCAAAGCAATGGTCGCTGAAGATGATGTCTATAGAGGCTTATCAGTTCAAGACTCAATTAATTTAAATAAGGAGTGGATTAAAAATGAAATCAAGTATGGTAAATCAAGATTATTAAAATACTATTTAAATTTTAAACGAACATTTTCTAAACCTAAAACCAATTTAAATTATAAATTAAAACAATTAGATTCATCACCAGAATTATTAGGATTTGATTCAGTAAAACAAATCTCAGGTTATTTTTCAATAGAAGAAACAGAAAAAGAATTTTTTTATTGGTTTTTCGAAAGTAGAAATGACCCTAAAACTGATCCTTTAATTTTATGGTTATCAGGAGGACCAGGATGTTCTTCAAATATTGGATTAGCTATGGAATTAGGTCCATCAATGATTAATGCAACTATTCAACCTGATTTTAATCCATATTCCTGGAACTCAAATGCGTCTCTTTTGTTTTTGGATCAACCTGCAAGTGTTGGTTATTCAACTGTTGGTGATCCATCTGAAATTCCATTTACTACTGAACAAGCATCTATTGATTTTGTTAATTTTGTTAAATTATTTAGAGAAAAATATCCTCAATATGCTAGTTTAGATTTCCATATTGCTGGAGAATCATATGCTGGTCATTATATTCCAAAATATGCATCAAGTGTAGTAGAAGCAGAAATACCATTAAAATCAATTTTAATAGGTAATGGAATAACAGATGCTTTAGTTCAAAGTAGTGAAACAGCAAATATGGGTTGTGGTAAAGGTGGTATTGGTAAAATATATACTGATGAAGAGTGTGCAAATTATGATGCAAATTATAAAAATTTTGTCCCATTTGGTGAATTATGTTATGCACATCCAAATCCACTAACTTGTTTCGTAGCAGCATTAGCCGTACCTAATAGTCCAGATATTGGAGATTTAAATCCTTATGATTCAAGAATAAAATGTGGTGATACTCCATTATGTTATAAACAAATTGGATATATTGAAGAATATTTTAATTTAGATTTAGTACAAAAATCATTAGGAGTTGATAAAAATTTCACAGCTTGTAATCAAGAAGTTGGATTACATTTTCTTGTTGCTTTTGATGGAATGAGACCGTATCAACAATACGTGGCCGAATTATTAAACAAGGAAATTCCAGTATTAATTTATGCTGGTGATAAAGATTTAATGTGTGATTGGTTAGGTAATTTAGCATGGGTTAATAAATTAGAATATAATGATCATGAACATTTTAATAGTACGGAGTTTGAACCATGGATTACTTTAGGTGGTAAAGAAGCTGGTGAAGTTAAAAACTATAAACATTTTACTTATTTAAGAGTTCATGAATCGGGTCATATGGTTCCTTTAGATCAACCTGAAAATGCTTTGGATATGGTAAATAGATGGATAAGTGGTGATTTGTCATTTAAAGAATAAAGTACCGAGTTCATAGATTCATAGAGTTATATTTAAATTGTTCAGGTAATGCTTAATGCCATAATTTATTATATTATTTATTCTTTTTTATTTTTGATAAGTTTCTTAACCAATCTTCTTCAGTAAACAAGTTTGTTTTGTAACACAAGTTCAGCAAAATCAAAGGTTCAAATTCAAATTGAAAACTTGACAACGACTTGCTTATATAAATTAATTGAAGTATCAATCCGTCGGTATTATTTTGATCATTCGCATCATTCTCTTGGGAAAAATACTTCTTCATTTCTTCACACAATTGTATCACCAAACTAGTTATGAATTGGTTTAATAGTATCACATTTATATCATTTTTGAATATTGAGTGGTATAATGAAAGTGAAGAATATAAATATTCTCGATAAACTTCCAAATATCTCTTTAAGTAAGTTAATTTATTGAATTTTAGTATTGGGTATAAACTTAAAATTTCATTATTGATTAATTTAAATCTTGAGTTTAAGAAGATCAAGTGTAAGAAAGAATCATTATTTTGATTGGTTTCTAATTTGTTCAAAATTTGGAAAATTTTAAATAAATTTAATTGTTTTAGATTAGTATTTAATAACTTAATTAAACCATTAAACATTATTTGTAATTCATGTTCGATGGAGTTGTTAATGATTTTAAATATTTTGATCTTTGGAAACCTTATAATCAATGATTTTATAAATGTTGATATTTCTAAACTCTCTTGATAATTTCCTTGAAGTATAAATAATTTACAAAGTATTGGTAGTTCTAAAATATCTAAAATTGAGTCCATGTTAGATAGTATGACTTCGTATTTATTTGATTGATGTTGAATATGAGGTTGGTCTATATTTAGACTTTTAAGTAACGATTCAATTGAAGTTACATAGTCGTTGCTTAAGTTTCCGTAAATTTCATTTATATCATGATTAACATCAATTATTAAATCTTTATTTGTATCTGTGATTGAGCTTAGTTCCTGGTTTATTTTAAATTTTTGAGAATCTAATTCTGCTATTTCTTCAACTATTGTTTTTTTGGAGAAGGATGTAGTTGTAAATTGATCAGTTGATAATAATTCATCATTTATTAGTAAATCTTGTAGATATTTTTCAGCTGAATTTTGTAAATTTTTGTCATTTTGTAATAATGATTGAAATGATGGATCTAAGTCTGCTTGTAATTGATTTAGTAGTATCAGCGACATTACTAGAGGTTGATTATTTGATTTTGATCTGTTAATAGTATAATCTGTTATTCTGTAAGTTTTCATATTTCATGTATGTACTTGAACAATTTACACTACTAACAAAATGATAAATGTTACAAAGTTTCGACTTTTGATTATCTTTAGCAATTGATATTGAAACCTCACTACGCAATCAACTACAATTCAACAAATCTAACCAATTAACCTTTAATTAACAACCTCACAATTCAATCACAATGGAGGGACTTTTTTTCAATATAGATTATGGATACGTTGAAGGGGTAGTTCGAGGATATAGAACAGGATTACTTACATCAAATCAATATGTTAATTTAACACAATGTGATAATCTAGAAGATTTAAAATTACAATTATCTTCAACAGATTATGGGAATTTTTTAGCTAATTACTCAGGACCTTTGAGTACTTCAGTATTACAAGAAAATTTGAATAAGAAAGTTTATCAGCAATATCAATATATAAAAACTCAATCTTCAGGAATATTAACTGAATTTATGAATTATATTCAATACGGGTACATGATTGATAATGTTATATTAATGATCACAGGAACATTACACGAAAGAAACAAATCAGATATCTTGAGAAAATGTAATCCTTTAGGTTGGTTTGATACATTACCTACATTGACAATAAGTACAGATATTGAAAGTTTATATTCAACGGTATTAATTGATACTCCATTAGCACCATTTTTCAAAAACTGTATAAGTGCAGATGATTTAGATGATTTAAATATTGAAATAATTAGAAACAAATTATATAAAAATTATTTGGAATCATTCATGGAATTTGTACAAACTAAATTTTATGGACCAGATAAAGAAATAATGACAAGATTAATTACTTTAGAAGCTGATAAAAGAGTTATCAATATTGCATTGAATTCAACAAATAATCAAGAATTATCAATTGAAGATAAATTAAATTTATTTCCCAATTTAGGTCAATTATACCCTACATACCATTTAGAATTAGCACAAGCAGATGATTTTGAACAATTAAAAATTATTATTGAAAATATAGGAGATTATCAAGATTTATTTAATGATAATAACGATAAATCTTTAGGTGATTGGTTCTATTTGTTAGAGATGCAATTTTGTAGAGATGCTTTTACTCAACAATTTACTTTATCTACTGTTTATGCTTGGTTAAAATCAAAAGAACAAGAAATTAGAAATATTACTTGGATTGCTGAATGTATTGCTCAAAATCAAAAAAGTAGAATTGAAAATTATATATCTGTATATTAGATAACTAATGGTAAAAATAGGTAGTTTCTTAAAAATAAGAAGTTTTAGAGTTTAATTATTTGCAATTAGCAAAACTCTTAAATAATTATATCTTTATGCATTTTTCACTAGTTACCAATTTCTCTTGGTCTATTTAAGCTATTTAAGCCGAATAAATAACCCAATTCGGATGGATTTAAACCAGAAACACTCTTTAATTCTTTTTCATCTAATGCATCACCAATTAAATCTTTTTTAAATTGTTGTAAAGTTGAAATTCTATCTTCAACAGTACCAGCAATTAAAATTCTATGAACATTAACTTCTTTTTCTTGACCTATTCTATGAGCTCTATCCATTGCTTGATCTTCTACAAAAGGGTTCCAAAATGGATCCATTATAATAACATGATTTGCACAAGTTAAAGTTAAACCTACATTACCAGCACGTAAGGATAACAATAAAACATCAGCATTACTTTGATAAAATCTTTTTATAGTAGAATTTCTTGCATCCATACTAAGACTACCATCATAACGTAAAAATTGAATACCTTCATGATTTAAAACAATTTTTAATAAATCAAAAAGCGTTGTGAATTGACTGAATATAATAATTTTTTCACCAGGATGATCTTGTTGGATTTTCTTGATAATTTCAATAGCTTTATCAATTTTAGCACTTGTTTCAAAACCATTATTTTCTTTATTTAATTCAGCAATAATTTGTAAATTTGTTAAATTTTTTGATTTTTGTAAATCATAATAATAATTTTCAACTTCATTTCTATTTAATCGTTCTAAATGAAGTTTTTCAAACATTCCATAATCAAAAATTCTTGATTCCTTGACGTGTGTATTACAATCTTTACACTTTGCAATTCTTCCAGTACTATCTTGATCTACTTCATAATCATCCAAAAAAGTTTCAATGCAAGCTTGACAACACATATGTCCACATTCTTGAAATACTGCTATTCCTTCATCCATTAAATCTAAACAAATTGAACAAGTTAAATTTCCATCTAATCTTGAGATTATTGAATTAACAACATTAGCACTTAAATTTTCTGCATGTGTTAATTGTAATCTCCAATTACTTTTTATTAATTGTTCTCCTTTCATATTTGCTTTAATTCTACTAATTTGAACCAAATAAGAATGAATACAAGCTTGTCTTAATCTAAGTAATAAAACAAATATATTTTTCTTGTCATTATTTTTAAACATTGCTGACGCTTCCTTTTGAACATCAAGTTCAATACTTTGATAATATTCCCATTCTTCATCTTCTAATTTAACAAAATCTTTAATAAGATGTTTCGCGGGTAAATTTAAAATTGGTTCTCCATCGATTGTTGAATTTTTCGTTCTTCTTAATAAAATTGAACTTAATAATGCTCTTAATTTTCTCATTGCTGAATTTTTATCAAATCCGTCATAAATATCTGATTTTGATTTTAATGGCGTTGCAATATCTTCTCTAAATCTATCTTCTTTACAATATGGTTTAATATTTAAAAATCTTAATATCGGATACAATTCATCAACTTTATTTTGCATTGGAGTACCTGATAAACAAAATCTAAAATCTCCTTTTAAGTTATGGACTGCTTTTGATGCAATTGAAACCTTATTTTTAATATTTTGAGCTTCATCTAAGACTATTCTATAAAAGAAAGAAGTTTTTGAAAAAAATGGTGATTCATAACTTTGACCACCTTCATTATTTTTTGGAATGTAACCTTTAAACTCTTTATTAGCGTGTATTTCTTCTTTATAATGCTTTTTCCATTCTGATGATAAAGTACCATATGAAGTTAAAACAATATCACATTTTTTCATTGCACTAAATGTAACCATATCTCTTTTTTCATCACCATGATAAATTCCAACTTCTAAATTACAGGATGGTTTAGTTTTAGACTGAACTTCTGCTGCCCACTGTCTTAACAAAGAAACAGGTGCAATAATTAAAGTTGTTTTACGATTTGGATCTTTCGACTTATTTGCTAATATTAATGCTAAAGTTTGAATAGTCTTACCCAAACCCATATCGTCAGCTAAAACACCACCTTTTGATTTACTTTTGGGGTCTTCTCGTTTCAATAACCAAGTTAATCCAATTCTTTGATGTTTTAGTAAATTAATACTCATTTCAGCTGGTGTATTTGCTAAACCTTCTTTTTCCAAGTTTTCTTCAGATAGAATTTCATTTAATAAATCTTGAATTGCAACTTCTGGTTCTGCATTCATTTCATTCGCTATTTGAGCAGCATATGGATTAATAGCTGCATTCAAAACATGCCCAACATTTCTTAATTGATTAGTTATTAAGGATAATTTATTTCTATGTTCTATAACCATTCTTTCTAAATTTTGTAAAGATGTTTGTAGTTGATTTACATTACTTCTATGACCATTCATTGCTCTTTGTACAACAGCTACAGCTTTTCTGATTCTATTTACTAAATCATGTTTGCCTAAATCATTAGCTTGTTTTAGTCTAACATTGAGTTGCTTCATTGTAGTATTTTCTTTTTCAAATTGCTGAGAATTTTGTTGAATTTTTGAAGAAATAGAAGTTTTCATTTCTTCTAATCTATTAATTTCTTGTAATTGAGTAGCTTCTCTTGTTTTCAATTCTGCTTGAGATATTTGTTGTAAATTATCAGTTACTTGTGGAACAGGAGCTGGTTGATTAAAAGTACCTGGAATTATAATTGGTGGGTATTGTTGTTGTTGTTGTACTTGGGGTACTGGTGGCGGTTGACTTGAAGTTGAACTTGACGGTGGTTGTAAAATAGGTTGAGGTTTAATAATATTTGAATTAAATGAGGTTGGTTTGAATCCAATTTTTTTAACATCTGCTTCATTCAATATAACTATATCATCATCAATATCTTCTTCTTTAGTGCCATTATTCAAGACATTAGGTATTATTGGCTTTGTCATTCTTGTTGGTTGAGGTTTTACTTGTACCATTTCTTCTTCGTCATCATCACTTAACATTATAATTTCAGCATTATCAGGTATTGATGAGCTATGATTTTTTATTGGATCACTTTTAAGTTGATAATGAAATTTTGAGTTGCCATTTGATGATAAGTCTGATGGTAATTTATTAATAGTATTATTATTTATATTTGATTGTGAATTATTATTTGAATGTGAAAATGAATGATTTAAAGAATCTAATCTTTGTTTTTTAAATGGTGGAGATGAAGATCTTTGATCAACCGCGGAAGTCATGTTGAACATCTACTAAGCATTAAATTCTTTGGTTGTTGTTGGTTCTTATCAAGATATCTATTAATTAATCAAATGGAAAAGTGGTTGTAAAAATTAAAAAAAAAAAATGATTCGTATGTGTTTCATTAATTTGTTTTGTCTATTAAATAAATATAAATCGCGTCTTATAAATAGATGGCACAAAACTTTTTCATTTGTACTCTTTGAAATTTTTATTATAGATAACAAAAGTTATATTACTTGGAGAAGTTGATCATTCGATTCAAAATTATAAATTTAAAGTAGAATCTATATTTAAGAAGAGTATTACAAAGTACCCAAATGTTCAATTCCCCAAAAATATTAATCATCTATACGTTTGTCCTATAAATAATCACCATTTTCTTCTAAAATTTTATCTAAACAAATATTTAATTCATGTTGTAATCTTTCATTATTTGGATCAAAAGATAAACCTCTTTGATAATCGGCTCTTGCTAATTCATAATTACCCAAGAAATAATTTGCAACTCCTCTTCTTAAAAAATTATCAGGTTGATTCATTGACATATTAATTAATAAATCAACATCATTATAAGCATTCAAATATTGTTGAGTTTTTAAATAAGCATCACATCTACTCATTAAAAACATTGATAATTCTTGTATAGTACCTTGAAAACTTTCAATTTTAGGTCTTCTTAAAATCATATTAATACCTATAGTAAAATTTCGAACACTATCTTCAAATTTATTTACTTTAAAAGATTGTACTCCACTTTCATATAATTTCTTAATCATTTTAGATAAACCTTTATTAAAATTTTCAGGAGTTGGTAATGGTGGTACATCATTACCTTGATTTATTATTTCTGATGTTAATGTATTTAATTGATCTATTTCTAATTGTAATAATGGATTTTTAATTGATTCATCTAGTATTAGTTTCTTACTTTTATTTTCATATGATACACCATCCATTTTATATATATATATATAGTTGGGGGGTAGTTGGGTATAAATGGTGATTGATATTAAAGTTTTGAATTAATGATTTAAACAATTTATGTAACAATCAAATTTGAACAAGTTTCAATTTCTATGAGAGAAAAAATATTTAGTATTCTGGGTTTTGTGTAATTAATTGCTTATATATTATTTTGCAGTCAAATTTAATTTATAGATCTGAGCTAAACAAAATAACATAAAAAAGAATTGTCATTACAATCAAGCACGTTTGTTCACTAATATTCATAATAAGGGTTTACCAAAAGGTTCTTAGAAATATAATTGTATAAAACTGAGTACATTCCCCAATGAGTAAATTTAAAGCACCATCAAAGTTCAACAAAGGAGTAATAACAATTGATCCAGTTGCAAATTTAAGTAAATATGTTGGTCCTAATATTAATGAATGTCAAATAGTAAGTAATGGTTCATTAAAAGATGAAGTTTGTGCATTTTACCCCATCCAGCAAAATACCAATGATAATTCTACAAAGGAAAATACATTTCAAAAACAATCAAGACTTTCTAGATTTTTATACAAATTTAAACACAAGTCAAGTATAAGAGAGCCAAAGAAATCAACCAAAGAAAGGTCTAAAACTATAGCTATTGGTGCAGATGGAAATAATCTACAGAATCAAACTACCTCTTGGATTCGAAGATTCTCCAAAAATAATAACAATACAACACCACCAGTAATACCAATAGTCCCCATAGATAACCCATCAAATGAAGTTGATATTCCAGCAAAATTAAATGATATTTTCTCACCACCACCACAAGAAAAACCAATGGATACTATAGAAAGTGTACAAAATAGTGCTCACTCACAACAAAATAAATTAGAATCATTACCAACAGATAATAAAACAACCAGAACTTCAAAATCAAGACTGTTTAGTATTAATACTTTTTATAATAATCTGTTTTTCAAAACTGGTGGAAGATTACCTATAAGTTATGATAATTCTCAAATTACTGATGAAACAATTACTTAATAAATATAACTAGTCATTAGTTTACCGCTTAAATTATGCTACCAAATCGTACTAACTGTATAATTACTTAAAATATTTTACTTTTGTAATCCTGACTCACTAATAAATATTTTTTTCAGTCTATTCCTTTATCATAATTTTAGCAGTTATTAAATATATAATTATATCTACAACTTCACTTCCATTCTTTTATATCTTCTAGAAGTTATATCTCAATTGATCAATTATACAATGTTTGAATTAACTAAATTAGTTCGTCCGAATATCTTATCATTAGAACCATATAGATGTGCAAGAGATGATTTTAAAGTTGGTATTTTACTAGATGCAAATGAAAATACACATGGACCAGCATTATCAGAATTATCAGAAACTGAAAAAATCTTGGAATTAAATAGGTATCCAGATCCACATCAACACGAATTAAAACAACAAATTATAAATTTTAGAAATTCAAAACCTAACAAGTATACTGAAACAAATTTAGAAATTGATAATTTATGTCTTGGTGTTGGATCTGATGAAAGTATAGATATGTTATTAAGATGTTGTTGTACCCCAGGTAAAGATAAATTATTAGTATGTCCACCAACTTATGGAATGTATGGAATTTGTGCTACTATAAATGATATTGAAATTGTTAAAGTATCGTTAACTATTCCAAATTTTCAAATTGACATAGATGCAATTTTACAAAAAGTCACTGAAGATTCAAATATTAAATTGCTATACTTAACATCTCCTGGTAATCCAACGGGGAAATTAATCAATGTTGATAGTATAGTGGAATTACTTAAGCAAAGTTATAGTAAATGGAATGGATTAATAGTTATAGATGAAGCATATATTGATTTTACTGCTCCAAATGGATCATACAGTCAATCAATGTCCACATTGGTAAATCAATACCCTAATTTGGTAGTGTTACAAACATTAAGTAAATCATTTGGGTTGGCAGGTATAAGATTAGGTATAACATACAGTAACAAAAAATTATCAAAATTATTAAATTCAATGAAATATCCATATAATATATCATCATTAACTTCAAACGTAGCGTTGAAAGCCACAGCAAAAGAAGGTTTAGCAATGATGCAAAATTATGTTGACAAGATAGTAGAACAAAGATCAATAGTGTTGAAGAAAATATTGGACTTAAAATACGTTGGAAAAAATTTAGGAGGTGAAGATGCAAATTTTATATTAGTTGAAATACTTGACAAGAATGGAAACCCATCAAATGAAATTGCATCAAAATTATATAATACTTTAGCTGTTGATAATTCTGTTGTTGTTAGATTTAGAGGTAATGAATTAAATTGTACTGGTGGGCTTAGAATTTCAATAGGTACTGAAATTGAAAATAAAGAAATGCTATATAAATTTGAAAAAGTTTTGAATGAATTGAATGCTTAATGTATATATACTCGATAATATATGAAGCTTTATATTCTCTAATTAAACTTGAAACAAATTGTAATAAGTTGCAAAATTTAAACGTCGTGTGAACCAAACTAAATTATTTAACCTAGAAATTTTTTTTTGTTTAAATTTTTCACTCTATACAAATCCAAATTACCAAGACCAAATCAACTACAACCACAATTAGAAACAATGGCAAGACAAAACTTCGTGGGTCTAGTAGTATCCCAAGGCCGAATGAACAAAACCGTTAAAGTAAGAGTTCAAGGGAAAATATACGATAGAAGAATAGATAAAGAAATTATACGAAGAAAAGATTTTTTATGTCATGATGAAGGTAATATATGTAAAGAAGGAGATATAGTTAGAATAGAAAGTATCCCCAAGATTTCAAAAATGAAAGCTTTTGCTATTGCAGAAATTAAAATAAATAAAGGTCAACAATTTGAACAATATGAACATTTAGCTAAGGAAAGAATACAACAAGAAGATTTAAAAGAAGCTGAAAATTTTATAAAAAATAAAGACAGTTTCTCCCAAATAATTACCAAATTGGAAGATTTAAAGAAAATAGATGAATTATCATATCAAATATCAAACCTAGAACCCAACGAATCAACTCATGAACAGGAACAACAAATAATTGAAACAATAAATAATATAAAAACAAAATATAATATAAAATCATATCCATCAACAGAACCAATACTAGATCTAGAATTAAAAGCACCAATATATAAAAACGAAATTGAGAAAAGAATTTACCATATGGATCATATTTTAAATGAAATAATGAATAATTCCAACTACTCGGAGTTTAAAAATCAAATCCTTACTACCAAATTTAAAAATAGATCGTTAGACTCAATTCAAAAAAGTGTTATCAAAAATGTCCTAAGAAGATATGTAATTAATGAACAGAATGAATTACCATTTGCTTTGTAAATAGTTCTTGTATAAAGAGTAAATAAATAAAAGTTCCACAGTTAGTAGATCCGATTTGGTTAAATTTTGCGGCTCTCGGTACGTAATATTTTTATAATTTTAGCATATCACCAAAGATCAACCACATAAAATTAAACTATTAAGCACCACCCATTCCACAACAATGACTCAAGACCAAAAAGGAATGTACGTAATAGGTTACGGAAGTCTAATATTTAAACCACCACCCCACGCTTCATTTAGAATATCAGGCCATTTAATTAACGTCATACGTCGATTTTGGCAATCAAGTATAGATCATAGAGGTACTCCTTCTAATCCAGGTCGAGTAGTTACTTTAATTACAAAAGAACAATTACAAAATGATAGGTTTTTCCATAATGATTTACATGTATATGAATTCAAAAATTATAAAATACAAGATGTGGATTTAAAAATATCTGATTTAAAATCACAAGATTTGAAAGTTTTTGGATGTGCTTATTATATTGAACCACAACATGTACAAGAAGTGAATGATTATTTAGATATAAGAGAACAGAATGGGTACGAGTTGAGTAAGATTAAATTCTACATAAATAAAAAAGATGAGAATTTTGGAAAAGTGCCTTTGTCCGATATTAAGAAAGATGAATTTGGTGAATATATTGAAAGTTTCATATATATAGGTGGATTAGAACTAGAGAGTTTTATTGGACCTGAAGCCATAGAGGAAACAGCTGCTATAATCAAGTCAAATGTGGGACCGAGTGGTAAAAATAGCGAATACTTGATAAAATTAAACGACGCTATTAAAGAATTAGGTTATATAGATTATTACTTAGAAGATTTAATAAAACTAATACAATAAATCATTAAGAAATTAATCCTTTTTCCTATTTATAAAGTTAAAAATTTAATAGCTGCATCTTCTATAGTTGAAGCTAGATTATCAATTTCCAATTGAGCAGAACTAAAATCATGTTGTTGTAAATAATCTCTAACATAGGGAAATGAAATCCATACAAATTCGTTGGAGTTTATAGGAGCTGAAAACGGTATACCAAACAAGAAATTCTTATATCCTGATCTTTTCGTTGTTAATTCTTTTGTTAAAAATCTATTATTGAAATCAATCATATTATTATTCCACATTCCTCTCATTGCTGAATACATTGGTGGTTCTAATCCTCCACTTTGTACTATAAACTGTTTCCATTCGTGTGCCCATTCATTATATTTCTCACCAACGTCTTTTAATGTCATTAATGCTCTTTTTAAACCATCGAAATGTATAATTGGTTTAACTTTTAAGTTTTGGGTAATGGATTGGGTAAATTTCTCCAAGTCATTTTCATATTGGATTAATTGATTTGCTAAATCTATGAAATTATAAGGTATTAATGGTAATTCTGCAAAATCTAAAATGATTTTTGATAATAATTCAACTAATTGAGAATGTTTTAACATTGATTTATCTAAATTTAGGTTTTCAAAATTTTTAAAATTATCAAAACATGAATTTTTAGGGTATTTTAAACCTCTGAATTTAATTTCTAATGATGGAATATTAACCAAGTTAATGAATGGTATATAATTTTTGAAATCTAAAAATTCATCCTTAATATCATGAACTAAATCAGCCATTGTTTTATCTCCTTCAATTTTAACTTTTTGTAATGATGTTTTAATAGATTCTCTCAAAAATGGATGCGAATTAATATAAAGTTCATCACCAGTTACTAAATCACTCATATCAATATATAAATATCCATCTTTCCTCAATGCTTCTTTTCTATTTTCTATCCATTCAGTTGATCCTGCTAAATTATATTCAGTAGCATCAAAAGATACAAAAAATATTGATCTCGAGGGAACCCATTGGAATTTTCTTTGTAAAGACGTAAAAACTTTTATAAGTTCTAAAAATGCAACCGTTCCAGTATTACTACTCATTGTTCCATAACAAGTAGAATCTCTTGATGAACCAATTATAATTCCTTTATCTCCTTGTTCTCTACCTTCTATTGATCCAACTACATTCCATAATGGATGTACTGGTTTATTTATATTATTTATATTTAGTTGTAAAATGGGGGATTGACCATCACCACTTACATAATCATCAAATTTGTGACCATTTTGTAATTTTTCAATTAATTTAGAACCATCTTTCCATGAAATTGGAATTGATGGGATTTTAGGAGTAGTTTCTGATTTATCCCATGATAATCTAGTCACATAACCATTTTCAGATGACCAACCAGGAGTCAAAATATCACCAGATGAAAATCTTGTTAATCCAACATTTTCTCTTTGTATTATATCATCTTGATCATTGAATTTAGGAGATATGAATATTATTGCTTTAACTTTATAATTTTGGGCGTAAAATAATTTATTTGATTCTGGGATGTCTCCTCCGTATTTTATTAATACTATTTTATCTTCTAGATTTATATTGTTGTTTTGTAAATTTGCAAAATCTTCTTCTCTTCCGTAATTCACATAAATATAGTTCCCTTCAATTTCATCAATAGTACTTAATGCATTTGGGTTGAATGATGAATATTGCATTTCTTGACTGTTTTGTTCATTTAATTTTGCTTCAAATGATCCATCTTTTAATTTAAGGTAAGTATTTGTAGTAGGATAATTTATAAAACTTTGAAACTCATTTATATCAACACTATGTAGTCCATTACTTTTCATATATTTTTCAATATATTTTGCAAATAATAAATCTCCCTTTGTACCAGTTAAATGAGGTATTGATGAAAAATATTCTAAATTTTCTTTCATTGATTTTGGATTTATGAATTGATTAATTGAACTTGATAATTTTTCAATATCATAAAATTTCCCCTTTGAAAACGTTGTTGAACCACCACCATTTATTGAATCATTTTCTGAATACTTTGAAATTCCAAATATCAAAATCATCATTATTAAAACATATAATAATCTTTTCACTACCAAAGGATTACCTAATTTTAAAATCAGTTTTTCATATTGCATTTGTAAGTATTTATACCCTTCATAAATTGGATCTATTATTCGAGTAACTGGATGTATAATTCTTGAATTTATATTATTTGCAAATTTATGTGATATGGCAGAAGCTCTATTAATGAAACCATGACGCCTTTCGAATTCTGGTTCTTCTATTTCAAATTGTTCTATAGATGGTGTGGAAGTTGATTCATGAAGTGCATTATGTTGGTGGTGGTGGCGATTGTTGTGATCATTATTATTATTTAGACTATTATCATCATCAGCATCATCATCATTATCAAATTCAAAGTAAGTCGGTGGATTTAGGGGAAGATTATTATCATGTGTATTATTATTATTATTATTAGTGGAGGTGTTGTTATTGTGTAAATTTAATGTAGATGAAGATTCGGTTGGAAGTCGATGATAATCATCACCACGCATTTTTCATATAAATTATTGGGTATGTAATAGTATAAAAGAATGAATGTTATTAATGAATGAATCTTATAAATGAATATGTTGAATATTTTGGGTTATTATCAAATGAATAATCTTTTTCTTAGCTTCTTGTATTATTATTAATATTATATTTTGTGTGTGGATAAATAATACTTAAGATCTACTTAGGCTGAGTTTTATCTTAATAATATTTTCTAATTTTATCGCATAGAACTTTCTATATTTTAAGTATTAAATACGATATGAAACTATCAAGAGAAAGAAATGAAGATACAATAAGAATTACACTGAAAATTTTAATCACAGTACAATACTAAAGTACAGGGTAGGGTTTTATCTATCTCTTAATGTTTATTCTTCGACTGGTTAAATTTATAAATATACATAATTAAATAAATAATCTTGTAAATTATCCGAATCTAAAATCTAGCAGTTGTTGATTTACTTTCTTTTAATGCATTATAAACTTCACTTTCAAATTTTCCAATATATTCAACATTATATTCATCCATATAAGGTAATACTTGAACAGCATAAAACCCACCAATTTGATTTTCAAAATCAATCCAATAACTTAAATTAGCTAATCCACCCCAATATATTGACCCTTTTGGTCTACCAGTTGGTAAATCATTTGAAGTATATGCATGACCAGTTAATGTCCAACCATCTGTTTTTTTAGTTGGTTCATCATCATCAATAAAATTATGAGATAATCCAATAAATTCTAAATTTAAATTATCTGGTAAATGATTTCTTTTTGCAAATTCAACTGTATTTTTAGAAAGTATTCTTTTCCCACTATCTGGACTAAAACCTAAATTTAACCAAACTCTTAAAAATTTTAAATAATCACCTACTGTTCCATAACAACCTTGACCTCCTAAATCTAATATTGGATCTAAACTTAAATTAACTCTTTGTACTTTTAAACTTTCATCATTTTTCCTAAAATGAATTCTATTTAAATTATCAAAAGTCTTTGGATGGAAAGTACATGAATTCATACCAATTGGATCAAAAATTTCTTGTTTTAAAAATTCACCTAAAGTTTTACCACAAATTTTTTCAATTATAAAACCTAACCAATCAATACTATGACCATACATCCAAGCTGATCCAGGTTGATGAACTAAAGGAGTTTTAGTTAAAAAAAATTCAATTGTTGGATTAATTGGATCAAGTTTTTCACCTTTTGTAATTAATGTAAAATAATCTGGATGAAGAAAACCATATGAAAATCCAGCAGTATGAGTTATTAAATGTTTTGCATTAACTTGAGTTAATGGAGCTTTTAATGGTCTTAATAATTTACCAGTTTTTTTATCAACTATATTTGGTTCTAATACACCAATAGTTGAAAATTCAGGGAAATAAGTAGATACTGGTTTATTTAAATCTAATAAACCTCTTTCATATAATATTAATGCTCCCATTACTGTCATTGCTTTAGTACATGAAAAAAAAGCATATAATTTTTCATTAGTTGCCTTTTTATCTGGTTCATTTAGACTACTTATACCTTTTGTATTTAAATATAAATTTGATTTTAAATCAGTAACTCCAATTGTACAACATGGTGCAATTAAATTTGGTTCTTTATCATTTGAAAAAGTTGTAACTTCTGTTAATATTTGATCAAGTGAATTTGAAAGATTTGATTTCAGTTTTTGAGTCAATGTCATGTTAACTTTGATTGATGATGAAGTAACTTTGAGATAATAAATTAATCTATAATCTTCATATGTTGAAATATTTAATTCATTTAATAGAATTAAAATTAAATTCCCCACATAAATTTTTATTATTTTTATTTGTTTCATATAATAACCGATGGATAAATTATTATTTTTAACTCCGGATAACTAGTTAATATAATATTATTTTGCAACCATTTAATAAATATACAATAATTTTTTATTAAAATCGATTTATTAAATATATTTGACGTTACTGTTGTGAAAGTTTTAATGTACTAGAGGGCTCAATTTTGAACTACGATCTCTCTAATATATATCAAATCTAAACTAGCTATTCAATATTTTGCCTATGATCTCTAAATAATAACAAATAAATATCAAGATACAATTATCAAAAAAAAATATTTATAAGTTATTCCTTCAACTAACTACAAAAGATGTTTATACAGATTTGTATATTTTGTTTTTATTGTTTAAAACTTATCCAAGCCAATGTTCATCCAATTACTATTCACGGTCATTATTTCGTAAATAGTGTGACAAAAGAACCAGTACGTACATACAATAAATTATTCGAATTTTTTTTACAATTTTGGTACTAACTTTTTTAGTTTTACATAAAAGGTATTGATTATCAACCAGGTGGATCATCAGCAGTTTCAAAGGGAAAAGATCCATTAAGTGATCCAGTTCAATGTGCAAGAGATATTATATTATTTCAAGAATTGGGAGTTAATGTATGTATATTATTAACAAATCATAAGTGGATACATAATTATAAGTAACTGATACTAATTTTTTTATAGACTGTTCGAATTTATTCGGTAAATCCAGATTTAAATCATGATAAATGTATGACAATGTTAGCAATGGCAGGTATATATTTAGTATTAGATGTTAATTCACCATTAGCTAATCATCATTTGAATAGGTATGAACCATGGACAAGTTATAATTTATTATATTTTGAAAATATTTTTAAAGTTATTCAACAATTTTCTTATTATAATAATACTTTAGGATTTTTAGCTGGTAATGAAGTTATAAATGATCCAATATCTGCTGCTGTTGCTGCTCCATATATTAAGGCAGTTGTAAGAGATATTAAAAATTATATTAGTATTAATTCTCCAAGACCTATTCCTGTAGGTTATTCAGCAGCTGATGATTTAAATTACAGAATATCTTTAGCGCAATATTTAGAATGTGCTGATTCAAATACAATGGAAAGTGTTGATTTTTATGGTGTTAATTCTTATCAATGGTGTGGTGATCAAACTTTTTATAGTTCTGGTTATAATATTTTGGTTGATGATTATAAAGGATTTACTAAACCTTTATTTTTTTCCGAATATGGATGTAATGAAGTATTACCAAGAAATTTCGATGAAGTCCCTATTTTGTATACTAATAATATGGTTGATGTATTTAGTGGTGGTTTAGTTTATGAATTTACTCAAGAACCAAATAATTATGGATTAGTTGAGATTTTACCTTCTGGTGATGTTAAATTATTACGAGATTTTATTCAATTGAAATCTAAATTTGATAATTTACCTGAATTAGATTATGAATTCATTATAAATTCAATGAAAACAAATGCTAAAGATATTCAATTCAAAATAAAAAAATTCAAATCTCCAATTCCAAAATGTAAACCATCATATCCAAATTTAGTTATATCTTCAGCAGTACCTCCACCAATAGTTGATGCAATGATTGAATCAGGTGTTCCTATAAATAATGGACAATTTGTTGAATTATCAAAAGATGAATTAAAAACAAATTATAAATTTTATCAACCAAATGGTGAAATTTTAGATACATTATATGAAATTGATGTTGTGGTAGATTTTGAAATTGAATCACAGGATGCTCCAAAAAAGGGTATGTATGATTCTCGTGATGAAAAAGAAAAAGAACATACCGAAGAATCAACGACTCATGACGTTACCGAAACTAATACTCCAAGTGAATCATCAGCTGAACCACACCATCCAAATGCTTTTGTTGATACTATTAATAAAGCAACTGATTCAGTCAAAAAATTTTGGACAAATTTATTTAGTCAAAATTAAGGTATGTCTTCTCTCAAATCTCAAAATCATTTTGTTGAATATACTAACAATTAAAGTTTAGTTTCAAATTCATCTTCTATTGTAAATAATTTGTATTATCTATACCTACTTTTAATCTCTTTAAGTATATTTTGAAGTTGAATATAAAACATTAAAGTCATACATTGAAATTTTTAATTTATTATCTTGTTGAAATTCCAATGGTTTTAAAAAAATTTCCCATTCTTCATTAGTTAAACTTTCAATTTTTTTATCTGATGTTTGTTCTTTAAACCCGCATTTTATACAAGTTTTAACTTTTATTGGTTTTTGTTTTAATACCAACACTAGATTGGGTATTTGTGATATATATTTTATAAAAGTTTCGAAATTATTTGTGGGTGGTTCTACCCAAGAATCAACATCTTGGCTATGTACATCATCATGTTGTAAATAATCAAATAAATCAAAATCTTTCAACACTAGGGTTGTAATTGTTGAATAACCACCTTCTTGTGAACCCAACAATTTGAAAAATGGATTATATTTTGTGAAATTAAATTCTCCGTTTGTATAAAAAATTCCAGAATTTAAATTTAATGTTAGTTTGGTTAACTTGTTGTTTAATTTAACTAAATCAATTAATGATAATTGGGCAATATTGGTTATATTTTTTAGTTCTAAACTTGTTGTATCTTTAAAAATAGTGTATGAGCTTTTAGCCTTTTTGGCAGAAAATGAGCATGAATCAAATATAATTGTATCTATTTTTATATTTAAGTTTATTGGTTGATCAATAATAAAATTTATCAAATGAAGTTCTTTAATTTCATCAAAATATTCACAAATTAAGGATAAATTTATATCTTTCAAAGGAAGTGACCATCCAGATTGTGATTTTAATATTAGTTTTGGTAAGGTTCTTTTCGATGTTCGTATTTTTCTTCTAAATATACTAGTACTTTGTTTTACATCAATTGGAAATGCAAATTCTGGTGCAATCTCACTAAATTCAAGACATTGTATACCATAAGAATGAGTAAATAATGATCTTAATGACGATATGAACCCTTCATAACTTAACGTGTTTAAAGTTTGATTATTTGATTCAACTGCATAACTTCCAGCAATTGTAATTTTATGTTTTGATGATTTAGGTATTTGTGGATTTATAAAATTAATTTTTTCAATATAATTAATCTTATTACTAACTTCATTATTTAAATGTTGAGATGAAAATTTTGAAAACTTTAGTGGTGATTTGAAATCAATTGACTTGTATAAGATATTTTTACATATAATAGTATAAAATTTTTTACATGTTAAAGCTAAGGATAATAATGAATTAAAATCTTGTTGTAAAATTTGGAAAATTCTTAATAATATCTCGAGTGGTAATGAATGTAAATGTAATAATGGATAATCAATTGTTTTGGTTCTTGTAAATAATCTCCCACTTTTTCGTCCTATCAATTGATACTTTTTCATGACATTGGTTTGTAATTGCTTAATATCTTGTTTGGTTGCAATTGTGGTTGAAATAAAATAATTTCTTAAAAAAGTAAAAAAGTTTGATAGCGGACGAAAAAAAGGTAGATGGACCGCCTCATGCACCACAGAGATTTTCATTATCATAACAATTCATTTATTAGCTCTATTTAAATCTACTCGAACTATCTGTGATAATTACCTTTAATTTCATCATAAGCTTGTCTTAATTGAACGTACCCTAAATGAATTTTACCAACGAAATGATCAGCTAATCTTCTATCATTATCTAATCTTGATAAATAAGCTCCACAACCTTCACAAACTTGTAATTTTTGTTGAGAAGTTTGACCAATATTTTCAAAAATAAATCTTGCTTTTTTACTTGCTTCTTCTCTTTCTTTAAATTTTGAATCTAAATTTATAGAAAGCTTGATAATTTTTAAATTTTGATCTGTTTCTGAAGTGGTGCTTTTGATAAGGTATTGTAATTCTTGAATCATTAAACCTATTTCTATATCTAGATTGTCTAGTTTATTTGTTACCTCAGATATTTTGTTTTTTTCTTCTGGTGTATGTTCTAATCTTTTTTGAGCAATGGATATAGTTCTATCTAAATCACTAACGTATTTTTGTAAAATTTGAAAATATTGATACTCCATTTCGGGATATTTTTCATTCAATGTCTTGGTCTTGTACTCGTATTCTAATTTATGTTTTTGTAAATGTAAATTAGGACATTTTCCTAAATCTGATTTAGTTCCTATAAATAAATCATGTGGACAAATTCCTACTATATATGCTTTACAAGTTTGAAGGGAAGTCATATCAGGATCTCGATAATGCCGTATCAGTGATTGCTTCCCCATTAATTGCTCTATCTGCCTTCTTTGTTCCTCTGCCATTTTTGTAGTTGTGTGATGGTTTGTTATATATTGATAATTGGTATTGTTTCATGTAAATATTACGAAAAATATTAAATATCATTTGTAACAAATTTATCGCACATTGAAAACAAATTTAGTTTCTTTTAGTTATGGCTGCAAAATCTAGACCTTCAATTCCGTGATAGGTTTTATAGCTTCTAATCTACACTATTAAGCTACTGAATGAAGACAACAAGAGAAATGATTCAATTTAAACATAAGATATCAAAGAAGCGTTGCAAAAACTCACTTATTTTCATTCAGGAATATACATACAAACTTATTCTTGTTTTTCTAATTTTTCTTCAACAACAACATCTTCCTTTTTTGGTTCATCTTTACTAATTTTTTCCTTTGAAACATAACCTAGAGCACTTAATCTTTCAGGTAAAATAGGATGACTGTGGTGATAAGCAGAGTATAACCAATCAGCATTCATACTAGATAAGTTTTCATTTGATAATTTTATAAGTGATCTTGCTAATTCTTCGGCGTATCCACAATCAAAAGCATATTTATCTGCATCATATTCATGTTTTCTTGACATTAAATTTTGAGTGAAATTTAATATACATTCTAATGGTTTTAAAATGTCTCCAAATAATGTAAATCCAATCAAGATTGGTTGTTGATTATAAAAACCAAATGAATTATATAATGACTTGTTATGTACAAATGCTGAAAATAATGTGAAAATTATAAATAAATGAAGTTGTCCCATAATTAACATTCTTGGAATATGATTTAATCTCCAATGACCAATTTCATGAGCTAATACAGCAACAGTCTCATCAGTTGAATTATGTTCAATTAATGTATCAAATAAAACAATTTGTTTACTCCATGGTAATCCAGTAAAATAAGCATTTGAATGTGATGAACGTTTTGATCCATCAATAACTTGTAATTTAGTTAATGGGAATTTTTGTTTCGATGCTAAATTTTCTATAGCTGTTTTTAACTCGCCTTCTTCTAATGGTGTAAATTTGTTAAAAAGTGGCATAATTAAAGTTGGTATAATAGTCATTGCAATTAAATTTATAACTAATATGAACCCCATTAAATAGAAAATAAATGAATCACCATAATAATCAATAATTTTTAAAACACCAGCTATAACAGGTGACCCTAATACAATTGAAAGACCAAGTCCTTTTACTTTATCAGTAAGCCACAATCCAATAGTTTGTTTATTAAATCCATATTTTTCTTCCAATACAAAATGACTATAATAACTTATTGGTAAACTAACAATTGTACTCAAAATTTGAGATGAAAAAATAAAAATAATAGATTGAGTGATAACACCACCCATAAACTTAGGTAATATCCAAGAAACAGATGACATAGCTACTCCACTCCAATTCCATAATTTAGGTAATAAATCATATTTAATAACTGCTAAATTTTGAAATAAATCAAAAGTTGAATTAAAAAATGAAAATTTAGCTTTTGATCTTGAATATTTTTGAGATTTATCAAAAGTTTCTTGATTAACTTCTGCTTTTATTGATGGTGGTGGTGATTTATTATTTAATACTTTATATTGTCTATAATCTAAATATGATTCAAATAAATATTGACCTATTGTAAAACCAACTATAACTAATTTCCAATTAATATTTGGATTATCAAAAATTGACAATGACTATTATGACAAGTTAGCAAATTATTCAGGGAGTAAATTGACTATTTAAATTTTACATACATCAATAATTGATATCATATTAAATAATGAGTTGTTTGAATTAAAAGTTGTATAAAGAAAATATAAAATTAAATTTTTCAAAATATTATTCTCTCTCTTTCAAATAATAGAATCTTTATAGTTTAATCTATTGCCACACGATAAAATGGTTTTAAACTGACTTGAGTTTATTTTTCGATTTTAGATTAAATTTGTTTATAGATAAGTAAAGGCTCAAATACCATTTACTAGATAAGACTTATTGTCTAGTAAACTCATAGTTAATGAACCAGTATTTATTACTTGTGTAAAAATTTGATACGTATCATTAATAGAACTTGACGTGCGGCTCTTTTTTTTTTTTGAGACAATTGAATTTAAAATATATGCACAAGACTTAACTTACTTCAAAACATTTTACAAAAATTGAGAAGGAAGAATAAAACAAAGATCACCATGAGAGCTAAAGTAGATTTTGAAATTATAAATTATTATATATTTTAATTTCATTCAATTCATTCCATTTCTTCTATTAAAATCTAAACCATTCCCATTATCATTCTGATGAAATCCATTGCCAGCACTTAAAATTCTTGTACCTTTCATTTTACTTATGAGTAATTTTCCATCTTCAAATTTAAGTGCAGGAAATTGTCTAACTCTGAACAGGTTGTTCTGTAAGAAATCATCATATTGATTTGAATTTTTGAGTAAGTTTATACTTTGTCTTAATTCTGAAAATGTGGATTCTATTGCAACATTTCCTGAAGTGTCATCCTCGCTAGTTTCTAAATCATTTTGACTTAACTTTTGCATTGATTGTTCTAAATATTTTATATCTAAATCGAAATTTTCAATAAATATTGTGTTGTAAGTTCTAGCTTCTTTTAATAAATTTAAAAAATATTGTGAAACAAAATCATAAGTTCTGAATAATCCTAAAGTTCTTAATTGTGATGGTAAATTTTGAAAAATTGAAGTGAATAAATTTTCTAAAAACATTGCAAAATCTTTTATGGCGAAATTGGCTTCTCTTGTTTTTATAGTTGGTAAGTAATCATCATATTCTACTAATTCCAATAATTCTTTTATTTTATTATCTACCATATTATAAACCATATCTTCTGAAAATTTCTTTAGTTTTATAAATGATTCTACTGCTTTTAATGTGAAAGTATTGTTATGATCTATATTATGAATTCCCATACCTGTATTTCGTCTTAATTTCAAATTGATTAATGGACCTACTTCGTATAGACTTGATAAGTAATACTGTAAATTTACAAAACTTTGTGATATGACTTCTTGGTTATTTGAATTCTTTTGAATAAAATCTTCAATCTCCCATGCTATACCAAACCCCTTTTTATAACTCAAGAAATTTTCAATAACATCATAAACTATAATATTATTTATTTCATTAATTTCATAATTGTAATAGGCTCCAATGAATTTTATACATGAACTTATAATCTTTCTTAGGTACTTACAAAATGCAACATAATCTTCACTAAATGGGAAATTAACTGGGAACTTTTTGATATTCTTGGGAGCAAAAGGATCATCTTGTCTATAAAATATAACTTTCATTATAGCTTCATAAGTTCTTTGATCAACTGTTAAAGTTGTGTATTCTTTTTGCATTGATGCTAAATAATTCTTTCTCGTATCTTGCACCAACAAGGGAGCAAAATGATCTTTAAACATCATCATCATTATCTCATATAAATCAGTTACATCATATTCATTTGAATCCATAATTTGTAAAAAATCACCAATTAAATTTTTAAAATCACTTAAATCATCTAAATCATAAAAATCATTTTGTTTTAGGTTGTATACAAGAATTGGTTTTAATTTAGACACATATGAAATCCATAATTCATCAGATTGAGTATTTGAACGTAATTGAAATTTAGTTAATAAATTTAATTGTTTATCCATTACAAAAAATGCACTTATCTTTTTAAGGTAATCATCTAATTCTTCTTTAGTAAACGTTATGTTTTTAATGTTTGCTGATGCTGATGTTATGGGGTATATGATTCTAGTATATTTCTTCATAAATTCTTTGTTGTAAACTGATTTTAAAGTATCTAATTCATTTAATGTACGATAAACTAATATAGCATCATAAACACTATTTAATGGAATTTTTAAAGTTTCATCTTCAAAAATTTGATAATTTGAATCAGGATCTCTTAAACTTAGTTCAACTGGTGAATTCAATTTGTAAGGTAAATAAGTTAAATTTCCACTTTTTCTTTGACTCCAATTTTCTTGTAAATCATATAAATTTTCGTATAAAATATCTCCTACAGTTTGCAATTTTCTTTCTAGATTTAACGATAGCCATTTAGTTAAATTTTCAAATGCATCATCTTTTACCATTTTCGTCAAATGCGGTATAGAATTTATAATCTTTTTAGCAAAACTGAATTCATTAACTTTTTGAATATGAATATTAATCATTTCATCAATTAATTTTAAAGCCAGGAAATATTTCGTTTGTTTTATAAGATCTAGTATTCTATTCATTAATTCCAATACTTGAATACATTCATTCAACACGACTTGAGATTCATTTATTCTATTACATACATCTTTGTACTTGATGTAGTTTTTTTTTCTTGACATTAATTCGATAGATGATTTATTGAAAGTTTGATTAACTAAACCTAGGTGGTTCCTTAAATCTTCTGCATCCTTGTGAATATTTGATATGTGACTCATACAAAGATTAATTTCATCCATTGATTCCATTGATTGTAAATTTAATTCTTCATCTTTTGATTTAACAATATCATTTAATTTTAAAATTAGATCTGACAATCCATTTGATTTCACAGCATTTTTGATAATGGGAGCTAATGTATCTAAATAATCATCTGAATTTAAAGATGTTTGGAAAATTTCTTCATCTCTTAGTAGTAAATTCTCGAGTTGCATACTGTCTACTGTAGAATTTGGTTTGATTGATTTTGTGGTTGATTTAACACCATTTTGATGAACTTGTCCATTTGAATTATTATTTGACTCTATAGCGGTAGATGGCGCCATTTGAATATCTCAATTGGATTCAATAATTGAGTTGGTTGATATGGGTTATGTGTTAGTGATTATAATATTATGTTCTCGAATAAAATAAAATAAATTTACTTGTACCATTTTCAATTTTGATTATGATTTTGATTTTGCGTCAAATATCAATTATAATTTCAATTCTATTTAAATGTACAACATTCAATTAATAATATTGAAGGACTTTTATTTCATACAATAATTTTACAAAGGTGTAATGCTGATGGATTCAAATTTCATATTGATAGTTGGACCACCAAATAGCGGTAAATTAAGAATTAGTAAATTAATTCAAGGTATTAAAGATGACAAAATCTCAGAAACACGGGAGCACAATTCAACAGATTCACATAGTGGATTGATTCATAAGACTAAAATCACAACGAAATATTATACCCTGAATGTAGATATATTCATAGATGAAATTCCAAGCAAAAGAACTCCAATATTTTCAGAAGATGATAAAATCAACGCATTGAAGAAATGGTGTAATGAGTTTTTCAGTCCAGAAATGGAGAGTTTAGTAGAAAGTTTAGATGGTATAATATTCACAATAAATATAAAAGATGATAGTTTAGAATATGCAGATGAATTATTGAATGTAGTTCATAGAGTGAAAACGTTATCCAATGAAGATAATTTATTAGCTGTAGTTGCAACAACACCAAAAGGTTCAAATGGATGGGATAAACGTTATTTTGATGAAATTGAAGATATATTTATTGAACATGGATTCGAATTTATAGATTTTGATAAACAAGGTAAAAATGAATATAAAGAGAGTCAAGGTAAAGATAGAATTGTTGAATTGATAGAGTGTCATGAATGGCGATACATGGAATTAATTAAAAAAACAAATTCTGAAGAAACAGAAAATGAAGTCAAGGAAGAAAAATCGCTTGATGAATTATTAGTTAAGTTAAATGAAGCTAAGGAGCATGCTAAACATTTATCCCCTGCTGAGAAAGATAAATATGCAAATGAAGTAATCAAAGATATAGAAGCTTATATTTGAGACCTACATATATGACGAAAAATAGAACATGACTTACGACTTATTATGAATTTTTGAAAACTCAATCCTATAAATTGATCTATAATTTTGTAAAATCTAATTGATATTCAATATTAAAACCAGGATCAAAATAACATTCTTGACAATCTTCATCAACTACTCCATTTTCATGAATCAAAACAGCAAAATCCAAATATGGTATATTTTCATCAATAACAACCATTGGTGCATGCCATATTCCTGGTCCATAAGTTATAGATTGATTTCCTTTACATAAAAATGCTTTTATTTCATGAGGGTTTGGTAATTTTTCAGTTGTTGATTCATCGGTATTGGCAACTATTACCAAATATGATAACTTGTTTAGATCTTGACCCATTGGTATAAATGTTTGAGTAGTATATGGATGTCTTTCTAATACTTTTGATAAATAAATTGATTTTAATCCACCATGTTTTATAAGATGTTTAGGAGCTTTACATCTAAAAATATTCCAATTTGCAGTTTCCTTTTTACCAGATTTTGAATTATAATAATTATTTATTATTGGAGCTACTTTATGAACTTTTATTGCAGTACCATAATTTGCATTTGATTTATCATTCAATTTATTGATTTGATGATCAGCACTTATAACTCCACCATAATTTGAAAATGATTCTGGTGTTAATGGTTCTGCTTTTATGAATTGTTTTTTATCTAGTTGAAATGTTTTAAGCACCATTGATTGTGAAAAAAAGAGTAGATGTTGATGTAACAAATTGAAGTTTATATCATTTCTTTTATATACTTATTTAATATCTATATGATGTCAAAATATTAATAATAAAATGGATTAATCCGAATTTGTTAATAAATAATTTCAATATAAATTATTAGATCATGTGATCATGGAAATTATTCTCCGTAGATTTGTAAAGCACGTGATGTATACTGTATATAAAACATTACTAAGATCATTCCAATTTAAAATTCTAATTACACAATATTTTATTTGTATGTATAGAAATCTATATACTTAGCGAATAAACAAATTGAATAACAACCAACCATAAAGTAACTTAAATTGCCACTTAAATTTTATTTTTATTTAATATAATATAATACAACGCATAATCAAGTTCATAATAGCATCATCTGATTAATAGATTATCATTCTTTATTAATACTTAATAACTTTTTTGCATCATATAAAATCATATAAAATATATCAAATATGGGAGATTTTCCATTTCTTGAAGGTAAAAACCTAAAAGATAAATCTGACAAAAATGATAATAATAATAGTCTAACTGATGATGAAGATATTGAAACATTAATTGGTGAAACTTTATCACAAGCCAATATAAATCCATCACATTTAATGTATGTACCAGGAGAAAGTCATTTAACTAATGATGGGTCTACATTATTTGAAGGAGAAGAAGGTAGTTCTAGTCAAACTGAAGATATGAAAAGACAATTAGCAGCAAAGAATAGAAAACATGTTAATGCATCATTACAACAACTACATTATAATGAAAATAGAATATCATTAGATAGGTCAATAAATCAAACAATTGAATTAATTAATGAAATTATTAAAGAAAATAAGCAAAGACCTATATTTTACCCCACGGAAATTGAAGATGATCAAAAAATCTTGTTGAATAGTGCAAAAGCTCATTTAGCATTGGTTAGACAAAATAGTAGTATAAAACAATTAACAAAACAAAAAATTAAAGAAGAAGATGAAATTGTAAAAGAATTACCAGAATTTAAAATTTTAAAAATCAATATTAAAGGTGGACATAATGATGATAATTTAGTTGCAAATTTAGATAAAAAATCAATAGCAAGTTTATTGGAAAAAAAATTAAATAATCAAATTAAATACCTTTTAAATTTACAAGATAGAGTTGATGATACTTCTTCAAAAGTATTTGTTACTGGTGATTTGAATGCTGGTAAATCTACATTTTGTAATGCTTTATTAAGAAGAAAATTATTACCTGAAGATCAACAACCTTGTACTTCAGTATTTTGTGAAGTTATAGATGCAAGTTCTGGAAACAATGGTTTAGAAGAAGTTCATGCTATCCCAATTGAAAAAGAATATAAAATTCATGATGAATCAACATATGAAATACATTCATTAAAAAACTTGGAAAATCTTGTTTATGATTGTGATAGATATAAATTATTAAAAGTTTATGTATTAGATCATAGATCATTTCATGAAAGTCTTTTACATAATGGAGTAATTGATATAAAATTAATCGATGCCCCAGGATTAAATATGGATTCTTATCAAACTACTCAAGTATTTTCACGTCAAGAAGAAATTGATTTAGTTATATTTGTTGTAAGTGCTGAAAATCATTTTACTTTATCAGCAAAAGAATTTATTGCTGCTGCTGCTAATGAAAAAAGATATGTATTTATTGTTGTCAATAAATTTGATAATATCAAGGATAAAGAAAAATGTAAAAAGAGAATTTTAGATCAAATTAAAAATTTATCACCAGACACATATAAGAATGCAAAGGAGTTTATTCATTTCGTTAGTTCGAATGAAGTAGGTAAAGGCGGCGACGGAGATGGAGGCGATGATGGGGATGACAATGACAATAATAATAATAATGACAATGGCAATGACAATAATCATCCTGATTTTGATTTACTTGAAGCATCATTAAGGAAATTTATATTGGAGAAAAGATCAATATCAAAATTATTACCAGCAAAAAGTTATTTATTAAATTTTTTACAAGATCTACAAACACTCTCAAATATAAATGAAAAGATATACGACAATGAAAAAAAGGACAAATTACAAGAATTAAATAATCAAGTTGCACCAAAAGTTAATGAAATCGTTTACAAATCTCATAGAATTTCAGACACAATTAATGCTTTGATTGAAAGTACATGTACCGGGGTGTATAATGACACTAACAAAGAAATTAATGAAGTTATGAATAATTTAGGTGATAAACCAGTTGTACAATATGAAGGATTACAATATTTGTTTGAATACGCAAAAGAATCACAATTAGCAATGATGGATGTTGTATGTGATGCAGTTTTAAAATGTGAAGAAATGGCTAAATCAATAACGGTTTCTAAAGTTGAAGAAATTATAAAATTTGGTAAAAATACTTTAAATGAAGAATTTTTAGATGATAAAAAATTCAATTCGGAATTAATGTTCACAAGAGTAAAAGATGATATTGGTAAAAACATTGAAGATTCATTAGAAATTTCAGATTTTTTCGATCCTTCAATTGAATTATTTTTGGTTTTTGTTGGATTACCTGAAAAATATGTAAATTCTACAAAAAATCAAATAAATTTTTTCAACCCAATTTCGGTTATTACAAACATTCCATCAAATGCATTAGCTTTGAAAAATCAATTACCTACTCAATTAACATTACATACAATTTATTCATCTGGTAAAATCTTAACTACTGGTGCATTAATTAATAGATTATATCATTTCAGTCATTACGTAACTCCAACAATGATCAAACGAGTTGCAATCCCCATATTGATTGGATTGTCAGGATTTACAATCTACTACTTAATAACAGATATTCCTAATGCATTACCTCGAAATCAAGCCAAAAAAATTAAAAAACAAATTCAAGATATAAATTATATTCACAACAATTCTACTAGATTATCAAGTGAATGTAGACAAGTATTAAATTATCCAGCAAGACAAGTTATGAATAATTTTCAAACTAGTATAGATAAAAAATTAATTCAGAAAGAAAAATTAGAGTCTTATATAAAAGATGCTGAATTAAGTTCTGGATTTTTTAAACAATTAAGAAATAAGATAAATTTTCAACAAAAAGTTCTTAAGGAAATTGATTTGGAAAGTGTTAATTACGTTGACTAGGTCTACGTCATTGTATATAGTGTCAGTAGTTTTTTTTTCTAATTATGTATATATGTTTTTCATCCAATTTTTATAGATATAAAAATAATTTTATATTAACGGTATACATTTCAAGTACTTTTTTGAGCAAATGTGCACGACCTATAAATATTATTTGTAATTAAGAAAAAACAAAATAAATTGACCACTTTTTATAACTTATCTTATACAATTTAAAAAGGCATTGCAAATTTGTCAATCAATCATCATCATTATCATCAATTTATACCCAATTATTGCATATATCAAGTCATTATCAAAAGATACAATCAGACCATCAAAAAATTGCCAATCGACCAAAAAATTACTCAAAATTAATAGCCACATCAATTTCCACATACACACAATCCTAAAAACATGTCAAATATAGAAGCAAGTAAACTATATGAAACAATAGTAGAAGATGTTATACAAGATTCAAGACAAGATTTTGAAAATATGGGTATTGATGAACTGACATTATTAGAATTAAGAAAAATATGGTGTGAAAAATTAACTCAATCTAAAGTTTGTAAATTTTCTTGGGATTTTAATAATGATGATGAAGAACCTGAACAATTACAATCAGAACAACAACAACAACAACAACAACAACAACAACAACAACAACAACAACAACAACAACAACAACAACAACAACAACAACAACAACAACAACAACAACAACAACAACAACAACAACAACAACAACAACAACAACAACAACAACAACAACAACAACAACTAGAACCTAAAGAAGAACCTATCACAAATATTGAATCAACTACCATAAAGCAAGAAAGTAATAATGAAGAACCAAGTGTGAAATTAGAAGAAACAAGTTTAAATTTAAATGATAAATCAGAATTTGATCCATTGAGCTATAATAATAATCTTGGACTAGAATTACCACCAATATCATCATCTAACGGTAACACTCACAACAACAATCACAATTCTACAATACCAACAACAACAACAACAACTGAAGAATTAGCATTACCTAAAATAAATCAAAATGATGGAACTTTTGAAATGTCAATACATGTAAATAATCCTCAAAAATTTTTATCAAATTTACAAAAATCCGAACCAAAACAAAAAAAACTACATAAAAAATTATATCAAATAGATGGAACATTAGATGATTCAGATTCTCAAAATGATATAGATGAAGAAGAAGAAGAAGAAGAAGATCGTGATATTTTTAATGATTCAGATGATATAAATTCAGATTTAGATGATGATTTAGAAAGTGATAAATCTGAAGATGATGATGGGGATCAAGAAGGTCAAATTATGTTATGTTTATATGATAAAGTTCAAAGAATTAAAAATAAATGGAAATCAAATCTAAAAGAAGGTATAGCTAATATTGATGGGAAAGATTATGTATTTCATAAAGCTACTGGGGAATGTGAGTGGTAGATTAATTTTGTAATGACGTATAGAATTGAAAAAGAAGTTGATATGGAAATAAAGTACGATTTTTTAATTATAGTATCTCTGACTATGATTTTGAATAAGAATAATTATGTTGAAAGAGATTATCAAGATTATAGACTTGAATATTACATATTTATTAAAAAGAAAATTAAAAAAATCATAACTCATAATTAAAAAGTAGGTATATGTAAATCCAAAACCTCTCTATTTGAATCCAGTACAGGGTTTGAACCATTCTCAAAAATATATTCAAAATCAATTAAAATTAAACTCAACACTTCTAAACTTAAATTCAAAGTCGGGACAAATACAATACATATATTTTTTAAATTCATTTTATTAATTGAGTTTTCAGCCATTATACTCTTCAAAAACTTGAAAATGCAATACGATAAATCATAATTTATTTGTGATGTTTGAGAACTATTAAGTATCTCTTTAAAATGAGTTGATGTTTTAGATTTTGAATTGTTAGATAATATAGCTTGATTTAATTGATTATATACATCAACTCCTAAAATTGGATTTGGTAATTCTCTTAAATAAGTTTTAAATAATCCAGAAACAGTATGCATATCAGGTTTTAATGAACTAGAAAATAAATCTAAATCATATGAAGTATTAAAATTTTCCTTGAGTTGTCGTATAGTTGATGCTGATCCACTTAATCTAAATATACCTTCTTCAAAAATTGCACCTGTTTTATTTAAATAATCTAAACATCGGAAACAAATTGATGGAATCCGTTTACCCATATATTCATGATTTGATAAATTATATGCTAATTCAAGTTCTTTTCCAAATATTGATTTTGTGATGTCGTTACCTAAATCTAAGTCATTTAAATATTGTTGCATTGAGTTTGAAGTATCTGGTTGAGTTGTTGGTGGTATTGATGAATTATATCCATTGTTATAGTTTGGTGCGGGTAAATTATTTAGTGATTGGTTGTTGTAATTGTACAGGTTGTTGTATTGGTTGTTATTATCAAAAATTTGTGATTTCGAAGGGTTTTGTTGTTGTTGTTGATACAGTGCTGAAGATTGTGGTGGTCCACCAGGCAAAGATTCGTCAGCATTCGAATTTGTTCTACCTCTAAATGAAAAATAACTTCTTTTTTTCAATTTTTTAGATTGTTCTTCATTTGAAGTTGATGTCTTCGTAGATACTTGATCGCCATAAGCATTTGGATTAAAGCTAGTATTATTGTTATTGTTCGTGCTATAATTATCATAAGAAAACTTTTTATCATATTCAACAGGAGTTGGAATTTCATCAACTTCAATTCTTGATTTTTGAGGAGATGATTCAGCAGATGGTGAAGGTTCCGTAAACTCAATTAATGCAGTTACCCAATCATCTCTTTCTTCATCGGTTTCTGCACAAAAAAAATGTTTACTTGGTGTTGTATGTAATTTTGATTTTGTTGATTCCATTATTAAGAAAGCATGTCTATAACCTTTATCATCTGCAACTGAATCTGATGCTTGTCTACCAATTTGCGCATTTGTTAATTGGATTGATTCTTGTAATTGACCACCTGGATGATGATATATTTCAAGGTAGTTACTTTCTATTTGACACCATCTTATTTTCCAACTATTTCCTAACCCTTTGTAACGACGTACCAAAAATCCTTCTTTCCTCGATCCACTTTTAAAATCATCTAAGGGATTCAAAAAATCTAATGATAAAAATAAACAAATTTTGTATAATACCATATGAGGAATATGCGGCATTAAAAACACTGAATTGAAATAATTTTGTAATATTGATCTTCTTGTTTCTATTTTACTTGGTGTAGTAGATAAAAAGCTTTGTTTATCAGGTAATGAACCCAACCCGAAAAATTCAACAATTGGTCTAATTTCTGAATCAAATGTTAATATTTGAGAGAGGTTCTTTCGTATTCTCCACATTTCCTTGTTAGATTCTCTATCATTAATAGTTAATGTAATTTTTGGATCTTCAGATTTTTTGGATGATGATGAATTATGTTGAATGTTTGATGAGTTGACATGTATTGTACTGACGACTTTTATAAATATCGTTTGAAATTCATCAGGTTTTATAAATAACAATGATTCATCCATATCTGTCTTTGGGGTGTGTAATACATTGAAACTAGAACCACTTGGAGTATGGGGACTTGTGTTGTTGATGTTATTAGTTGACGATGTTGGTGTTTGATAAGATGGTCTTGAGAAACTTTGTTGCAGATGATTGTTGAATTGTTTGCTCAGTTGTTGTGGAGTTAGATTTGGTTGGTTACTCAAGTCATAAGGTGGTGCTAGACGTTGATTAGGTGGTGGTTGATCATAATATGGTTGTTGTGAATTTGAATTTTGATAATTTTGGTGTGTGTTTGGATATGGTTGTTGTGGATATTGATTTGACACCAGTTGATAATTTTGATTATTAGGTTGTTGGAAAGTTGCGATATTTTGGTAATTGTACATTGGAGAATTAAAATTATTATAATTATCAGTAGTTAAATTTGGTGAAGCAAAATTATCAAATTTAGTATTATCATTAAAACCATCAGGTGTAACTGCATATTCTTTATTATTTGAGTAATTACTAAAAGTTGGAATTTCTTGACTTGTTGGAGTAGTATATGATGAAACATTAGATTTTGAATCATTTTTCTCACTAAATGCTAATTTTAATGATGTTGGTGGTGCTAAATCAAGTGTAGGTGATGGTTGTGAAGTATTTGAAAGTTTTTTGGATAATGATTGTAATTGAGTAACTTGTGGTGGTTCATTAGTAGGTGGTTTGATTCTTGATGACATATAAGTTGATGCAGCATTTGAAGTTGATCTTGTAATTTTATTATCATGAGAATATATCCTTGTATTTTGAGCTTTTGGTAAAACATTATTATTAGAGTTTGATATAGTTGTATTTGATAAAGTTGAAGATAATAAATCAGTATGAGATTTAATAGCATCAGATATTTGACTTAATTGACTTTCAATAGTATCATCAATTTTTGAAGACGAATCTATTGAATTTATTGAATTTAAAGTATATCCAGATTTATTAATAGATGTATCCGCAATCGATGTATTATTAGCTTGATCCTCTTCATCTTTCATTTTGTCAGCTTCTTCATTCACTGTAGAATTATCAATTGAATGTTTGTCTGAATTCATAGAATTTTGTAATTTTCGATCACCATATCTTGAAGATAAATTACTTGTATTTGATATAGATGTAGGTAAATTTGAAAAAGAAGTTGATTTCGAAGAAACTGACTTTATAGATGAATTATCTATTGAATCTTTTTCCATATCCTTGTTGAAATTACTGTTGATATTATTTATAGTTGGCTGATTTAATCTTCTTCCTGATCTCATTGGAACGTCTTGTGGTGAGTTTGTAACTGTATTATCACTTGCAGTAGTGGTAGGTTTTGAACTTAAAATATTTGAAGATGATGAATTGGATGAAAATGATTGTATAGATGAAGAATTTTTCAAGTGCTGTTGTAATTGTTGATTTTGTTTTTGTTGTTGTTCCTTTTGTTCCTTTTGTAATTCTTGCAATTGTTGACTTGGTGTTGGTATTTTTAATTCATCCACAAGACTATTATTTGAAATATTTGGTTTTGGTGTAGTTATATTAGTTATTAAATTAGATGTAGAAGAATTATTTAAATCTTGGTCTTCTTCTTCTTCTTCTTCATCATCTCCAAATAATGACATTGATAAACCTAAAGGTGTTTTAGTTGGTGACGATGGTAAAATCGGCGGTAATGGAGGACTATAATTACTTGAGTACGAAGATAAATTTGTTGATAATAATTCATCCTTTTTGGATATATCATTAGATAATTTTAAATTACCCTTATTATTGGTTGTATCAATTCTATTAGTTGTATTAGTATTATTCTTATTGTTATTGTTATTATTACTATTATTAGCTGAAGATGATGATGATGTAGGTGATAAATGTGATTTTAATAAAATTTTAATTTGAGATTGTAAATTTAAAATTAAATCATTTTGTTGATTAATGAGTTTTCTTAACTCTTTATTTTCATTTATTAATTCATCCATTTTTATTTAAATATGATACTATTTTTTCGAATATATTCAATTTTATCTTAGCATTATCTTATTCTGTATTGAAATGGAATGATTAATTAATTGATTAATTATATTCGATTATATAATGAATTAAAAAAATATTTGGTTGTAAAAATAAAAAATAATAAATAAATTGGAGTGGTTAAATTTTGTGTATATAAAAAATAAATTGTATTGTATTCAAAATATTCTATATTAAAATAAATTAGTTAATTTTAAAATTCAAATACACACATACAATTCTTCAATTAAATAGAAATTTTTTGTATTAACAAGACCTTAAGTGAGTCAATAAAGTTATAATATTCATTATAGGGAAACTTTACTTTTACTTCTACATCAATTCATAATTTTTCAAATTGTAATTATATCCAGAACTGTATAATTTTTCAATTGAGATTCTGATACTATTTATATTGATCTGAAGACTTTTTGTGTTTTATAATAGATTTAAAAATTACATAAAAACTTACCTAATATTGTATAGTTAAATTACATAATTATTAAGTAATAATAATAGCAGAGCTTACGTAATACATTCAAATATATAATAAAATATTATTATCTAAATAAGGAAACAAAAATATCATAACTATATTGTACTACAAATTAGATTAGAACACTAGAATAGCCGTTTCAACTTAATATGAATTAAAAGAAACTAACCAAAATGATATAAGATATGTCAAATATTAAACCACTATATTTTTATTACATTTTAAACTCTGAAAGATTTCTTATAATGTGAACCAATTACTAAATTTTTAAATATGCAAATTTTTGTGTATATTATAACTGTCCATTTCTGTGATTTATATACTGTAATATACTATGTACACAAATTCATATCTATAATAATCAGTTCTTTATTAAACTTTTTTATAATAAGATCTTGTATGTCTTGTAATTTTATCATTAGAATTATTATTAATATTTTCATTTTCTTTCTTTATTGGACTTTCAATAATTCCAATTCCACCAACACTATCCATAATTTCTTTAACCATTTTGTTAATAGGTTTATTTGAATCTTGTTTTGTTAAATTTTCTTTACTATTATTATTATTATCATTATTTAAAACTTTATTTAAATTTAATTTATCTTTAGTTTGATCTCTATAAATATAATTTTTTGGTAATATAGCATTTGGCATCATTGATCTACCTAATTTAATAACTTCATTTGCCCATATTGTTATATCTGATTTAGGATTTTTATAAGGTATCCAATTTTTTTTACAACCTTTTATTAATTCTTTAACAACTTGTTCTGAACCCCATGAATGATTCCATAATATATTATCATCATTATTTAATCCTATAAGATGTGAGAAAATACCTGTTGATAATGCAGCATCTGAATAACCACCTTCTAAAAATGATATAACTTTTCCCATTGTATGAATTTTAGCTAATTTAACTACATCTTTTGTAAAAGTTGAATAAAATGATGTTGGTACATTTATTCCATGTCTTTGCATTTGAGGATTTTCATATTCTGATGCATCAAATCCTGCACTTATTATTATAAGGGGTTTATAAGGTGGTGGTGGGGTTGGTTTTTCAATAATTGAATTTTTGGAATTACTACTACTTGGTGATTGTCTTTTATTATATTGATTTAATTGATGTAAATATTCTTCAAATTCTTCTTCATATTGTTTTTTGGAATTATTTAAAAATTGATTTGCTCTATTTAATATAGCAACATATTTAGTTTGATAATGTTTATAAAATTCTTCTTCATTATTCCAATTTTGTAAATGAATATTCCAAATATTTAAATCATGATCCATTATACAAGTTGATGCATTTTTAATATTTTCTTTTGTTGCATAACCTAATTCTGTTGGATAAGATTTTATATCATGTAATGAAAAATATCCAACTTTTGGATAAGTTGCGAATCTTTTACCATAATCATCTCTTGGATTTAAATTTGGGTCAATTATTTCATCTTCTTCTTGTTGACCATAATCACCAGTGAATCCACCTCTTTCCCAACATATATCTTGTGTTCCATCACCATGATGTAAATCAATATCTAATATAGCACAATGAGTAACTCCATAAGTTTCAAATGCATATTCAATTCCAATTTGTACATTATTTAATAAACAAAATCCACTTGGTAAACATGCATGACTATGATGACCAGGAGGTCGTATTACTACAAATGCTAGATCATGATTTTTTGTTGGAGTTGTCCCATTAATTTGTGCAGCTGATGATGAATTATTAGAAGGTGGTTTATATAAACAATCAACTGCTGTTTCTATAGTTCCTATAACTCCTTCTATTGCATTTATGGTTTTTGGAGTTAAATATATATCACCAGTATTCCAATCTTCAGGTACTTCTATTTCATCATTATTTAATTTATCATAACTTTCTAAACATAATTCAAATAATTTTTTTGGCCAATTTTTACCATGAATTTTACGAACATGTGATGAAAATATTGAACTTTTCTTTGTTGAATTAATTAATTTATAATAAAAAGGATACATTGTTATAGCAGATGCAATACCAATACAACTAGCTAATAATCGTTGTGGTCTTTCAAATATAGTTGATAAATAAGATTTAGTTACCCATTTACGACCAAAAGCATGTTCAGAACTATATGGACTTAATATTACTAGTGTCTTTTGTGAATCATTGACAAAACGAGGACTTTCTTTATTTATATGAGGATTTGATGCAATAAAATCACTAAATGAATTATTATATTTGACTAGTTTTTCATCTATTAATATATTTGGTTTTAAAATTTCTTCAAATTTTGAATCTATACTTTGATGTTCTTCAAATCCTGGTGATCCTATTTTTTTAAAAGTTGTTCTTGTAGGTAATAAACTATACCTTCTTTTAGTTTTAAATTTGGGGATTTGTTCTGATTGTAATTCATTTTCTTCTAATTCATTTATATCTATTATACTAGTTTGATCAGTTGATATTCTTGTATAATTAAGTATTGAATTATTTGGTAATACTGTATGATCTATAGATATATCATTATCTTCATATTCTGTGTTAGTTGGTTTTATTGTTAAAGTTGTTTCAAATGCTTCTATTAATGAATCTTCACTATCATTTTTATGATTTGTAAAATTGTCCCGTCGAGGCATGAAATTGAATTTGAGTTAATGATGTAGATGTTAATGAAGATAATAGTGCGGTAGGATTTCAGGACTCAATTGTTGGTTGAATAAATCTACTAATCTTTTGAATATGTAAGTGTGGGGCAAGTTAATCCAGATCAATATTAACTGAATATTTCAAGAATTAAAGAGTCAAAATTATAATAAGTATTTGAAATGATTCAATAAGAAAATAAGAAAATAATATTAAGTGTAACAAAATTTACGAGAATTCTATACATAATATTAATTAATAAATAAATAATAATTTATTATTATCTCATATTTCAAGAATAATACAAAAATGAACTATTGATCTAAATTTCTGTCAAATTAGATCAAATCAACCTGACCTGTACTGAAGATTTTATGTCCAATTGTTGCTATTGTTTGAAAGGGTTAAGCTTAAATCATAAATTTATCATAATGTAACAAATAGAAAAAAGAACAAAGTGTTTTACGAGTTTTATTATACGCGTTAATTTGTGTTGCCTAAAATTTGATTTAAATTTAAATCATACAAATCAAAACTAAATGTATAATAATGGGAAGTAAATATTATAAATATAAAAGATATCAAAAAAAAGATGAATCAATTGATTATAATTATACTCGAATTTTAATTGCAATTGGTTTATTAATTTGGATATTAAATTTATTTGGTTTTAAATCATTTATTCAAGGAGTTATTAACTTTGTTTTAAATTTATTTATAATTGTAATTAAGTATTTATACAATTTGGCAACCAAAAATGACTTAGAACCTGCAATTGATAATAAATCAATTAATTGTCCATTAACAGAAGAATTGATTACTACAACAATATCTAAAAAAGTAACTAATTCATCAATAAATATTACTTGGTCAGAATATTATTATATTGAACTGATTGAATTAAATGATCAAATTCCATATTGGATTAGAATTTTATTTAAACAATTTTTTGGAATTAGAAAAATTTATACTGGATTCCATAATTTTATTACTTATTGGTCATTTCCAATTTTTATTATTGTCATTTTCATATTATGTAGATTTGTTTATTTTGGTATCACTAGCTTAAGTAACGAAACGAAAGAAACCAATAGTACAGTAGTTAAAGATAATGAAACGATAGAAACCAAAAGTACAGAAGACAATGAAACGAACGATGCCAATAGTACAGCAATGAAAGAGAATGAGACAGAAAGAACTAATAGTACAGAATTCAAAGAAGATGGTCTCAATTTGGCAACAGTATTAAATGAAGACAATGATATTGATATATCAAAATCTTCAAATAAAGTAACCGATTTAACCAGCCAAAGTGACGACAATTTGGATAGTCCATTAACTGATGATGAATATTTAAGTTTGAAAGAATATTATTCTAATTATAAAGTTCTGGCACGATTAAAAAAGGATAGATATGCCTCGTCATATCCTATAATTCGGCTATTTTGTTTTGATATTTACAGAGATTTTAAATTAATGGCACAATACGAAGATTCAATTCAAGATCAAATTGATGAAAAATTTGAATTGATTTAAAAATCAATGTTGGAAATCATTCATAAAAGTGTAAAAGCAGAGTTTTTTTGCTGTCAAGAAATAAATTTTATGGCGAAGTAACGAGGGTAAAATGATGATGATAAATTTTCACGAAGAAATATATAATTAATGTTGGAGTTGGTACTGGTTATTCAATTCTTTATACGACATATTCTATGATCTAAATATAGTGACAAATTTTATGAATATATGCTAATTAAATATCAAATCTGTAATCAAATCTGTAAAGTAGTATTTATTTTTCAAATCATCTTCTTTTTAAATCTTCAACCACTCAACAATTTAGTCAATGATATCATTATAGAATCTTCAATTTTACAACCTAATGGGATATTTAATTTATAGTCAAATAATTGCAGAACTTGATCAATACCTTGAAAAATTGTAAGTTTAGATTCGTCATTATTGAAACTTTCTTGTATAGTATTATAATTACCTAAAATCATTAGTATTTTTTCATCTTTTCCAAAATTTGAATCCTCATCCACTGATGTTAAATCTTTCAACACTGTAGACTTATCAACTTTATTAAAATAATCATCACAATTAACAAATACAGCTTTAGAATAACCTGATTCAATTGGTGAATTTGTAAATATTTTATTAAATTGATTTGAATTTATTATTCTTACATAATATCCAAAAGATGATTTATGACCAGTTATACCATATGCTTTTTCGGGATTTATAATATTTTTATTCTTTAAATCAACTGTTACTCTAGAATATATTGGAATTTCTCTATCTATTTCTAGTTTCAATGGTTCTGATTCTCCAATATTTACATATTTACTAACTTTAATTTTATGTGAAGATTTGACTTTATCACCTTTTTTATTTTTAATTTTAGGAGTTTCTCGAGGTATAATTATACCTTCTTTGAAATTTTTATATACTTCGTTATTAGACATGAATGGTAAGTTGGTAATTTTAGGTAATTTATATGCATATTTGAATTTTGGTAATATATTTTTAAATTGTGGGTTTGAATTTGGTGAAAACATTGTTTTGACTAAGTATGGTGGTGTTATAAAAAATTGTAATAAACTTGCTAGTAGTATTCCATCATCATTTTCATTATTATTGTTTTGATCTTTGTTATTTTGTTTTGGTACAGCATCTAATTCCTCATTAAATACAACTTTATTTCCAATTTTAATTTCTTCTTTAATTTCTCCATTTTCTTGTTTTTTGGTTTCAGGTACTTTGATCACTATAAATTCCAGTACGTTATAAATCAAACAAGCTTTAGCAATTTGATATACTATAAAAGTCTTTTGTTCTAAATTATATGCATTCTTATTTGATATTACAGTTGACGGTATACATATTGAAATCGATGCTTGAGTTTGTTGTTTCGTTGGTTTCTTTGTATGTTTTGATGCATCTATTTGAGGCTTGTCATCTGCTTTTCTTTTAGCCATTATTTGTAGTGTTGGATGGGATTGATGTAACTTTCACTTTGCAGCTAATAACTAAATTTTATTTTTCATACTATGAGAAGATCATCAATACTTTTTTCGCTAATACATTTTACGCACCAAATGTGTTTTCAGGATTTTTTGTTTAGATGCTACCACTTCATTCTGAAACAAGTCGATTAATTGAGTTTTTAAAATGCTTTACAAGATTTTTCCGACTAGTGAACCTGTCACCAAAGTTACTGCTTAAGTGATTTTTCCAATGAACTTTTTACTAATGTAACTTTTGAAGAATTTGTGAAGAATCGCGTCTTCGGAATAATATAAAATTAAACATCCTAAGTCTTTATTAATTGGCTCCAAAATTTAAGTAAATATTAATGAGATGTAGGCTATATAAAAAAAGTAATTTTAAACTTTTGCTTATGCGTATCTGCAACTACTCCTTGATTTACCCAAGTGATGAAAATAACAAGAGAGAGGCGAGCTAGATTTATCAGATATATTGGTTTGGATTTATCACTCAATTATAATATTTATCTTTCCAAATCAAAAAAGGTAATTAAAAAGTAGTGATATTAAACCAATGCATTGCTAAAGTTTAAATTTGTTTATAATATTTACTTACTGTAGTAACTGATGGTCATCAACGAAAATCTTGATGTTTTGCAGATTCGAAGAAAGTTAAAAAAAAAATTTGTAGTAAATTTACGGATATATAAGAAATATTATTAAGAAAAATTGTAATACAAAGAAACTTAAAACGAACTAATCTAACTATTATTATTGTTCAGCTAAACTGGACGTTTCAAATAAATCTGTAAAAAAAAAATTTAGTATGCATAAATTACTCGATTTGGCTGCAAAAGGACTTTTTGTTCATACAAAAAAAAGAAAATATTTTTTGCAACAATTAAATCTCCACACAATAAAAAAATAATTTGATTTCTTTTTTGACTACAGTCAAGTTTCATATGAAATCGCTTATAAACATAAAACAGCTCCTTTCAAGTCATGTTAAAAATTTAATATAAATATAACTTTGAATTTCCAACTAAAATTTATTTTCAATTTATAATCAATAACAACTATCACATAAACTTTACTACAATAGTAACAAATATCAACTACACTTTCATTTATTAATTAAAATGAGATTATCAATTACTGTTTTAACTGCTATTGCCGCTTCTTTAGTTGCTTCTGCTCCAATTACTCCAATTTCAAACTCAACTGTTTCTGCTCCAACAGATGAAACCTTATCTACTGGTGAACAACAATTACCTCAATTTCAAGTTGGTGATTCAATTATTGATGAAAATGGTGACTTATGGGTTTTAGAAAATGATTATCAAGATAATGAAAAAAGAGATGCTGAAGCTGAAGCTAAAAACTTATTCAAAAATCCTGCTAAACAATGGGCTAAATATTATGCTAATTCTGGTAAATCAAAACCTCATTGGACAACTTATGGACCTTTTGAACCTCAAAAAAGAGACGCTAATGCAGATGCTAAAAACTTATTTAAAAATCCTGCTAAACAATGGGCTAAATATTATGCTGATTCTGGTAAATCAAAACCTCATTGGACTACTTATGGACCTTTTGAACCTCAAAAAAGAGATGCTAATGCTGAAGCTGAAGCTAAAAACTTATTCAAAAATCCTGCTAAACAATGGGCTAAATATTATGCTGATTCTGGTAAATCAAAACCTCATTGGACAACTTATGGACCTTTTGAACCTCAAAAAAGAGACGCTAATGCAGATGCTAAAAACTTATTCAAAAATCCTGCTAAACAATGGGCTAAATATTATGCTGATTCTGGTAAATCAAAACCTCATTGGACTACTTATGGACCTTTTGAACCTCAAAAAAGAGACGCTAATGCAGATGCCAAAGCTAAAACCAAAGATTCTGCTGCTCAAGAAGATCCAAATGCGGAAGTTGAATTTGGCAATTATTTGGCTGCTTTATGGCTTTCTCAAGCTGGGCTTATTTAAATTTTCTGGCAATTTTTGGCATTTTGACTTTTTTCTTTAAAAGGTTTGGCATTTTTTGGACATTTTTTCATTATTCAGTTATGGGGTTTTTAGCTGGTTTCACATATTTTATCTGCATCTTTTTCATTTATTCCATTTTATCATTTTTTATCAATTTTAAATTTTAGCATCTTTTTTAGCATAGTTTCATTTTTATTTAAAGCATTACTTGGTGATTTCAAAAAATTTATTTATAGTATTTTCAATATATATTTTTATCGTTGTTTCAAAAATCGATATTTGTAAAAATCCAATTTCTTTAATCTTTTCTTCGATTCAAACTTTATTCAAACTTTAGAAAAATAAATGCGTCTACTTTTATATAATTCTCTCTACAAAACTTTTATAACATCATTATTTTATTTATTTTTTATCAACCTATGTACTTTACAAATTTATTTATATTTTTTTGATCACAAATTTTGGGGGGATTCCAATCACGAAAATTACGAATGTCTATTTAATTTTAAAAGTTTAAGCTTCTTCAACTACTTCTGAATCTTCTTCAACTTCTTCTTCTTCTTCATCATCATCTTTTAAACCTTCAGCTTCTAATTTTGCAATTTTAGCTTTTGCTCTTTCAATATTTACTTTAGTTTGTTCTTCTTGTTTTTCTTCTAATGCTGATAAAGTTTCTTTCAAGGTGGTGATTGTTTGTGGAACATCATCTTCTTTTAATGGGAATGGGATAGTTAAATCACTTAAAGCAACAACAATATCTGGGGCAACTGAGAAATTTTTTGATTTTGAAGTTGGAGGAGTTGTAGTTGATGATGATTTTTTATTGAATTTACCACCTTTCTTTTTTGATCCACTAAAGAAATCTTCTTGTTCCTTTTTAACAACTACGTATTCTTCTGGAAATTCAACTGTTCTTGCGGCTCTAGTAGTTGATGGGACTTTACCATTTGTTGATGAAGTAGTTTTAGCAGCTGGTTTAACATAAGAAGGATCAAAGTAAGATAATAAATTGTGAATTGAATTAATTTCTTGAGTAAAAGCTGGGACAGAAGCTTCAGATAATTCCTTTTCAGCAATTGCTTTCAATTTTGCTTGTTTTTCTTCTTGAATTTTTGACTTATATTCTTCATCTCTTTTAGTTTTTTCTTCAGCCATTAATTTTTTAAAGTTGGCAAATTTTGCATCAAATTCAGATTTTAATTTTCTAATTTCATCATATTTTGAATCTTTTTGTTTTTTAATTTCTGATCTTTGATCATATAATTTATTTCTTTTGGTGATGATAACTTTATTTGATTCATTAATTTCATCTAATTTCTTTTGGATAGTATCAAATTGAGTATTTAATTCTTTATTTTGAGTTCCACTAATTTTCTTTTTTAAATCTGAAATTTTTTGTTTATCTGAATCAATTGATAATTGAATTTTTTCAATTGAACCAAAATCTTTTTTTAATTTTCTTAATGAACTCATTTCTTTAACATATCTTCTTTCATCAGCTAATTTTAAATTTCCTGCATCAATTAATTGATCTAAATTTGAAATTCTTTGATCAATTTCTCCAACTGATTTAAAATTATTTTTTGAAGTTTGTTGTTGAATTTCAGCAATTTTTTTCTTCATTGAATTATCAATTGTTTTAATTTGTTCATTAATAGCATTTCTTTCATTTTTTGATGATGACTGTTTGGAAATTAATGCTTTTAATTGATTTGTTAATTCATTTCTTTCATCCATTATTTTTTGATCAATTTGATGTTTTGAAATTTGATCATTTAATTCATTATTTTGTAAATCTAATTTTTTAATATCATTTTTTAATGATTCTAATTCTTGTTTTAAAACCTTATCATCAGGACGTTTAATAAATTTTCTTTGAGTTGAATTATTGTTGGTAGTTGATTTAGAAGCAGTTGAAGAATCAGCGGACATTTTTGTTTAGTGGTTAACCAAATGGAACAGACAGGAAGTAATAATATTTAAATGAATTGAAAAAAAGTAAATAGTATTAATTAGTTGTATCTCTATTAATTCTATTATGATGTATATCTTGAATAATCTAATATCAAAATATCAAAAAAAAAAAAAAAAAATAGGT